TGGTGTCATGGTGAAGGTTTATGGCCGTGTTCTCATGGTGTACTGGTGTCATGGTGAAGGTTTATGGCCGTGTTCTCATGGTGTCATGGTGAAGGTTTATGGCCGTGTTCTCATGGTGTCATGGTGAAGGTCTGTCTCTTATACACATCTAGATGTGTATAAGAGACAGGGTGAGAGCCGCGCAGACTAGCCTCACATGCGCCACGGTGAGCCGCGCAGACTAGCCTCACATGCGCCATGGTGAGCCGCGCAGACTAGCCTTACACGCGCCATGGTGAGAGCCGCGCAGACTAGCCTCACATGCGCCACGGTGAGCCGCGCAGACTAGCCTCACATGCGCCATGGTGAGCCGCGCAGACTAGCCTTACACGCGCCATGGTGAGAGCCGCGCAGACTAGCCTCACACGGGCCATGGTGAGCCGCGCAGACTAGCCTCACACGGCGCTGCGTGCCACACGCTCGTCATCGAATTATTCTAAATCTATTTTGTGTTAAAAGAGTGCAAAAATTTGAATATACAGCACCATTGACGTGCTAAAATCAAGATGCGTGTATTTTTTGTGTAAAATTTAAGATGCTTCTTCCAAGATTGTGCGTGATTTTTTGAATCGTTATCTGACCTTATTGACGACAGTAATTTCCTGCGAAAGCTGGGCACAACAATTAGAGACCTTGTTGAAGATCTCTAGGCCATAAGCCCTCACAAATTTCGCTGAAATAGTCACATTTCACACATTAAATCGCTCAAATTTCATATCTGTAAACAGGAACATGGTTGGTGTAACTCGATGAATTTGGAAGGGTGTTTTGATTTATTTGTCCATTTATCTCTCCTTGCACTGCCTAGTATGTTCATTTTATTGAATACTTGAGGTCTCGGTGGCACTTCTCAATAAATTGTTGAATTTATTTATTTCCAAAAATATTGCCTAAACGTACTTCTTCCAATTTTTTCTACTCGTAGATTTCGCAGGGCTTCATAATTAATTGGGTTCTCTTGTGCTATTGATGTTTAGCATTAAAATGGTTCACAATGTCTTCTGAATGCTTTGCACCATTCCGAATGCTCCGCCGCTGTGGGTCGTGCCGACAGTCGTACGGCAGGCTCTACGAGGCCGAGAAAGTGAGTATCACATCACAGGCTGTGCACTTTCGCTTGCTTCTAACTCGTTTTTTATTATTATTATCATTATTATTATTAATATTATCCCTACTACGTTCTGCTGCTGCTACTACTACTGTACTTCTACTATAATTTTTCTTTTACAATTTTTCAAGTCAAACATTTGAAGAATCTCACGTTTGTTACGAATGCATCGCATGCACGTTAACTAATCCCGTGGTTGTAACTCGAGTGTATTTTATTTATGTTAACCTATATGTTAGCCTATATGTTATATAGGTTTTATTTATGTTAGCCTATATTTATGTTAACCTATATGCCTGAAACTCGTGTGCCTTCTCTTCTGCCAGGTTGAAGTTTCGAAAGCATTGCATGTAGTATTAAAACTAAAACGTTTTGTTATAATGTAATATTTTACTGAAAATAACTAAAATTACGTCTTGTTTTCTAACACCTCTCACCGGAGAAGATTACAAAAACCAGCGTTCAGAAGAATCAAACTGAAGTGTGCGTCTTAATGCATGAAGACATTTTAGGGAGACAAATTTACATCTATATTTGTGTTCCTGAAAATTGTTAAGCCATTTTACGATTATTTTTTAATTTATAATTTTTGATGATTTGTTATGTTTCTGACAAATTTTTTATGAAACACAATGAATGCAATATAAGGCACTATGCATGTTATTTATAGGCACTCCACCTGCAATATGCGCGCGCTATAGGTACATGTCCATGTAGGTATGCATTTTGACGCACCTAGTCATATAACACTGGTGGCCAAGTGGTTAAAGTTCTGGGGTCTTACTTTCAAAACTCGCTAAGTGAACGTAAGTACTTACGCTCTATTTTCTTGCCTATGATTGGTGAATTTTGCTTGAAAGGCCGTCAATGATTGGCTGATTAAGTTACTATCTCTTAACTTTTTTTGAAGGTATGGGCCCAGAGTACCAAGATTGGCGCAGAGAGGCGCGGGTTCGATCCCAGCTCTGTGCGCCAGTTTCTGGTCAGAATCGGCGAGGAGGCCGGGCGGTTAAGCGCAGCAGAATTGTAGCAGTGAGTTGCGAGTTCGAGACCGCAAAATGCTGTGAATGTTCTGCGATGTTAAGAATCGGCGACAGGCCTACGGCCTAATAAACGCTGGAACTGCTATTATTATTTATTTATACATATACTCTATATATTGGTCTTGGCTGCATGATTTATAGTTTGCTCTCAATGTATTGTTGCTTGGAACGCCTCAGTGACGGAGTAACCACGCTTTAGAAAGCTTCATCAAATCATCATGACAACATTTTTTGGATGAATAGTGAGGGTACCTACCCTCTAGAGTGAAGGTATTCATCCTCTAGAGTGAAGGTATTCACCCTCTAGAGTGAAGGTATTCACCCTCTAGAGTGAAGGTATTCACCCTCTAGAGTGAAGGTATTCATCCTCTAGAGTGAAGGTATTCACCCTCTAGAGTGAAGGTATTCATCATCGACGTTATCTAATTTGTGTTCACTAATCCCGCATTACTATCTGTAATTGCATGTTTGGTTGCTGCTAAAAATTCGTGCATTTCGTGTCAACTAATAAGTTTTTTCAATGTACAACGTATGTATAAAGTTGGTTATACTGCAGTAAATGCTTAGTTATTATCTAAGTACTGTTGCTTTTATTTTTAATTAGGTTTCAGCGTTATGAAATATTGGATAGCATGTTTTTGAAACATTGTAATGCTCTTCGAGATGATAATTTATTTTGCCTAAACGCACTTCTTTCGAACTGATTATCAACATAAACGTAAATAATTTTGTTGAATATTTGGTTTTGATGTGAGCAACAACATACACGTAAATAAGTCGTTTGAACATTTGATTTTGATTTGATTTGATTTTGATGTGAACAACATGCACGTAAATAAGTGGTTTGAACATTTGATTTTGATGTGAACAACATACACGTAAATAATTCGTTTGAACATTTGATTTTGATGTGAGCAACAACATACACGTAAATAATTCGTTTAAACATTTGTCTTTATTGAGCAGCAACTGAAGAGCGTGCAGCGGTACCAGAAGAGGCTGGAGTATCACCTCAGTCAGGTGGAGGACCTGCTGGACCAGTACAGCCTTCATCAGAAGCTCAGAGAAGGGGTCAGCCTCATTGTTATTTAATTACGTTTACAGATGTTTTATTTTCTTCCTATTTATTGTGGTTATGTTAGAGTTATTTGCTTCCCACGTCTGGAAATGTTATCATTTAATTAGATGTTTTGAATTTAATTAGATGTTTTGAATTTAATTAGATGTTTTGAACGTTAGACGTTGAATGTTAGACGTTTTTATTTTCTTCATATTTAATGTGGTAATGTTATTTATTTGCTTTCCACGTCTGGAAATGTTGAGAGACCAGTTACATTGATAAAGGTTTTCATTTTTTTCCAATTTAATATGGTAATGTTAGTTATTTGCTTCCCACGTCTAGAAATGTTATGAGACCAGTTTCTTACGGGTATGTGTTGAAGGCTAAGCAAGAATAACTGATTTTGTTGAAGCTAATAAATGCTGGACCTATTCTTGTTCTCAGACCTAATCCTATTAAATGCTTTGTTAGGAGCTGGAGAATCCGTGTTTGCTCTTCGTTCATTTCTACTGAAGGGAGGCATAACACTGAGTTCTATTGTAGTTTATGCTCTGTAGTTTTAAACGGCCTTTTCTCCAATTTTATTGGAGAAAAGAATTTTTTTTATTGGAGAAATCCAATTTTATTGGATCAAATTTATTGGAGAAAAGAGCTCAGCGAACATTGAACGATTTCAACGTTAATCAATTGATTTAATCAATTGGGTAGCGAATTTTCGAATTCATTTTAGGAACCTAACTTTGAAGCTAGAATACATATTAGTTCTTAGTATTCTACAAACTGGCAGTTCTAAATGCACCTTAAATTTACAGCCTGAATGAACTAACCAAACATGCATATACCTACTTGCCTGCTTAAGATTCTCTAGTGTTACAATAGCGTTACAATCTTCTCGTATTTGTCGGATAAAAACATAATATGTCGAATAAAAAACTTTCTCTGGGACCTTCTTTTCAAATGATTCTTGTGTAGGACCATAGGACACATTTTATGATGTCAACTAAGGTGCAAGACTCTTCACTGCGTGTGTAACTTATTTCATGTGTTGCAGGTGCGAAACATGGCCTACGCATACGCCGTGTCCCCAGGCAAGGAACGCACGAACGCCCTCAGCAACGTGCGTTCAGGCTACAGAGAGTGCACTGATACGCTCTGTGCACTGGAGGTGCAGCTAGAGCACCTGTTGGGTACTCTCACCCTCGAGATGAAGGGTGAGTACGCACCTCTCACCCTCGAGATGAAGGGTGAGTACGCACCTGTACGCAGGAGGTGCTGATACAGCACCTGTTGGGTACTCTCACCCTCGAGATGAAGGGTGAGTACGCACCTGTGCGCTGGAGGTGCTGATACAGCACCTGCTACGGGTGATGCACCTGCTGTTGTGGTGATGAGGGACCAGGACAGGTTTGGTGTAACTGATGAGGTATGTACGGCCTTGTTATTTTCTTTTCACTCTTATCTGGCCTGGATGTTGAGGTTCGTTGAACGCACATTGCCCATGCGAATGTCTGGCATCGCTCTACAGGGTTAGTATAGTGGGGTAATAGGTATGGTCATGCTTGTTCCGTAAATACTGTAATTTAACTCCCCTTACGTACGTGGCGTCGCTCTACAGGGCTAGTATACTGGGGTAGCATACTGGGATATTTGGTATGGTAATGCATGTTCCGTAAATGTTGTTCTTTAATGTAACATTCCTCTAACGTATGACTGGCATCGCTCTACAGGACTAGTATAGTGGGGTAGTAGGTATGGCCATGCATGTTCCGTAAATATTGTACTCTAATGTAACTTCCCCTAACGTACGTCTGGCGTCGCTCTACAGGACTAGTATAGTGGGGTAGTAGGTATGGCCATGCATGTTCCGTAAATATTGTACTGTAATGTAACTTCCCCTAACGTACGTCTGGCGTCACTCTACAGCGCTAGTATACTGGGGTATTAGGTATGGCCATGCATGTTCCGTAAATATTATACTTTAATATAACTTCCCCTAACGTACGTCTGGCATCGGTCATGCAGGCTCCGTAAATACTGTAATCTAACTCCCCTTACGTACGTCACTCTACAGGGCTAGTATACTGGGATATTAAGTACGGTCATGCATGCCCCGTAAATATTATACTCCAATGAAACTTTCCCCTAACGTACGTCTGGCGTCGCAGGTATCCAGGGGTTTGCGCGCCTGTGCCCCGGCGACGTGTTCGAGGTGACGATGAAGCACGGCCGGCAGAAGTGGCGCACCAGAGGCAGGGTCGGCAGAGAGGGCAGCCAGACCTGGGACAACAGCAGAGCTGTCTTCAAGGCCCTTATTGGGGAGGGGGTGGGTCATGGGTCAAGGTTTAGTTTATGGGTCGTGGTTTAGTTTATGGGTCAAGGTTTAGTTTATGGGTCATGGTTTAGTTTATGGGTCAAGGTTTAGTTTATGGGTCAAGGTTTAGTTTATGGGTCAAGGTTTAGTTTATGGGTCAAGGTTTAGTTTATGGATCAAGGTTTAATTTATGGGTCAAGGTTTAGTTTATGGATCAAGGTTTAATTTATGGGTCAAGGTTTAGTTTATGGGTCATGGTTTAGTTTATGGGCCAAGGTTTAGTTTATGGGTCATGGTTTAGTTTATGGGTCAAGGTAGTCACTCATAATATTTATAGAGCAATATTTATACACTGTAGAGTTATGATCGATCCTGATCAGCTGTAAATGTTACACTCGTCAATTCGCATTAGTTGAAGAGTCGAATCTCACGTTTTTGTCAGTAGAGAGGCTGTTTAATTCTAAATTAGTTGTCACTTAAAATATTTTGACACTGTAGATTTATGATCGATAGTTTCTTCATTTCTTAGGAGGCGTTTTTAAAAGTTTGAGCTACCTTATACAGGAGCCACTACCAGACATATGATGCTAGTCGCTTCAAAACACATGATCAAAGATTAGGATGTTATTGCTTCAGCAACCCTCATTCCCCTTGATCCATACCTCACTGCCAGCATGCCTCACCCTAACCCATACCTCCCAACAGCTGGTGATGAAGGCGGTAACCCATACCTTAACCCATACCTCACCACCAGCTTGCCTCTCCTCTTAACCCATACCTCCCTGCAGCTGGTGATGGAGGCAGTAACCCATACCTTAACCCATACCTCGCCACCAGCTGGTGATGAAGGCGGTGGAGGTTCGGCTGCTGGGGAAGGGCGCGCTCATCGGGCAGCGGGAGTGCGAGACTCGGGAGCTGTTCTGCCCGCACCCACAGCTCATGACCGTCAACCTCAACCATGCGGGCTCCCTCAAGCTCTGCGTCGTCGTCACTTGGAGGTGCTCTGATGTCTGCTCTGGTGCTCTCATGCTCTGATGTCTGCTCTGATGTGTCCTCTGATAGGAGGGTGATATGACATGTGCTCCTAAATGAAGGGGCTCTGACATGTGGTTGCTCTGACATGTCGTTGCGCGTCCTCCACCACAACTAGCGTTGATCCATCCCTTCTCCTTGTAGCGAATTTGAAGCCTCCAGTATTTAATTTCAAAATAAGATTGACGATGTTTCCTTGGCAGTCCTCTGGACGGCAGCGCTGCTGGGGGCCTGGCAGCTCCCGAGGACTCGACGTCCACAATCCTGCGTACGGCGTCCCTGTCGTCCACCGCGTCCACCCTGGCGGCAGGACGGCGGACCAGTGGCGTCCATGCCACGTCCACGCCACTTACCTTCACTCGGGTCGGTGCATGCCACGCAAGACATGCATGCACTTCTTGTACCGGCGGAGACGGTTGCTGTAGCCGAGTCTAACGGTTGAGACGGTTGCTGTAGCCGAGTCTAACGGTTGAGACGGTTGCTGTAGCCGAGTCTAACGGTTGAGACGGTTGCTGTAGCAGAGTCTAACGGTTGAGACGGTTGCTGTAGCCGAGTCTAACGGTTGAGACGGTTGCTGTAGCCGAGTCTAACGGTTGAGACGGTTGCTGTAGCCGAGTCTATTTTTTACTTTGTGTTGCAGTTAGCGTTGCGAGGTCGTGAAACTTTGCGTAGATTTCTATAGTATTCGATATTTTGTAGCATTGGATGTCAGCCATAAAATTAGCTTTAAACAGCCTCTAGCCGTCCCGAGTGATCATTTAATGATTATATATCAATCACTAAATATATCACATATATAATGATCTATATCACGCAGTTACTGTCACGACCTGACGCCAGCAGCAGCATCCCAGAGTGCAGCGATAACGACAGCAGCTTTGGCAGCATGTCAGCTCGCTCCTCGTCGCCTGACAGCTCTGCCAGCCCTCTGCCCCGCGCTGCTGACACTGTTCGCGATAACAATGCTGACAGTCAGGTATGATTTTGTATGCTGACAGTCAGGTATGATTTTGTACGCTGACAGTCAGGTATGATTTTGTACGCTGACAGTCAGGTATGATTTTGTACGCTGACAGTCAGGTATGATTTTGTACGCTGACAGTCAGGTATGATTTTTTCCTATTTAATTTTCAAGCATTAATTCTGTGCCCTCTGCCAAGCAAAAGACTAATCTATGTTATAACTTTGAAAGAGTGGGAAACAATATTTTGAAAGGGAAACAATACATGTTATTAATTTAAACTCTGAAAGAGTGATTGATTTTGTAAGGGAAACAAAACCTCTGTACTTTTATCTTAATGATGCGTGCTGTGTCATGCGCATGCTCTTGTCATGCGCATGCTCTTGTCATGCGCATGCTCTTGTCATGCGCATGCTCTTGTCATGCGCATGCTCTTGTCATGCGCACGCTGCGTAAATATTGCTGAATTTCTCAAATTTCTCAATGTTTTCACTTTTTCCATGTGGGCAATGTTTGTCCAAGACTTGTCTCGATACCCCCGAGTACTGTAATGTCATATTGCTGTATTTCTCAAATTTTTCAAGTGTATCACTTTTTCCATGTGGGCAATGTTTGTCCAAGACTTATCTCGATACCCTCGAGTACTGTAATGTCATATTGCTGAATTTTTCAACTGTATCACTTTTTTCATGTACACAATTCTCTGGCCTGAAGCTCACTGTGTAAAATGTACTCAATTCCTCAGGGGTATCGCTTTTTTTCTGTACACAATTTTTCGCTATTGGTATATTAGTAATGTTAATAAAGTATTCAACTTTTTTATGTGACGTTCATATTGGCCTGATTATATTTGATCAAGTAATCAAAAATTGTTGTCCTGAGTGAATTTATCAAGATGCCTGTGCAATCCATTGCTATTCGCATGTAATTAAAACATGAGTGTATTTTATAAATTTTGTACTCATGAGTTACTCTTCTTAGAAAGATTAAATAGCATAGAAAGTGTCAACGAATTTGTTGCGTTCTTTAAATAACTTATTATTCTCCTTAAAATTACAGATTTTCGGCAATTATGCTTTGATAAATCAAATCTTTTCTCTCAGTTCTGCGTCTCGACGAGCAGCAACTTGGACCTGAAGTCTCGATCACACCCCCACCTTCCTTCCCTGACGCGCGCCTCCTCGAGCCTTCAGCAAGATGGTACCCACCTCAACACGGGGGGCGACTCTCCCCCCACCAAGCTTGGGGGGCTCTCAGCGTCTCTGGCACACTTACACAGAGACAAAGACGCAAGTCTCACGTCTTTGCTCAATGCCATGCCATCGCAGCACAGCGACTGCACTGACGTTTACTCCATCAGCTCGTCAGACACACCGAGCGAGGCACGCAAAGCGATGTCCGAGTCGTGCCCGCCATTGTCACGCTTGTCATTCCATTCTGTGCATTCCACTAAGTCTGCAGGGGAGAAGCCTTCTAGACTGAGTGGAGCGTCTAAATCTTCCAGTGAAGACGTTAGCAAGTTTGCCCTCATGACTTCTAGACTGAGTGGAGCGTCTAAATCTTCCAGTGAAGACGTTAGCAAGTTTGCCCTCATGACTTCTAGACTGAGTGGAGCGTCTAAATCTTCCAGTGAAGACGTTAGCAAGTTTGCCCTCATGACTTCTAGACTGAGTGGAGCGTCTAAATCTTCCAGTGAAGACGTTAGCAAGTTTGCCCTCATGACTTCTAGACTGAGTGGAGCGTCTAAATCTTCCAGTGAAGACGTTAGCAAGTTTGCCGACATGAGTCAGTCATACACGGAGGAGGCAACACCGCGTTCCCGACTCTGGTCCAGCCAGCTAGATAGTCTGAGCTGCTCCAAATCTGACGACAGAGACAAAATAAGCTTGGCTGAACACACTAATACTTATTTGCATGAACTGGACGATGTTGTCATTCATGACCATGTTAGTCAAACGGGCTACGAAGGCGGGGTACGGCAAGATATGATAAATGAAGATCTGCCGCTCCACCAGCCTGACGCTAGCTTGGACAATGAAGATGATGCTCATTTGGTCAGTGAAGATGATGTTTGCATAGTCGTCCCTGCTCAAGGTTTTGCCGAAACCAAGTCGAGAGCGAATCTCGAAACTGAACTTGGTGTCCGGGGTTTACCGTTTGGAGTTACGCACGAAAAACGTGGCGTGTCTGATGCTTGGGATGCTACCGACGTTCCTCGCACCTTACCTGAGGTCAGTAATTTTAATAACGCCGCGAATTTGTGTTGTGGAAAGAATTGTTCAGTACCCGCTGCTCCCATCAAAGTTGGATTAACATGAATTGTTTATTATCATATGCTACTCTCTCCTAAGTTAGGTTAATATGAATTATTCAGTACCATATGCTACCCCCCAAAGTTAGGTTAATATGAACTGTTCATTACCATATGTTCCCCTCTCTTCAGCTAGTAGCGCGTGTGCGCGGGACTCTCGAAGATATTCAAGGACAGTTCGCGGCCTTGCACCAGCTGGAGGAAGCCGTGCGCCAGCTCGACCAACTCTGTGCGGTGAGATAACAGTTTTTATTATTCGTTGTGATTTATTCATCTCCATAACACAATGACCATTGACCAATAAGTGCAATAAACCCCGATGCTGGTAAGCGGGTTAGATGCAACTACACGCAGGACATAGCATAGTATCTTCGGCATTGAAGAATAGGCCTGGATAGGCCTGTCGCCGAAAAAGGACATGAGGGAGCATGGTGACTTTGAGCGAGCGGTGCGAGATAATAACTCTAATGATGAATAAGAGTGATGATGTAGTTGTAAAAACATGATGAGTCACGTAGAATACTCAGAGCAACTCAGCCTCAGCTGCATGAAGGCTCGTCGATGAATCGCCTGAACAGCGTATCCATGATACCATGCAGGGTGCATCACAGAAAAAGACTTGAATTACCATAGAGAAGTTGCAAGCGTTACTGACTCTATTGTTGATCATTTGTAAAAGTTTCACTGAACAACCAAATATTAATGTATATAATGTTCGCGAATACTAGTTATATTTTTATTTGGAATAATTAACAATATGAATTCGACTAAATTGATTGGTTATGGATATATCTGTAACATTTATCAAAACGTCAATCACTCTTGTCTAATAGTGGTAAAAGGCGTCAAAATTAATCAAATGGTCAACAATGGGTAATTTATGGCCTTAGTTCTGTATCTCGATATACGTTAGTTTTGCTAGCTTGTTTTTTCCGGGCTGCAGGAACGCGTTTTTTTTCAGACAAAACTGCGCGTAAATGGTTTTAGGAATCTGCATTTGACTGTGATGGCGATGTACAGCTCGAGGAATGATAATACACGAATTTCTTATCATATTCTAAGATGAGAGACGACACAGTTATTGTTGATACTTCATCGCTTTTTCCTATAATGGAAAGATGAAGTTCGGTGAATTTATTCGAGGGTGCTAATAAACAACGCATCCTATTTACTTGCGGTACGTTAATGAATATTTTTTTTAATATCCTGATCTTTGATCCTGATGTGATATTCCTGATCGATCCCGATTCAACCATGTTCCATCCGAGGTTAGAACTTGAGTGTCCACAAGGAAATAAAAAACAACGATGGGGAAGTTGGGACGGGTAACCTGTTATTTTTGATCAATGGTTGTAGGGCTTTGTGTAAAAGCACCTAGTAATTCATATAGGGCTGAGGCATCTATTTTCCTCTACCTATACCTCGGTTATATCTATCACCAGCATGTCGTGTTGTCACAGCTAACCGCTGAGTCGGTCCCAGCCTAACGCTTCACATTCCCTACTGCTTCTATTCAATTATAATTGGTATGAAATCGATGTCATTATGATTTTATTGAAATATAGTTGTAATATACGTAATTCAAAGGTTATTGATGAAATTGCAATAAAATTTTGTGCCGCAGACGACGAGTAGACGTGACAGCGCGGGGTCGGAATGCAGCCTAACCGTCGCGGCAGCGCTGGAGTGTTTCGACTTCCTGGACGCTGAGACCGACAGTCCACCTACCGCGAGACGCGTCTCTGCTAATGGTGACGCCGAGACTGACAGTCCCCCTACCGCGAGACACGTCTCTGCTAATGGTGACGCCGAGACTGACAGTCCACCTACCGTCCCCTCTTATGCTAAGAACGACTTCTGTAGCCTAAAAAGTCCTGACTCTGTAGACCCAGGACTTTGCAACGAAACCTGCCCCGTCAAAAGTCCTGACTCGCTAGATCCTAGATCTTGTGGCAATGGAAACTCTCAAGAAGGCTCGTTGAGTAACACCCTAGAAGACAAGTCGACGCTATCGTCGTCCGGAGGAAGCAAATCTTCAGACTCATCTACTCTTGAAGACAAGTCTAGGTCTTCAGGCACTAGCTCGCTGTCCAACACACTAGAAGACAAGTCTAGTACATCAGCGCAACACACGTCCGGTAAATAATTTATCCTGCTATTTCTAGAAGCTCATTCTTACTGGTCTTGTATGTAATATGGTTAAATATTTTTGTGCGAGTTATTTTATGTAAATACGTAACCATTGTACTGGATGTGTTTTTGAAGAAAAAAAAAAGTAATTTCATTTAGTGATGGACGATGGCGTTGGGAATTAAGGAAAAGGAATAGTAATATCATATTATGATTTATATGAAGTTACTAGACGTTGCTCCATAAGAACTTTTGGTCACAGGCACGTCTACCCTGGAGCTGGTCACCCCACGCCGCCCTCAGGAGGCCCTCCAGTTCGTGTTCCTGCCTTCGTGCCTGCACGCCTCCTACGAGCTCCAGAAGTTCCTCTACGTGCACCAGCGCCGCGTGCTTAAGCTGATCTTGGTCATTAACTTCATTATTTGTCAATATTAATGATTAAGTAATCTATTCGTTGAAATGGAGTGACCATGGCATATATATTGCACGTTCGTCTTCACTCAACCCATGTCATTACCATCATTATTGTCAATATTAATGATTAAGTATTTCATTCGTTGAAATGGAGTGAAGTGCCATATACAGTATATTGCATGTTCGTCTCCACTCAACTCTGGGAGTCTTGCCATTCGAAGCCAAGTCACGACTATTTAAAGTATTCTTCGTCTCTTATTGGCATATCCATAGCTCTAGAAATTTGTTCGAAGTTATACACGCCTATTAGTTTAATTTGAAGCGGTCCAGTGAGAATTAATGTTTTCCTATTAACAACAATTATTTTATTAACAGTTTATTCCTATATTACAGCAGTTATCAGGCCCGGCGTTACCCGAACTTTCACAAGGAACTTAAAGGCAAAGAAAACGCCAAGCAAATTCACCATATATTGATATTGAATATCGATTTCAATATCGATATGGTGAATTTGCTTGGCGTTTTCTTTGCTTTTAAACTCTTTGTGAACTTGCGATATAAGCAGACTGATAATATAAGTACTTATACCCTGACTTTTTGTTGGTGTTTAATGCTCAAGAAAATGAATGCTATTGACTTTAAACAGTTGGTCGTTGACAAAGTCTTGCCTCAAAATGTCCTTTATTTTTCCTCGTTGCCTTTACGCAACAAAAAATGTAAGCATCTTCTTGACCGAATTCATATACAGTGGGGGGAAATAAATATTCGTACACTTGAAAAATCGTATTTTAATGTATGTAAGTACACAAACTTAACAGGAAAAGTGATTTAAATTATGTATAGAGACGCATAGTATTCAAAAATACTATCAAAAGAAATTAAATCTCAATGCAACAAAAAACAATGCNATCACTTTTCCTGTTAAGTTTGTGTACTTACATACATTAAAATACGATTTTTCAAGTGTACGAATATTTATTTCCCCCCACTGTATGTCCATTTATTTCTCAGTATTTTTTTTCACCTTTTATTTTTCCTCGTTATTTTAAGGAACGAAAAATGTAGGCTTCTTCTTGACCGAATTCATAAATGTCCATTTCTAGTATTTCTTACACGTTTCAAGTATGATCTTTATTTTAACAACTTTAAATTACTATTGCATGTTTAAAATGTCCGAATTTATAAATGTCCATTTTTAGTATTTCTTTCACGTTTCGAGTATGATATTTATTTTAACAACTTTAAATTACTATTGCATGTTTAAAATGTCAGAATTCATAAATGTCCATTTATTTCTTAGTATTTCTTTCACGTTTCAAGTATATTATTTCTTTTAACAAATTTAAATTACTATTGCATGTTTACAGAACTTGGGCTTGTTCGGACCGCTGCGGCAACTGGAGCTCTGGAGCCTCCGACAGCTGCAGGCCGAGGGTCGCCTGCTCAGCGCCGTCCTGAACCACAGCACACAACTGGCCGCCCTCAGACCTCACCATCTGCTCACCATCCCACACGTCCAGGTGACATGCTCACCATCCCACACGTCCAGGTGACATGCTCACCATCCCACACGTCCAGGTGACATGCTCACCATCCCACACGTCCAGGTGACATGCTCACCATCCCACACGTCCAGGTGACNCTGATGGCAGGTCGTGGCAGGTGCTGTGGGACTCATGACACTGATGGCATGTCGTGGCAGGTGCTGTGGTACTCATGACACTGATGGCATGTCGTGGCAGGTGTTGTGGGACTCTGTGTCCACGTCCAGTGAGCAGTGGTGCGTGAGCGGCAGCGCGGTGGTGGCAGGTCTGCTGCCGGTCGTCTCCAGTCTGGTGCCTCCTGAGCACGCCGACTCCCTCCCCAAGGAAGGTCTGAACGTTTATATCAACTCAGATCTATAACATAGTTTTACTTTGAATGTGTTTTCTTTATATTGTCTCTATGATTAATGATACTTCGGTACCAATTCAAGTCTTCAAGTCTAAATTACATTAAATTATTGTTTAAAAATGTGCAAATAATTTAGCCCATTAAATTCCCTACTATAAATCTCTGTCGCGTTTGAAAACGAGCGTTCAATGCCTAATAATCGGAAACCGTAACTTGGCTCAGTCGCTTGTGTCGGGAATTTCAACCTCCTGGAACTTCTAACATTTTTGTCTCAGTAAGAAGCTTGTGCCATAAAATGCACCACATTCCTTTCATCTAACAGCATGGCCGCCCTCTCCTATGTTCACCGTGTACAAAAAGTTAATGCTCACCGTGTACACAATGTTAATGCTCACCGTGTACACAAAGCTAATGCTCACCGTGTACACAAAGTTAATGCTCACCGTGTACACAAAGTTAATGGTCACCGTGTACACAAAGCTAATGCTCACTGTGTACACACTGTCTCTTATACACATCTAGATGTGTATAAGAGACAGTGCTCACAGTGTACACAAAGTTAATGCTCACCGTGTACAAAAGCTTAATACTCACCGTGTACACAAAGTTAATGCTCACAGTGTACACAAAGTTAATGCTCGCCGTGTACACAAAGTTAATGCTCACAGTGTACACAAAGTTAATACTCACCGTGTACACAAAGTTAATGCTCACAGTGTACACAAAGTTAATGCTCACCGTGTACACAAAGTTAATGCTCACAGTGTACACAAAGTTAATGCTCACCGTGTACACAAAGTTAATACTCACCGTGTACACAAAGTTAATACTCACCGTGTACACAAAGCTAATGCTGTGTGCACAAGCTTAATACTCACCGTGTACACAAAGCTAATGCTCACAGTGTACACAAAGCTAATGCTCACAGTGTACACAAAGTTAATGCTCGCCGTGTACACAAAGCTAATGCTCACCGTGTACACAAAGTTAATACTCACCGTGTACACAAAGTTAATACTCACCGTGTACACAAAGGTAATGCTCACCGTGTACACAAAGGTAATGCTGTGTGCACAAGCTTAATGCTCGCCGTGTTTTGAAGGTGTACGCTGACCGTGTTGCCGTGTTTGCAGTGCTCGAGTCGCTGGTCGAGCAGATGTCGGGGTGTGGACGCGGCCTGTACACGGGCAGGGAGGTGGTCACCGCAGGCCACTTCTTGCAGCATCTCCAGCCTCCCCTGCAGGCGACCGTGCCTGCCGTGGCCTCTGCCATACTCATCGCCCGCAAGCTCTGTGTCCTCACTCCCCAGAGGTGAGCAGCAAGCTCTGTGTCCTCACCCCTGACGGAGCGCATGCCGTGCAGCTGGGGACATTGCTGCTCAGAGCGCCGCCTCACATCGTCCTGCTTGTCACTGAGTACCTCGCTTCTCTGCACGCTAACCCTGCCGCCCTCGCTCAGGTAAATACTTCGTATACAATCTATGTTTTACCAGACTTTTTACGGCGGCATTAGTGTATCATAAGTGTCACTCGTAGTCTCATTTATGTCATAAATGTATCAGTTCTCTTTCTACTGCGTCATATTCATCATCATCTTCAAGAACAGACTAGACGAAGCTATGCAGGAGCATATGTTCAGTCTTAAAATGCCTAGCAAATTACGGACCAGGCAATAAGTCCAGCAGCTATCTCAATCAATCGTCAGCTATGGAAAGATCGGGTTCCAAAGGCCGCATCCCTTGTGAATCAAGTCACGGAAAGTTCAAGAATCGGCAACAGGCCGTGGGCCTATTTCTTCAACGCCGACATTCCTATTCTATTCTTATTCTATATATTCCGCCTTTAGCGTCATCGATATAGCAGCCATCTTTCTACTGGGTGATTTTCGTCAAAATATTTCTTCCGCTTCATGAAATTGAGTGCTTCTAGAAGTCATTTGGTCTCACTCGCTCCCTCTTGAACGAGTAAGTTTTTATTATTGAACGAGTTTCGTACATGTTGGATTCCATGTTCTTGGTCCGCCGGTATCGTCTGGGGATTTCAAGTGTTCCTTCTATCAAGGATTATTTAGATGTCTTCCATCTTAGGTGCGTCGCGATACGCTTGACGTAAACATAAACGGTTTTCCTACCAAAAACTGACTTCAGACACAATAAATTACTGGGTCTTGAAAAATATGATAACGAAATTCTCACACGTTATTAGGAATAAGTTCCTTTTCCCACTCACTCGAGGCGACTAGGGTTAATCGAAGAAGTTGCAGCTAAAATTTTCGGTCGTGTGTGTGAGCTTTACAGCATCGTCAATGTTAGTCCTTGTAAGTATTCGTAATGTCGCAGATTTTAAGACTTTTTTGCATCGCCAAAATCGCTTTTGCGCTTGTTTTCTTATCAGCTTCTTATTGATCTCAAGTTCATGTACTAGAAATTGGTAAAATGTGGCGATTAAATTGCTGGAAATATTATAAATATTTTCTCTTTTGGTACGAGTGTGTTGTTGATCTATCAATAACTTACTCATATCAATTGTCATGCATCATCAATTACAAATAACGAATTTTTACAGATGCTAGAAGTTTGTCTGCTGGAGCTAGAGTCTCCCAGGAGTGATGACCGAGCGTCGGCTTGTGAGCTTCTCGCCACGATAGCTGCCCTCACTCCCCAGGCCTGTGCCCACCGCCAGCCTCACATCGCACGAGTTGAACGATCCAGTCTATGCATGGAACCTTCCGTGCTCGATCCTAAACTCGAAATTCCTCTCTTCATTAATGAGGAGAAAGTTGCGAGTGACCACAGTGGAAGCACTTCGTCAAACCTGGACAGCGAGGAGCTGGGCAAAGGCAATCGTTTCTCAGAAAACTCGAGTTGCAAGCCCAACAGGAAGAAGAAAGATGGTGAGAACGTATTCAGTCAGTTATTAAATCGTCGTAAGAGTAACGCTTCATCTACGTCTTCTACTCGTTCGACCAAATCTAACAAATCGTACGTTGATTCTGGCATATCTTCCTCTCCGAAGCGAGGTAGTTTAGTATCTTCATTAGAGTCGTCAAGCTCGACGGACTACAAACGTGAGGACTCATTGTCAACAAGGAACCGCAGTCCTGAGGACGTCATGTCTTCTTCTTACCCATCAGCCATGAGTACCCGCACGTCCCTGGCTCAGCGACTTCAATGCGTCCGGCCACACTCTTCTTATGACGCCCATCCTCTGGAGGTTTCATCGTCCGTCAGTCCTCTCGAGCCGTATCCTGCAGTGCGTTTAGCCACGCTGTCTCAGTTTATTGAGATCTTGTCGTTCGTGCAGCACAACGACAGCAGCTATAAGGTGCAGAAAGCAGCTAAGCGCGGCCTGCAGCAGCTCGGATCTGAAGGTGCCGAGGCTATGCAGCAGTGGACCTTGTCGGCTCACGGCTTCCAGGGCGTTAAAGTCTGTAGAGATAATAGACATTAAAAGACGCTGTAGATATTGAAGATATATACTTTCTTAGTTTTGATGAGCAGCGTGTCCGAGACTCGTGTTTGCCTACCGGATTACTTGCTTTAATGTTGATTTGTTCGTCATAGAACTCGGGCGTAATAATAGTACGAATTAATTGATGGCTTTTGTTGACGCCCGCACTCGATTTTTGTGTCGTATATCCGTTGTCGCATTGCAACTTCTCTTCGTTATTTTGATAGAGCAATTGTTGTGCATCAGTGGACGTCACAGTTTTTGCTATGTTGTAAGCAGACTGTCTCCATACGCCACTCGCCAGTCTCGTATTGTATGCTTCCTATGCAGCGGCCGAAGCGTTTGTAGCAGCAAATGGACGACCATTGCTGACTGCAGTTTACTGCTCTCCCAACTGAATTTGAATTCAGTTAGAACCGATAAATATCGGTAGTGATTTATTCTTAATTGGTCTCTAGTGTTATTCGTGGCGAGAGAATGACCAGGTTTTTAGTGTTGGACTTGATGCTGATTTTATTACCTCTACCTTCTAAGCGGGTAGAACGTAACTCTTCCCTCATATGTCATACCATCAATCCATCGGTCCGTATTTTACCATATACTATATTATTTTTTCTTGATCATCAAGTACCTGCCCTAACTTTTCTTCGTCGCTAGTTTGTTTGCAAATAATGCTGTAAATAGAATGCTTCTGGCCTCTTTATGTCTCATAGTTATTATTCGGAAGTCTCGAGTCTAGTCACATGATCAGCTCGTGAGTCAGTGTGGCGGCACGTTGCTCGTGTTTTATATTTACTTATTTTGCCTTCAGTCCGTCTTGCTGTATGAAGGTTCGCGCTATGTCTTTTTGCACGATATGCTACAACTTTATTTTTTATGAAATAATTGGGCGACTTCAGTTGTCTTTTTTATGAAATAATTGGGCGACTTCAGTTGTCTTTTTATGTAATAATTGGGCGACTTCAGTTGTCTTGCATGAAGCATCTCGTCTTACGTAGTTTTTGTGATTTGTTTCGCTTCTTTTTCAGATGATTTTTTTTTCAAGTGGAGTGTTGGCTTACCGTAAAATATTGATCTTATCGCTCATTACCTCATTTTAATCAAGCTGGATCTGAACTTCTAATTTTTCAGCATTAATATCAATTTTTCGTGCCTAGTAGTGCAATAAGCAGTGTAATGAAAGAACAATTTATGCAATGCTCTACCATGCTATGTGTCGTAGGTAGTACGTTTGGTTTTGAAATCTTGTGATCAAAACATGCAAAACTTTAGTCCATATGATTTAACGTGTAATTGTACGTCATCTCATATTTTCAAAACATTTATTACAATTATATATACGTAAACTCGCAACACTGTCGGTAATATAATAAGCTGTTAGAAGAAAATTTCGAGGCAAAAAACGTTTTCAAAAGTTGATGAGTGAATTGCCTTCCTATCGGGATTCCGGTAACTTTATTTATTCTAATACATTTTCCATTTCCATTTTCGCACTTTTTCATATAATTTTAACGGAGCTTTTTATGTCTTGTGCATTAATTCATTTGTAGCGTGCGCTTTTGGACAATGTTCTGGTCATGTATTGCAAGCTTACTGAATCTCATTTACTATACAAAATGTCCATGCCTAAAAATTTCCTCCAGTTTCATGAACGAAGCGTGATATTTCTCTTTGGTAACGGCTTACGAAGACTGGTTGTTACTAATGTGTAGCTGAGAACGGTTATTGGTGTTCCATCAATAAGTTATGAAGTTAAAGAAGAGTTTCAAAGTTGGTGGTGTTTGTGGACAAAGAATGACAAGCCGAAGAAACGTCTGAGGCCCTTCTCATTATATGGGTAATGTTAATGGGAGTGTGAGGTTACTGATGGCTGTATAGTGATGTTACTGAAGACCGATTAGTGACCGTATGGTTTTCTCTCAAAATATTTCGGTGTTATTATATTTGGGCGGAGTGTTGCTCAGCTTCAAAGCTAGACACTCGAGACTGGGAGGTATCAACTTTGGTCAAGGAGGTACAGAATCACTAATTTAGTCATGATTGACCGTTTTCTATTACCGATATATTACAGAAGACTTTATTTGTGAATAAAGAATTTTTTTATGTCAGTTAAAGTAGTGATGCCGACCCAAAGTAATCACAGATGTATTTGATTTGAAATGTCGTACCGGTATATCAGCACAATTACGGCTTCAAGGATCTAGATTTTCTAGAGCAAATCTGGCTTGCATTGTTTTTCTTAGTTGTTGACTTGTTTCGACGCCTGCTTAATGTGTCAAAGGTAAACGAAATTGCTGGATGCTTGCTTGCAAGCAAGAATGGGAGCTGAGCTCTATTGATGAAGACGCTACGTTGCATGTATATGATGAAACTAGGAAGCTTAGGCATACACACAGTAATACATTATCAAAAACGAAATTTCGAAATGTCAAATTTTTTCGTATAAGACAGTTTTTTAATCTTATAAGGCAGTATTTTTTAAAGTTGGTTTCCTTGAAAACTCGTAAGGCTCGCATATCTGCACGAAGGATCGCGCACACACGTCGTCGCATTCTGTATTTTGATCGCTTCGAATTTGAACGAAGCCGTGGACACCGTCAGCTCGTGTCACATCCGTACCACATGCACTGAGGCTCTAAGAGGTAAGGCTAGTGATGAATGGATGAAGTGAGCTTCCGTCATCACGTGCATTTTAGTGTCCGTGTTTGAGTATTGTCTCATTGCAGTGAGGCGCTCTAGAACTACACGTTTCTATCTATAAATTTGAATAAAATTGAATGGTTAACTTTCAAGCTTTTGATACTCTTCTAAAAAGGCCTATTTAAATTCTATCCCATATCAAGATTAAAACCGAACGAGTTGGGTTAAACGAAGTAATTGGGGAAACTTAATTGTCTGAAATTTGATCATTATAGCTTGACGGTATCATTGCACTGCGCGTCGCGCTCAGGATGGCGCGTGCGTCTCATTTCTGAAGGAGCTTGCGTCCTCCGAGCCGACTGGACCAAATATTCGGAGTGTAGTTGCGTCTCGATGTGAGCAACTTCATGACTGGACAATTTACTTTTCCTTAAACTATATTTCATTCTGTTGTAGCAAACTCTGATGCTATTATGAATTGTTGTGTGGTGTATAGCGAGTGCTCTCTTCTGGCTGCTGGGGCCGAGGAGGATTATGTTACGCACAGAGAAGAGGACGAAAAGTCAAGTAAATGATCTGTTGAAAGGTTCGGATCAATACCATTCCTTTCAAATTCTTGTATATTTCAAATGTTGCTAACCTCCTAAATAGACGATGATCTGGAGGAATGTAAAGTATTTGTCTCGAAATCGAGATGCATTTTGTGACGGCTGAAGAGCACTTTTTTATGTGGTTTATTGTTTTCGCCGGATATGTATACATGCTGAGTGTATTGTTATCACGAATAAGAAAGGTCTAATCAAAAGTGGATGTTATTATTACCCTAGTCTGTAGTCTGCGCGTAAAATTCTACCTCGTCAAGGTCTGCTGATGGGAGGCTGCAATTTCAGGTATAATTATCTTCAGTCGGCAGCCCGCGGGCCACATCTGTAGGTATATCTACACACTTTCTGAACAGTGGTAAGAAGAAACAAGGTGGTGTAGAAACAAATTAAATAAGCACCTAATCATAAGTGGGCCAACTAAGAAGAACAAAGCAGTCACGCTCTAGCCAAGTTTAAATAAGGCTCGCTATGAACGGCAGCGGCCCTGAGCTTACCAGCCAGTAGTGAGGCGGTAAGGTAAGCTCACCACCAGCCCCCGCCTCAAGACGAAATTAACTCGAGCTCTGCTATGGCGCTTGTTTGGCACGCCGGGTGTTGAGGTACATATTTCTTACGATCTGTACACCTTGTAACGTATATAACTTGCATTATGTAGGTAATTTTAACGACGTATGTAAGGTATGATGCGAGGTCTTGGAATTAAATATCAATCGTGAGCGCCACAGTACGCCCCCAAATCGTTCGGGTTCCTAACCTGATGCCAAACGATATTGCCTTTACTATCAATTGAGCTGCTCCAAGATCATGTTACATTCCACACTGATAATATTGATGTTATATAGATAATAACAAAATCTATCAATTTCCACGAATGCAAATCAGTGGGAAACCAATAATCAAATTTAATTATTTAATCTTATTGATTTCGACAAATTCATAATTAGTTTGACAATCGGAAGATTTTTTAGAACGCTAGTAAATAATGGAATTGGCTTCTCGTGCGCTAGTTACAAATCATTCCCAAGGAAATTAGGTTGCCTTGTAGTGTTAGATAATTATAAGACAAGATAGATAAGAGATAATTATAACGTTGATTAAGTTATCGAATAAAAAAAGCTTTCCACAAGAAATTTCTTGTATCGACCACAATCTTTACGAGTAAAATAACCTGAGATTTTTATGGTTGTCAATTAATGAACCGTTAAGAGAGATCGTTTATTAAAGTCCAAAATGAATAAAAGCGACTTTTACCGATACTAGACCTATCATTTTAAGTCTCTTCTCGAGGCTTCCAGACAGGCTCAATATTACGTTCATATTTTTATTCCATCAAAAATTATTGTTCAAAATGAGCATCTGTAATATGAACTTCGTTATTTCAACAGTACTCTAGATTGAAGAATCTATTTGCAATTCCTAAAAAATATAAAGAAGCGGAAAAAATCAGAAAACATTCATTGTAGAAGATGATAAGCTAAAAGAAGCTCCCTATACATGCATTCACCCTACATGCAGCCTAGCGTTGACGCCACAAGCGTTGCCAGCCACAATTGCACCAGAAAGCCATAAGCTGAGGCTCAACCGCGTCAGTAAGGCTCTGGTAACTGCATAGGAAGGTCGTCGCTCGCTAAGGCTCCGTCAATAACGGTACTGAACTTTATTTGTTCCTGCCTTTCAAGTTAAGTCTTAATTTTTGCTTTCATGCTTTACATTTGTACATGTTGCTAGATAAACGAGCTCAAAGCACCTTTAGTTCGCAATTTGGCTTTTAAAATTAATATGATGACTGCGTAATATTGCCAACCTGTTGCTATTTTGCCGCAGAAATTAAGCGAATGTTGCAAGTTTACTTGCCACTAGCATGCTGTAACCTGTCAATAAAACGGTTTAATTAACTTTGATTTAGAATTTTAAGATCATCTAAGGCTGCCGTTAATAAAAGCTGAAACTGTGAGTCAGTAGTGATCAGCGTCAACCTAATACATTAGGCTACCCATATAACAAATATCTAACTCGAACTGTTAAAAATGATAGCAATCGTAAATGAATTGTCATGGCCTCCCAATCTATCAAGAAATTTTCTCCAGACGTTCACAGGAAAAGTATGCATTTTACAATTTCTGGGTAGCATAAAGTTCCTGTTGATAGAAATTAAATGCGTGAAATTTAATGTAGAAATAAAATCATAATCAATGTTCCATAAGTTACTTGGTCTCTAATTCTATAAATAAACTATTGTGATATTAGACCTTATGAATATAGAGAATTGTGACTTGAAGCAGCTGTTGGATCAGTAGCTCGAAGTATTCGTTACTATGTAATATAGATCGCAATTGGCGAAAATAAGTCTTAATGAAGCCTTCCCGAAGAAAATTTGACATATTTTCGAAAATTTCTGCAAGTTGATCACACGACTCTGATGGACGGCACAATGGCTAGCATTACGCTGTGTGATGAGCAATCTTTAATTATTACAAGGTTATATGACCTACGTGGCATTTAGCTTTCTTCACCTCATCATCATCACTCATTATGCTCGCTCAAAAATGGCACCTTTACAATGATTGCACATGAAGGATTGCGAGCTGAACACGAGAAGACATGACATTATGAACTGATTTCACTAAATTTCATAATTTTCTATGTACAACTCTAATCTCTGAATACATTAAATATAAATTTTTGTGGGCGAACGTATTGTTAAGAGCACCTGAAACGCTTATTTAATACCAGTAGATCTGATATATACTGGCATTTACATTCAGCATGTTGTTTTTATGATATTTATTAATAAATATTTAATGATAGGATTGATTTAATCATGAACTATTTGAAAATATGTCTGTAAAATCACGCAACGCAATTGATGAATTTATCTTATACAATCACCACAGTTTAAATATTAGATATTAAATCAAAATTAATCTGTAGGTATGAACTGAATAGCTTTCCATCACTCACTCAAATTCGAAAAGATTCTGCTACTACCACGAGATGAAAATACAGAAAGAGGCTAAAGCTTGGTGTATACGTACTGCTCGTTTCCGAGCACACCTCATTAAATATCTAGGAATTAAATATTATTAGTTTTAAATATAATTATATTTTGAATTAAATATAATATTAATTAAATATTATTATCTAGGAATTAAATATTATTAATTAAATAGCACACCTCATTAAATAATAGGAAGATGATGGACAGAGGCACAATAGCGTCGCCTCAAATCAGACATGCATGGGGTTATTGGGGAGGCAAATTTCAAGTTACCCACTTGTTCATTTGCCCGCCACTTGTTCACTTGCCCGCCACTTGTTCACTTGCCCGCCACTTGTTCACTTGCCCGCCACGGTAATGCATCAAACATCATAAAGACTCCGACGTGAAAGCAGCAAGATAAATTTCACCTTCGTAATTATACATCGTGGAAATGACATAATGGTTTGTAAATGTGAGTCAGAAGTTCTTCAAAAGCTAATCCTTTAGTTTTTGGGATAAAATATCCTGTAGTTTTCCCAAAAAATATCCTAATAATCCTGTAGTTTTTGGGATAGAATATCCTTTAGTTTCCCCAATAAAATATCCCAATAATCCTGTAGTTTTCAGTTGAGAGTTTCGTGCCAAAACAGGCCAGAGGCTCGCTGGGAGGTCGTATATAGTCTCGCTTATAGGCGTGTTTGGCAGCTGTCGGCACACCTGTGACTCATAAGCTCTTTCTGTCCTCGACTCGCTTGTATATTTCAATCTGAAAAATATTAATAGGCAAGAATTTCGCCAGAATGCGGCAGAAATTAACTCATTTTACTCGGCTATATTAGAAACAGAACTGCGTGACTACTAATCTTTGTATGCATTAGACAAACATCGTGCGCTCCATTCTGGTGAGACTTTTCTCTCGTTAGTTTTCCATCTACAAGCCATGAGTGCATTTCAATATCTTCTTGTTGTTGCTGTTGTCTTCTATTAAAGTTCAAATATTTCACGCTCAACTAATAATTATGCAAACTTCACATAAGGAGCAGCTTTGTGCGCATACATAAACGCGGTAACCTCTTACCTTCACGCTAATGTTGTTCTTCCTAACAATCAATGATAATCTTATATTAAGTATTTAATCATGTACTGCGACGTCCATATGTGTCCTCCACCCTCACGTGTACCGCCCCAGTTCAGCCAGAGGCATCAGTAATGAAATAATAAAAGTCAATACGTTTGCTATAAAAGTTCATCGCATTTTCAACTCAGATCAGCGTCAGTTTTAATTCCATAAAACGAAAGTGTTCGAGATAAATCGCGCCAATGGATCATCACCAAACGGTTCATCAATCATCATGTCAGTTTTGTCTAGCATTTTCGACGATCGCCTTAATTCCATAAAGCATAAGTGTTGTAGATAAATCGCGCCAATAGATCATCACCAAATGGTTCATCAATAATCATATCAGTTTTGTCTAGCATTTTCGATCAAATGGCGCCGTCTGGTTAGATAGTCTCACGGAAGAGCTTGATCAGCAATTGGCCGGTCGAGGCAGGTCGCATTTTTGTTCAGGTCGCGGTACTCTGATCAGCAATTGGCCGGTCGAGGCAGGTCGCATTTTTGTTCAGGTCGCGGTACTCTGATCAGCAATTGGCCGGCCGAGGCAGGTCGCATTTTTGTTCAGGTCGCGGTACTCTGATCAGCAATTGGCCGGTCGAGGCAGGTCGCATTTTTGTTCAGGTCGCGGTTAATACTGAATATTAAGAAGATTTTTTTTAATCGGTGACATGAAAATTCTGATGATGTCAAAAATTTTATCCATTTCATGAATTGTTGAAAATACTAAATATTAAGAAGATTTTTTTTAATCGGTGACATCAAAGTTCTGATGATGTCAAAAATTTTATCCATTTGTTGAATTTTTGAAAATATATAACTTTTTTCTGAGCTTGCAAATAACAGCCGATAATTTTGGAGTAATAATCGAAGTAGCGCACTTTAATGTCTCACGGTATATTGTTCGAACTTCTGAAAAAATGGTATAAACTGGTTTAATGTAAACTTGTTGTTTATGGTTGAAACAATAGACTGATATAATTCACAATAGTCACTCAGCGCGCGTCGAATCCTCGCTTTAGGTTTGTAAATTATACAGCACCTGCTAAGGCTAAGTTAACGATAAAGATAGAAACTATACAAAATACAGCTATATTTCTGCAAAAAAATACTCATTGACTGGAATTTCTAAAATTATTCCAGTAGGAGCGTCAAATGAAAACAACGAGAACCATAGTATTAATATTGACGTAATTGTCAGCGTACATGCATATTTCACTTTTCTTAATTACTGGACTTCTTCGATAATTTTGAGAAGATATTCTTACATTACGTTCTAGTTAGCTCCGTCAAACACTGAACTCGGAAGAAAGTTAAACATGCGAACTAATATACGTAGATTCGATTGGCAAGTCACGAGGTAAATATATATATATATATATATATATATATATATAACCGTCAGACTTAGAATATCTTTTATTCCTAGACACATGCAACAACGTCAACGGCAGTCGTATTTCTCTGTCCCGTAATTGCAAGAGGCAATTAATTATTTAGAAGTTGTGCAGAATCTTTTACAGATTCATCCAAGTTTGTTAGAGTGCGCGTGCGTATGAAGCCTGGCGTCGCAAATGCTCATATAATGGGGCTGTTTGAACGCGTTTTTATTACACTAATCGTGTCGGTATATTACCAGCAAGGACTTGAAAATTTACACTTTGTTGAAGAATATTAAAGCATTGGAAATATGAGAGTAAAAGTTTAGACTAAATATTGAAATGTCAGAATAGGTATATACATACAAATTTAATTTAAACTATTTAAAACGGTTTTAATTCGTATCTCGGAATGAAAGTCAAATCAGAGTTCCATCTAAAATTTTGATTAGAATTGGTTTCTTCGATTAGTACACATTAATTTAATTATTATTAACAAGATTCATATAATGACGGGAATCGTAGTTCTAAAATTGCAAAGTTTATCGAACCCGGAAAACTCCTGGACCTGAACATTCATTCAGCTAAAATGGATGGACTACTGAATGACGGAATGCGGGATAATAGAATTCAGGAACACATGGATGATATGATTTGATTCTGAATAACTGAATTTGGAAAGTCTGGATTCAGGGCAACAGAATTTTCAAACCAAACAGATTATTTGCTCTGGGCGACGCGGTTTTGAACTAATATCGCAAAAATTTGGAACATAATTCGAATGATGTCCGGACAAAGTTTGGTTAGAGTGCGACCAGAGTTCGGAGAGTGTGCGCCGCCAATAGCATGTAAACCGATTGAGACCCTGGACGCTTGGTCCACTGAGTGTATTTATCCTATTTATTATATATATTAAGACTTTGTATCTGCCTCATTGAGACCTTGCATCTGCCTCATTGAGACCTTGCATCTGCCTCATTAAGACCTTGCATCTGCCTCATTGAGACCTTGCATCTGCCTCATTAAGACATTGCATCTGCCTCATTAAGACCTTGTATCTGCCTCATTAAGACCTTGTATCTGCCTCATTAAGACCTCGCATCTGCCTCATTAAGACCTCGTATCTGTCCTACGTTCAGCGCCGCATGAAGGGCCACGCAAGTGGGCGGTATAGGTGTGAGGCGGGTGCTATTTACAGACAACCTTGAGCGCACTCAAGAATAATCTTCGCTGCTCGTCGCCCAGATTGAAAAAAATTACTCTAATTATTAACGCTGAGAGAAAACGCAAAAACTTTAAATAATGAGATGAAAATGAACTGAAACTACCCGTATGAGAAAAGGCCATTCGTCATGAGACTCGCATCGGTGCCCTGATGGTGCAACGGCTACCGTTGTAAATCGTCCATAGGTTACAAGAAAATCTTTACGATGTGTATGTAAGTATTAGGCAGGAAATCTATTTCCACTGTACCAAATTCATCATCGCGTAATAAAATTTCCCAGACAGAGAATCTGTCACTAAACTAAAATTCAGGAAGATGTAATGGGACTCAATACACCACGTAGAAAGTAGAATGCAGTGGTCCGATCCCTCTTAAGCTGTGGAACTGTAGCAATATATGCCATTTATTTAAAATTCTCAAGACATTTAGTCTGACCAATTACAACTCATCATGAGTTTGATGTATGCAAAGTAAACTTTATTTTGTTTACTTGAAACATAGATGATTTAGTAGTGATTAACAGCACAAAATATCTGATTGTACGAGTTTTTAAATACTTCTCGATCAGGAAGAAGGCCGAAACAAACCCTAATCATATCGAAAGTCTTTCATTTTAAATTTCCCATTAGCGTGCTGTGGTAAGAAAAAAGTTCATTTCTAACATACATGCAAAGCTGTTCATAAACAGTTTATTTATTTATCTTAATAATTAAAACTTCTCATCGTTACTCGTGCAGGAGTTGTGAACCTGTGCAAAATATGTGCATGTCGTTCGATATTTACATTTGTTTTACAAAGATTTTAATTATATAATTATTAACAATTAGTTTAACATTTCGGGCACATTTGTTCCTTTAGCTTCTTGTTTCTGAAAACCTATCAGGAAATGCATTACTTGTTAACTTGAATGCTAATTCTCAAAGTTAGAACTCACGAAGCAGCAGTGACTTATCTTTTTACCAAAACGGACTTATTATTTTTTCTAAAATTTTTAATTTCACATCAAAGGCTTCGTTCCACTTTCGCTAATCAGTTTGAAATATTTTGACAGGAATAGGGTGCCCTATATATCATTTGCTGATTGTCTCAATGATTGATATGATCTTCTTTATTTCAGTTGTCTGTTTGACTGACATTTCTTTCTTGGAGCTTCGCTCATTCTGTCTTGCTTCGCTTAATACGCAGGCAAGTTTGACTTTTATTTGCCACGCAACGTCTTCTTATTCTAATTCTGAAAATCTTCTATACTTCCGATGCTTTATGAATATATTAAATCAAATACGAGGTGGAACATCTGCGAGCAAGGAAAGTGAATTAATGCCCATGTTTTCCTTTTGTCAGGTGCGAACAATCGTTAAGAGCGAGCTTAACAAGTAACAATATGTATTACTATCCAGCTCACTACGAGGCTCGCTACGAACCCTACGACTACTACAACTACTACGACAGCCTCAAGTACCTCCGTCCGGGGTTTGTCACCACGCGCTACTACATCGGCAACCCCTACATCACCAGCTACAGTGACGGTCGCTTCGAGCTCCTGCGCCGCACCCCAGTCTATTCTACTCTGAGGAGTAGGTCCGTTGAAAGGGAAATCACACCTCCGAGGTTCGTTCGGGCGTCTAGCATCCCTCGGCAAACCTCTCCACCCGCAGAAAATCTCAGGCACAGTACTAGAGCATCGAGTGTGCCTCCCACAGATTCCTTCACTCCTTCCATAGTGCACTACACTCCCAAGCTATCGGAAAGCTCATCTCCCGCAACCACTTTTTCGTACTTCTCCCGTCTTCCAGAAGTACCCGGTAAAATGCCTGACCAGCCCAAGAGAATCTTTACCGCAAATCCTGTCTCGTTTGGACCTCGGGTCTACACGAATCTCTCTGTATTCCCCACCATGAGGCACTCTTCATACAGCCTCATGACTCCCATTGACCGATTCAGGTACCGCACCGTGCCAACCAAGTCGTACAACACGTATCCCAGCTCGTCGTACTACAGCTACCCCACTCCTACTAGGACCACGTCGAGCGCATACCGCCAGAGCGACCTTTTCCCAACTCGCTTCCAGATCGACCGACTCACGTCGCCTAGCGTTGAACGCTTTTACGCCGGTCGTCGGACACAATATTAGTTTTCACGATGAAATAGTACTTGTCTAAGGAATGTCTAGGTAAGAGTCTGTGTGAGATAGATGTTCAATGGAGTTTGAGCTCCAACTTAATGGGAATGGCATGAGCACTTGCACAGTCAATCGCATCGTGCATAAGTGGCTGATTTCATCGATCGATTGATGTATGATTCATACGCGGGGGGACTATCACTGCATTGAAATTTTCAAGATACGATGATTTCACTAAGGCTTATCTATATTAACTCACTGCCACGCTGAAAGATTTTTCTTCACCATAATTTTTAATTCTTTGTTTCCGTTGGCAACCTTGCTATTGGGAGAATGTCAGGATAACACTGGATCTCCTATATATATCGAAACTTTAATTTACTAGTGTGAGCTTAACTTCATTTCTTTTGCGGAGTATCTTTTCTGAAGGACATGGAGGTTTCGTTGCCAGCTATTAAACACGGATGGAATATATTATATAAGGCTAAAAACAACAAATTTTGAGTTAAGATTCGGAGGGTAAGCGTTGAGTTGTAGGTTGAAAATGAGCGCGTGTTGTCAACCTACAACTGTGCGCTGAAAGTAAATGTCCTCGCCGAATATATATCAAAACGTTTAAAGGATAAAGAAATTATACGACGCTTTGAATCCCACGGTTCAGCCACTTTCATCGTAAGGCATTCCTCATCAAATGTTAACTTTTTACAGTTAAGAAAAAATCCAAAGATGAACCAACATGTCTATTTTCTTTATTTGCTTCTTTCTACGACTTCGAATGTTTTCTAGCTAAGCTATCCTTCTATCGACCGAACCTTCCTTCAAACCTTTATAATGCGAGCATAACTCGTTCTCCCGAGGAACTATTCGTTTCGGTTAGAAGGCTAATAGGCACGAACTGGGCCGTGATGTAAGATCTCGCTCGTGTCTCATTAGTCTCAAGTCTTGATCGATTCCTCTCTCGAGACGAGTCCCAAATAAGCTACTCTAAAACGTTTACTTGCTTTTATGGCAAAATTGTCGTAATTGCGAAAAAATAATTACAGTTACGTGACTTGTTTCATTTAATCCCCTGGAAACGAAGGAATTTTCGCTTTGTCTCCTCAGTAAGGGTTAACGCAAACTAAAAGCGATTATACCTCAGCGACCGAACAATACAGGAACTTTTAAATACATATGGCACAGACGAGTAGTAACATTTTGTACATCAAAAATACATTCAAGAAAAGGTTAAAAGTTTTGATGATGACAGGTAAAATATTCGTTAGCTATCCCATGCGATTCGAAGCCCTGGGCCGAGTTATCGAACATGCCCCGAGTTACGTAGCAGCTAGTGTAGTAGTTTGTCATTGGTTGGTCCAGCCCGAAGGCTGTTCATTGTACAAGTTAATACAGCAATAGTTGAACTCTGCTCTGTTGTTAACACGACAAACGTATGAAGTACTAACCTTGATGGAATCTTACCACGCACACAATCCTAAATTCCCCATTAGTGCGATGAAGTAATCTACATTTCTGTTAACTATTTTGAATTGGATGGAAGTAAAAAATACGTGTTCATGCAAGCATCGAAACCTACCTATATTAAAAGAAAAAATTATGACAGTATGTCCATTAATAATGGGTTCATGGAGCTTAACCAAATGATATAGAAAGTTAGTCTGTAATAATGATATTAAAATGGTTCTCAGGAAACTTGCGACGTCTAGTAAAATAACAAAGCTCTTACCTTCACATCCTGTGGTGTGGGTGGAGGCAACCGACCTCGTAATCCTGTCACCGAAAATCTATGAAGGCAAGAAGCTTCTTAGGGTAGGCTGATGCTTTCATAACATAACATAAGTTCATAACATAGTGATGTCGGCGCTGAAGAGTAGGCCTGATGTGGCCTGTCGCAGTCAGTCTTGTCCCAATTACACTGATATGGAAAGTTTAGCTCATTTAGTACCGGAATGAGAATGAACAATGTGTCACACATTGACTGCAGACGTTCGTCACCAAATAGTATTGAGGTGGCCATTTTTCACTGACTAATGTATACACCTTTGTCGTCACTCATATGCCGCCATATTGGAAGTAAAGTGAAACTAACTGACGATAAGTAGAACAGTTGCTGCTCATTACCGGACGCTAAAATGATATTTTATCCAGAATTAAGAACATTAAGTGATGAAAACACTTTATGTATTAACCAGGTGGCATTATGTTATTTATGTATGAAGTCTGCATTGAAAATGAGAATAAATTCTTGGAAATTTTCCTGGAAGCTGTTAGAAACTGCGGGGCATTGGAACATAAAAAGTTTGCTGCAGGCTGCATAAGACGGACTACGCTTGCCAAAACTCCCCCATGAATGAACATCAAATAGGATTTGTCGAACCCAATTATCTGATCATGAGAGGAAAAAAAAGGATAACTCCAAGAAAACGATGCAGAGCCAGCGAATTGCAAGAAACTGACTTGCTTGATTTTCAAACTGACTTTTAAACGGAATCTATTCACCCAAGCAGGCAATCAATCAACAATGAAATATTTTTAGATTACAATTCTTTATAGTCTGAAAAATACGTCATCGCGGAAAAAAATGTCTAGGAGAATCATATGCGGCATATTAACTTCTACAGTAAAAGGTCTAATATGAGTGAGAACAATCGTTATTCAAGATACTTCATTAATGCTTATCCTTCTACCGCCGTTTGTCACTCTCCGGGAACATTACTTTCAAATTAAATTGTACCTAAACTATTGAGTGTAGCAACCTGAGAACGTTTGTACACAACAGAGATCATTTTAAAGTCGTACGTGGCGGCGACCATCAGTGCAAGTCATTTTGTGCTCACTAGCAACGTATCCTTTTTGGATACGTGACATTAAGATACGCTTGTGTGACAATATTGCTCCGGTTACTCATGTCAGGCGGTAGAGGATTAAGAAGCACTTTTTTATATGGAGCAGCACGACCGCGTACCTGATGGAAAGCTACACGCTTCACGGAACAAGAGATGCTGCGAGACTCCAGGCTCAAGCTACGCTGACGAGCATAGAAGTTTGTGGGAGGATAATAAAATTCAGCGGTTAACAGACATTGCCGTAGTAAAACATTTAATTAGGGTACTCAAAGCCCGAATAAAAGATGGCGATTCTATTCAATAAATCACTTTCTCTACAGTTAAAGGATAATTAAATACCCATCAAAACATTTGTTTCATTCTATTCAGGTTTGGAGAAAACAGCAAGTGGATGTACCACCACTTCTACAGCCACTGAATATTTCTTTTCTAATAAAATTTGAACAATTCACAAAATAAGAAATTCTAATCCAATTATTTCAGATCGAGTAACTTTTTCAGCAGTCTAAATTTCTAGTCGCCAATTTTAAACTTCGATTTTCATTGAAATTGTAGTTACTTAAGCTTTTTTGACTCGTACGTCCAACACAAATATCTTGATGTAGCATTGTACCCCTGAAAAGATATAAAACGAGCAGGATGAAGTTATTAATACAAAACAGACGAATTAGTAGCTCAGACTAAGCACTAAGCAACACAAGGAAGTTGTAAGGAAATTTAGGTTAAGGCATTTCGATTTTAATATCAAATCGGAACATTCATAAGGGTAATCTGTTTATTATTTAGAAGTGAACTATTTCTGCTCTCCGTTTTACAAAATTAATTGTAACCACGATAAGAATTTTTCTCATGAAATCAATTTAGAAATTGCAAATTCGATCTACGTATTAAGTGGGTTATTTTTTCGTGACAATCTGGATGACGTCTTCATCGTGGGCTACGTGGTGCAGACCGACACGTTGCGGGTTGAACTTCGTACTCGTTCCCTGCAACACGGGTAACTCAAGTTATTATTTAGCTCAAATGCAATAAAAATGAAGATTAAACAGTGTGAGTAGAACTTAGTCGAGGTTTTGACAATAACATCTGGGCCTATACTTTCAAAAAAAGTTAAGAGATCGTAAGTTCATCCGCCAATCATTGACGGCCTTTCAAGCAAAATCCACCAATCATAGACAAGAAAATAGAGCGTAAGTACTTACGTTCACTTAGCAAGTTTTGAAAGTATGGCCCCTGAAGGATAGGAGAACAAGACTCCACCCTCAGGCGTAATTTTTAAAGAAAAGTTAAACCAGGACAGTTGGCTTTAAATTAATTCTCTAGTTCTCTGCGCACTACGCAACATTCTGCATGGAGTTCTTGTTGTAATCTATAGTTTCTTCACACAAATTACTTTTCAGTCTGTATTCGCTTACAAAAGAGTTACAAACAACACTTCAGATGAAAGAGGGTCAATCATTTTGTTGTAAATAATACTGCGATATGAGAAAGCAAAATCAAATTTTCTTTTCATTTCGAGGTGATCCTCAAATCAATCACGAAGGAAAAATGTCAATCAAAAACATTAATTGAAGAGAGGAATTATTACCAAATGAAAAAGTTTCTTCATCTAATTACCAGAGCTTCTTCACGATCAATCAAGCTTAGACAGTCACGCATTACTCACCCAGACTGTACATGAAGACAGTCACGCATCACTCACCCAGACTGTACATGAAGACAGTCACGCATCACTCACCCAGACTGTACATGAAGTTCACTAGTTACCGCTGTTACTCTCACCCAAACGAGCGCGTATTTGAAGACAGCTACGATGGAGCGGTGGATGGCATGGCACACATGCTCCACTGTAGACCCTCCCCTCATGATGATCGGGTCGCCAAAGTCAGGTGGAGAGCCTGGCTTCTTCGTGTATATCCTCAGCATGGCAAGGCTCTCCCAGAGGCGCTCGAGCAGGTAGTCCAGGTTTAGCTTCATGTTGCAACTGAAATAAAACAATAACTAGAATGTCGTACAAAAGATTTTTTTCAAATGAAGTTTATTTCAGAACCTTGCTGAATCAAGGGAAAAGCTTAGTTGGAATAAGTATGTTATGTTATTCCAAGTACCTATGTTATACATTCCAGATCAGTCACTGTTCCACTAGAAATGAGGAGAAGGGAACATGAAAGGTTACGTGACAATACTACGGGTAAGACTACAACACATTACAAAAGATGATACTCAAACTAAGAGATAGGAAGTCACATCAGTAGCTAAACCTTCATCGGTGCGAGGCATACGGTTCTTTTGCCAATGTTTGATATTAGTGCAAAAAAAAAAGTAATTCATAAGTCCTTAGGTCAGACGACAAATTTGGATGGTTGACGATATCAAGATTGAGAAAAAAAATGTAAACCTACAGTAAGTGAGAGGAATATGATGCCATGAACTATTTTCTTGTTAGCACAAAAACAGTGCTTGAACAGACGCATGTTGTCGTTATTGCCCATCCTGGTAGTGGCGACTAGGGAGGGGGGTGATAAGTCAGTTTTTCCAGGCACTTGGTGCCACTGGTAGTTCTACGACCATCACTGGCTCGCTGACCCGCCAGAACCATTTTATTGCGTTACACAACACCCTGGACAAGCCAGGTACTCATTTATCAACCAGAGTTGGATGAATGGCTGAGTTGACCATGAGCTGAGCTTCCCGGTAGAACTTGTCCTCAGTGGGACTCGAACCCGGGCGCTGGGTGCGAGAGACAGAGTCTCTCACCACTGCACTACTGCAGCTCGCATAACAGACCAAGTTTGATGATAATCACGTACGTACCTGACGACTATGCAGTTAGGCTGGTGCGCTATCCTATCAATTTCTTCAATGGAGATTTGGTCGACTTTGTTGTAAACGTAGAGGCAGTTCATGTACACGCGGTTGCCGGAGATCACGTCAATAAGCTCGTCAGCTCCACAGTCTTCACGAAAAATCACCTGAAAACGCATTTATAAATAAAACTGGAGAGGGATTCATTTCGCTACAAAGCTGACACTCATAGGCATTCCTAAACGTAGTACCTATATGATTGTGATGATTTTGGTGATGACAATGCTCGTAATTACAGAGTCACTTATCATTGCACAGGTACCCACAATGATTTATAATGAATTAAGTGAAAATTGTGTTTTTCTACTTTAAGCTTTGCTTTAAGTATGCAGACCGAGGTCTGGACCTCAGAGATGATGGAGCGTGTCAAGCAGCCATAAGGGCCAGCACTAAGGCCCAACTTACGGGCTAGAAAAATGCGACTCGCAAAATACTTACTTCGGCATTGAATATCTTGTACTCGTGCAAGATCATCTGCACCATCCGCTCATCCATCTTAGTGAGCGGCAACGTCGCGTTGAACTTCAGCCCTCCCATTTTCTTCTGTTTGAAGTAAATGCCTGCACGGCACAGGTAAAGATTAATAATTAGGGAGCATGATGGAGAGAAGTGTAAACAACCTCTATTCAGAATAATAATTAAACATTTCCTTGGCTCTCAAGAATTCATGTATAAATTTCCATTGATTGTGTTAACCCCACAATACTCTGAGAATGAGTATCAACACACAGATTTACTGAAAAACATATTCAACATTTCAGATCACAAATCACGCATCACAACCACCAGGTTCACCACACCCACCAGGTTCATCACACTCACCAGGTTCATCACACTCACCAGGTTCATCACACTCACCAGGTTCATCACACTCACCAGGTTCATCACACTCACCAGGTTCATCACACTCACCAGGTTCATCACACTCACCAGGTTCATCACACTCACCAGGTTCATCACACTCACCAGGTTCATCACACTCACCAGGTTCATCACACTCACCAGGTTCATCACACTCACCAGGCTGTCTCTTATACACATCTAGATGTGTATAAGAGACAGGCAATAACCTGTACACGACATCATCAGGACCAGGTCTGCCGTGCGCGCCACGGCAATAACCTGTACACGACATCATCAGGACCAGGTCTGCCGTGCGCGCCACGGCAATAACCTGTACACGACATCATCAGGACCAAGTCTGCCGTGCGCGCCACGGCAATAACCTGTACACGACATCATCAGGACCAAGTCTGCCGTGCGCGCCACGGCAATAACCTGTACACGACTGACTGCCACGACAATACATATAAAAACATAATTTAAGCTGGAGAGTAATTTGCTTTCTACGACAGTTTATTTTTCATTAGTTTTTATATTAGACGGAAAACATATACAGGGCAGGTGACTAAAGATAGAGTACGTCGACAATAGACAGAGAGGGCGACTAAAGATAAGACCGGTAACTAGACAGCAGTTGACTAAAGGGCGCAGAACAAGATCAAAATAGAAACTATTGAGCACACACTAAGGATCTCATCGTATTGGCGAGTCTCCAGAATTGTTTTTCTTTACCAGAATCATCACGTTTACCTTGTCAAACATAGAAAGAATTTACCTGTCGGCCGCGCCCTTTGCCTTGCGAGGCGCCTTCGATAATCCCAGGCAAGTCCAGCAGTTGGATGTTGGCGCCCTTGTATTCGATCACGCCAGGGATGCATGTTAAGGTCGTGAACTCGTAGTTGGCAGCAACACTCTCGGTGTTGGTGAGAGTGCTCAGCAGTGTTGACTGCAGCAGAGATATGACATGGTTAAAGCAGTGCTACACTCTCGGTGTTGGTGAGAGTGCTCAGCAGTGTTGACTGTATAAGCATCTTAGGTGCTAATTTTGGTAATCCTGGTATTATGATGACTCAACCCATCTAAAGTGTAGACAAGTAGCATATTTTCCTGAGCAGCCAAGATTATAAATTATGCCATATTTAGTACTTACATCTGCTTAATTGTTAAGTATGCTTTGATTTAGTTCCAATGAACATAAGAAAGTAATGCAAAAGCTGAACGAACAATAATTAATGCTGACCTTACCAACAGAAGGAAAACCTATGAGAGCCACCCTGGCATCGCCACTTTTCATAACATCAAAACCTTCTCCTTTCTCTCCCTTCTTGCCGGTCGGCTCAAGCAGCTGTGACCGATACTTGGCTAGCTTTGCCTTCAGGACACCCAAGTGATACTCGGTTGCTGTAGGAGACAAGATCATGTCAGATGTGATGGTACAAGAGCATGTCAGATGTGATGGTACAAGAGCATGTCAGATGTGATGGTACAAGAGCATGTCAGATGAAGATGGTACAAGAGCATGTCAGATGAAGGTGGTAATGTGTAAATCAAAATTTTTCAATTATGTTTTATTCATTGACAGATCTGAGCAGAACATACAATCATCAACACAGACAAATAATCTAGATGGCATTTCAAATGTAGTTCCACAAACTGAAGAACACTTAACTGATGAAGCACTAGTTACACTAAACATATTTTTACTGCTCTTTTTGTGTATTGAAAGGTTTCAGGCAAATTTCACACTAGCAATAATTTTGATTACACAAATATTCCAATATTTTTCAATAATATTGTTAAAAAAATTAATAACATTCTATTTTTCTTCAAGCTTAAATACAGAATTATTGATCCAATGAAATATGAATCAAGATTGCACATTTGATTATAAATAACCTTAAAGTAAATCATACCAAGATGTTTAGGTACATATATACCTACTTCATGAATAAATCCAGCAGTTAAAATTCATGGGGAAAACTTTCAATTCAATTAAAAATAAAATAGCAACCTTCAAACAATGCACATCTGTTTACATACACATAAAATAATTTTGAATACATTTCATTGATAGATTTAAGAGTGGTAAAGTTCTATAAAGCAGATCATCTACTTTCATTGCAAAATATTATTCAGAGGCAATACACAACAAACACTACGTGGAACATCTCTTGTGTACAAATAACAGATGTTGAAATAACATAAAATGACATAAATAAAAAAATAAAATAATAACATACATAACATATTACAAGCAGTCATGGCATTGATGGCAGTTTGTAGGTGATGGTACAAGCAGTCATGGCATTGATGAATATATCTAGTGGGAAGAAACTGATCCGTTGTTATAACTTGGAACAACAGTTTCATTGAAAAATTGGACAATCACGAAGAATACTTAAGAAACTGAACTCAGGGCCACCAAATCAATAAGCAGCTACCAGCTTTAGAAGTAAAGTCATGGCTCAGAGAGAAATTTTTTCCACATTTGGGCCAAAGAGGAAATAAGAGATAACAGATGGATGAGTATGCCTCTTAACAAACTCTGAAGGTGACCTAGACTGCAAAAATTTACTAATAATTTTCTCAGGATTCAGAAAATAATAGATGAATTAAAATCGGACTCCACAGCACATCCCAGGAAACAAAATATGTATGACATACAGTATGAAGCAAAGAAGTTATATTGGCTAAATCTCAGATGAGCAAAACAGCAGTTACTCTTGTACAACAGTACAATGAGCAGACTCCCATAAGGTGAAGTTGTTCTGACAATGAACTTATGTTACAACTGTTTGTGCTCAGGTCATGCCCCAGTGAGCCCAGTTGAGTTGAGCAATGTAAAGTGCAACTGGGCATGGCATGAACAGCAAATCAGCAATATATATATTGTTTCTTGAGCAATATAAAGTGCATGAATGTTGCTCCAGCCTCCCAGCTGCCGGCATTCAGCAGTGAGTTTTCTGCCCAGATCTGAGTTTTTGAAATTCTCTTTGGTTCCTAGTACTGTAAAATGGGGTAACTTTGACCACTTTTTTTTTCAAAATGATGCCATTTTTTACTAGATAAGTTAAACTTAAATTGAAACATGCAAAATACAGGTCTTTACTCCAGATTTACTCACCATAAATTGCTGGCTCCTGCCTCTCATAGTCAGACTAGTCTTTATGTAATTTCAAAAAAAGTGATGGTCTTTGTTACCCCAGCTCTTGGGGTTTCTTTGACCAGGTGGTAAAATCAATTCTATTTTTTAGTAAAATAACTCCAGGTTGTGGTGCATTGTAGTAGAACTCTTCTAGTTACATATGCAAAAGACAAATTTTAGGAAAGTGTCATAGTTTGCAAATGGGGGGCGCCGCCCCCAAATGGGCGAAATGTGACCATCTAATGGCAGCCATGATGGGGTAACATAGACCGGTTTGGAAATTAAGTTAAAATTACCATATATAAGACTCTGTAGAGTCTGAAACATAAAGAAAAAAACATTAATAGGTGTTTCAAACATAAAGTATGTTATATAGGTATCAATGGTAATTTTAACTTAATTTCCAAGCCGGTCAATGTTACTCCATCACGGCTGCCATTAGGTGGTCAAAGTTACCCCATTGGGGGGTGGCGCCCCCCATTTGCAAACCATGACACTTTTCTAAAATTTGTCTTTTGCATATGTAACTAGAAGAGTTTTACTACAATGCATCAAAACATGGAGTTATTTTACCAAAAAATAAAAAAATTGGAGGGGTACTCCGACAGGCTTTAAATAATAGCTCTTTTTCGTGGGTCACATTTGTAATTTATTAACCTATTAGATATGCAAACTTTTTAAATCTTTCTATTGTGTTATGTAGCCTCAGTATTAGGCCTTTAATGGCCATTGACAAAATTTTTCTATGTTGAATCATTTTTGAGTTTTGGGGGTTTTTGTTAAAAAAACGAAAAGTGGTCAAAGTTACCCCGCCGGTCAAAGTAACCCCATTTTACAGTAGCATAGTAGGTATATATTTTTTGAAAATATATTTACCATTCTTATGATTCTATGTTGCTGAAACAGTTAAAATTGCTTAAAAATATATTAGTTTACTAAATATAGTTTTATTAGTCAAATACACTTTTGTTTTGTGTTTAACCTTTCTCTTTTCAAATTGCAGCATACCGTACCAAGTTTATTACCAAATATCAAGAAAGAGGCATTTGTTTCCATCACTTGTGTCTGTAGAGTAGTCAGTACGGTAGTACAGTAGGGGCTACTGGCTAGAGGGAAACTAGAAATTCACTGGGCACTGGACAGGCCAGGGCAGCCAAAGGGCACCAGCCAGCAAAACTTAGAAAACCATTGCTTAACAAATGCTAGCACTATTCATTGTATGTTACAGTATCAGTATCACACTAATCACAGTATGTACTATGTACCATGCCCCAGACTCCAGAGGGCAGAGACACAGAGTGCGATGCCCCAGATATGACTGACGGTCAGACAGACGACTGTGGTATACTTACCTAGTTCAAGATGTTGTTGGGGTGTTGGAGGTGAAGAAGTCAAACATAACATAACATAGTGATCTAGGCGCTGCAGTGTAGGCCTGATGCGGCCTGTTGCCGATTCTTTTCCTTTTTGTGCCTTGTTCACAGAAGATCTAAAATCGTGTCATTTGACTGTATCTTTCCACGACTGACAAAAGTTTGAAATCAGGCATGGAATATATCTACTTGGTGAGCCACGACTGAATTTTTCAAGCCGTGGTTTTATGGATTTGCCAGCCGCAATTCCATTTCTTCGAGCCGTGATTCCATTTCACCGAGCCGCGAATTCTATATCTTGGCAATGAGAAGCCATTTACAAGGTGCAAATTTATTTACAAAGTCCATGCACGTGTTACCCCCAAATCTCTAATTTTACCCTTAAACAGTCAAACGGCAACAATAAAATTTGTCTTTACTGTAAGTTGAACACATGTATATGCAGTCTGACTGCTTTGACATGACTGAAACTATGCGTGATCTTCAACAAAACCTTTAGTTGTTTTGTTTACATTACAATGTTTATGTTTTTTCTGCCGGATATTTTGGCGGGAATGGTAAAGCAATGCAAATTGCAGAAGTTGAAAATTTTATGAAATGACATGTTTGTGAAGTGCAAGCTGCGATTTTTCAATTAACAATAATTTATGACGTTTGAGCCACGAGATTTCATACCTACTGAAATTATATGATATTAGAGCCGCGATATTTCAGACAAAAATAGGACTTTTCCAGCCCTGTTTGAAAAAGCTACCGTAAAATGGGATAACTTAGACCGGCGGGGTAACTTGGACCACTTTTTGTTTTTTTAACAAAAACCCCCAAAACTCAAAAACTATTTGACATAGGAAAATTTTGTAAATGGGCATTAAAGGCCTAATACTGAGGCTACATAACACAATAGAAAGATTTAAAAAGTTTGCATATGTAATAGGTTAAAAATTAAAAATGTGACCCACAAAAAAAGCTATTATGCAAAGCCTGTCAGAGTAGGGTAAACGCGGTATATTCCGTCATAGTGGGTAATTCAGTCACCTCTCTAGTTTTTCCTTTATATTAAGCTTTGTTTTAGTTCCATGCGTTCGTTGATGGTTGAAATGGTGACGTCATACATTTGCGCGTCGAACTAATGCCAAAACACTAGGTCTTGGTGAATAACTGTTTGTATAGGAAGAATATTATGGTTTGAGACTTTTAAATACGTCTGTGAATATATTAGGAATCCTTCAAGTATACTTGTATTTGCTGATTTCAAGTGGTAAATAAATTAATAGATGATTAAGTTGAGAAATGGATTTAGATACATGAAAACTAATTCCGTCACAACTTGAATTGGACACACACAGATCGTTCCAAGCAATGTACAAAAATTAAAATTTGCTTAATTAAAAGCTTATTAGTTGTTAGTTAAAAGCATAATTAAGTAGTGTTCAATATTCATTAGTGTTCTAATTCAAAGCCGTGTTGTATTCCAATACAGCTCACACAGCGAACGGAATTCGAACATGTGGATGACGGCATTACGAATCAGTAGAATTTGAAGCGCGGACGGAATACGCTTCACCACGTGCTGAATATTGCCACACACAGTGACGGAATATAGGGATTTGGTAGGTTTGCATTCTAAAGGCTTTTACATAAATATGGCAACATTTTGTGACGTTTCATCATTGCCGACACCTACTATGGTGTTTTGAGAGTCACCTAAAACATACGGTTATTTTTTTATAGTTTTTCATTTCTCGATGCGTCCTTAATGTGACGGAATATACCGCGTTTACCCTACCCCCTTCATTTTTTTAATTTTTTGGTTAGATAACTCCAGGTTTTGATGCATTGTAGTAGAACTCTTCTAGTTACATATGCAAATGACAAATTTTAGGAAAGTGTCATAGTTTGCAAATGGGGGGCGCCGCCCCCAAATGGGCAAAATGTGACCACCTAATGTCAGCCCTGACGGGGTAACATAGACCGGCTTGGAAGTTAATATAAATTACCATATATAACATATTTTATGTTTGACAACCTATTTATGTTTTTTCTTCATTTTTCAGACTCTACAGTCTTTTATATGGTAAATTTAACTTAATTTCCAAGCCAGTCAATATTTACCCCATCAGGGCTGCCATTAGGTAGTCACATTTCCCCCATTATGGGGCAGCGCCCCCCATTTGCAAACTATGACACTTTCCTCAAGTTTGTCATTTGCATATGTAACTAGAAGAGTTCTACTACAATGCACCAAAACCTGGAGTTATTTTACCAAAAAATATAATTGATTTTACCACCCCGTCTAAGATACTACCCTAAGGCAAGAGCTGCCCTGGGCCTGGGGTAACAAAGACCATCACTTTTTTTGAAATTACATAGACTATGAGAGGCAGGAGCCAGCAATTTATGGTGAGTGAAGCTAGAGTATAGACCTGTATTTTGCATGTTTCAATTCATGTTTAATTTAGCTAGTAAAAAAATGGCATCATTTATGAAAAAAGTGGTCTAAGTTATAGGTACCCCATTTTATGGTACTCGACTTCCACCAGGTTCGATATGGTGCTAGGGTAAACACGGTATATTCTGTCACATTAAGGACGCATCGAGAAATGAAAAACTATAAAAAATAACCGTATGCATTACTCAAGTTCTGTTTGCTTTAGGTGACTCTCAAAACACTGTAGTACGCGTCGGCAACAATGAAACGTCACAAAATGTTGCCATATTTATGTGAAAGCCTTTAGAGTGCAAACCTACCAAATCCCTATATTCCGTCACTGTGTGTGGCAATATTCGGGATGTGGTGAGGCATATTCCGTTCACGCTTCAAATTCTACTGATACATAATGCCGTCATCCACGTATTTGAATTCCGCTCGCTGTGTGAGATGTATTGGAATACAACTAGAGATGCGACGTAAAAAAAACACTCATGTTTTTTTAATAAAAAACAATTTTTTTAAATAAAAAACATCAGCCTAAAAAAAACATGTTTTTTATTGTTTTTTTAGAAAAACATAAATAAATGCAAATAAATCCATAATCACTTTACCTGAGGGCCACAGGATGATAGGTGACAGGTCTATGCTGTATCTTAAAATTCCTAATATCATTGAATGACAGCTAACACACAAAATTCCAGAACTCTGTTTGGACCGGATGTCTGAATCTCAAAATGTAAGTTTTTATATGTTTAATATTATATTTATATATCATTCATTATGTTTCATGTCCTATAATATAGCTATAGGCCTAATCATTTTTCACTCTTTCTTAGGAAATTGGACGTTGTGAACTTGTGAATCAAGAATTTTAATTGTATAAAATTTCAGTCCACAGTGGTCCCAGGGCCCAGGCTAGTTAGGTTCTCATGTGTGACATTTCCTACCTTCATACCCATAAACCTCATGCACGTTATTTCGTTTTCTATCTCCTTATTTCCCACTGTTTGGAATGGATAAATATAGCAGTTGCGAGGGTTAAACCTAAACGGTACTATAATCTTATCTTATAAAATTTCAAATATATACAAGATTTGTTATATACTGCAATGTCATTTCAGGAACAACTGAATGTAAAATTGGCACGAGCCATTTATGCCAGCGCAGCTCCTCTGAACATGGTTGAAAACAAGTTCTGGGTGAAGTTTTTTGCCAGCATGCGTCCATTGTACAAAATTCCCAGCAGGCACACAATGTCCAATGCATTGTTAGAGCAAGTCTATGTACAAACTTCAATCAAAGTACAAGAGCTGGTTGCAGGAGCTTCTAGTGTTGCCATAATATTGGATGGCTGGAGCAACATAAGGTTAGTCTTCCATTCAATCTATTGGATCCTTGGAGAAGTCACTCTTTTGTTAGGAATTTATGTTGCAAACACTTTGGTCATCAAATACTCGATAAGTAAATTGTTGTAACCTCTTGACTGTGTTTGTACAATTTAACCTGTTGTTATCAAATTATTATTTCTCTTTTTACAGAAATGAATCATTAATAAATGTCATCATTACAGTACCAGAGCCTGTGTTTTGGACCAGTACCAATACAGGTAAAGAATAAAGATTGTGACTTTTTTTTTAAATAACAGAATGATGAAAATTGTATATACAGACGCATTAAGTGAGTCTAGTAATCTAAACATTGATAAATATTGAATATTTGAAGATCACATCTTCAAAAGTCTAAGAATGTGAATTCATAATCTACCTAATCGCACTGCTTTCCGCATTTCACCCATTTAAATATTGAATTAAGTTACCTTGGGTACATGGAGAAACTACACTATAATCTAATCTCGTATTCAAAATAATGTTTTGCAGGTGCTGAAAGTCACACAGCTGAATACATTGCTAAAATTGTATTGAAGGTCATTGATGAAATTGGCTCCCAAAAAGTTCTTGCTGTGTGCACGGATAATGCCAGCAACATGAAGAAAGCGTGGGAGATCATCTCAGAAACTTACCCACACATTCAGGCATATGGATGTCTAGCTCATTGCTTAAACTTGGTCTTCAATGACATCATGAAAGTTAAATCCCTCTCAAAGCTATCAGCTGAGAGTGTTGCTGTTTTAAAAGAAATAAAAAACTCACACAAGCTCACTGCAATGCTGAAAGCTGAGCATCTGAAATCGCGAAATGATCCTCAAGCTGAACCTGAAATTACTCCAACCATGAAGACTCTAAAACTTTCAGTGAAAACAAGGTAACTATATTTTAATTAACATTAGAAGTCTGTCGCTATATAGGTATGTTTTATGTAAAACTTGGCATTATTTCACTTGAGTGAATCATTGATTGTGAGCAAAACTGAACTGAAAGAAGCTTGCTGTATTTTAATATTTAGTTGTTTGTCACAAGAAAATGTTCTTACGATTTGAAGTTATTTTCTATTTTGATTAGATGGGGCTCAACCGTCAATTGCCTGGAGAGCCTCCAATCAAACAAACACTCTCTGCAGGCATTGACAATCAATGCAGAGAGTAAAAGCAGCATTGAAAGCAACACAAAGAAGACTATCCTGTCAGAAGTGTTTTGGGACAAAGTTGAAGGAAGTTTAGCACTACTGAAACCTCTGGCTGATGCAATCAAGAATGTGGAGGGAGACAACGTTCCATTATCAATAGTAATGGAAACATTCTCTAAGCTAGAGAATGAAATTGTCAAAAAGGTGGGAAAGTCTCCTGTATTGAAAAGTGAAGAGGATACAGTAAGAGGCATAATCAAGAAAAGGAAAGAATTTGCCACAAAGAAAATTCACTTTGCAGCAAACCTCCTGGACCCAAACCATAGAGGATGTCATTTGAATGATGAGGAAGTTGTAAGTAAACATATTACATCAAGATAGAAATTTATTTGATTACGGTACCTTTAAACACATGTAATATTAACTGAAATGATGCGGTATACTTCATTGACTATTATTATAATGAGTATTACTAATACTGCTGAGTTGATGCTCAATCACAGTAGAATTGCCAAAAGCTATTACAATATGCTGCGCATAGATCTTTTTGTCAAACTAGGTATATGATACAGTTTTTAAAACCATAGTGAGAGTGTGAGACTCGTATATCACCCTTGACTCCACAGGTTGATGCATTCCAAGTCTTAGATGAAATTGCAACTAGCATGCCATGTGTTAATGGTGGCAAACTTTTTAGAGAGATTGCAGACTACCGATCAAAACAGAAACTATTTCATAAGCCATACATCTGGAATGCTGTGAAACACACCACACCATCGACTTGGTGGTCTGGCTTGTGTGGCTCCACTGAACTATCAAAAATCGCCAGTCAGATACTGAACTTGCCTCCCACAAGTGCAGCTGTTGAACGCTCGTTCAGCAGGCACTTGCACGTGCACTCAGCGAAGCGGAATAGATTGACAGCAGAGAGGGCGGGCAAATTGGTGTATATAGGGCATAACCTACAATTGATCGACGATGCCGATAATGAACCTGCTGCATTGCCATCAGCCTCAGAAAAATGGCCGTAAAAATTCAGTCGCGGCTCGCCAAGTAGATATATTCCATACTAGTCTCTACGTATTGCGCCTAGTGTAAACGGGGTCCAGAGCTGGCAGCAGTATTCAAGGATAGGTATTACAAGGGCTCTGAAAAGTGTGATCATTGGTTGCGCTTCTCTCGTTCTAAACGTCCGCCAGATCCACCCCATCTGTCGTCTACCTTTTGCGGTTATTGCAGGTATGTGATCACCAAAATTGACCCGATTGTTCATCAACACTCCTAGATTGCGAACGAGTCGCTTCTCTTCAATTTCCGAGTTGTCAGGTGCCATGTAGCGGTGATCCATTCCAGCTCTTCCGGTTCCTCCGTACCTCAGGACCTCAAACTTGGTCCCGTTGAACTGCATGTTGTTCACTAGGGCCCAGTCATATATTGCAGAGAGGTCTTCTTGCAACCTCTCACTGTCCATCCATGATGGTCATTAATATCCTGGTGTCGTCCGCGAATGACGATGCAGTGGCGTGGTTCACTGCCACATCTATGTTGGCGATGTGGACGAGGAAGAGGATTGGGCCGAGTACCATTCCCTGTGGTACTCCACTCTTCACCCTAGCCACGCTCGATCTCGAGCCTCCAACAACTACAGCTTGTAGTCTTTCTGTTAGGAAGCTGTGGATCCATGCCAGCAATTCACCTCCGACTCCCAGCAGTCTTAATTTTCTGAAGAGCACTCCATGGTTGACTTTGTCAAACGCTTTCACGAAGTCCAAATACACCACCTCCACCCCAGCCCCCTCCTCCAGCATGGCCAAGATTTGGTGGTGATGCTCCAGTAACTGAGACAAACAGGAACGATTTTGTCTGAAACCGTGTTGCCTTCTGTTGAAAAGGTCAGCGTCTTCCATGTACTGCACCAACCTTCTGGCAACAACCTTCTCAAATATTTTGATTACATGTTTGATTACATCAATCAGAACTGCGCGCTACAGTGCGTGGTTCAGGTGGCTATGAGCGACGAGCGTGCATGATTAGGTGCTCAAATGTAGCTCTCACAGCCAGGAACTGCGTGCAACAGCACGTGGTTCATGTGGCTGCAGGGGTGTATGCTTAGGTGCTTATACATAGCTCTCACAGCCGCCGGAACTGCGCACTACAGCGCGTAGTTCAGGTGGCTGTGAGCGAGTATGCTTGGGTGCTCAAATGTAGCTCTCACAGCCATCAGAAGTGCGCACTACAACGTGTAGTTCAGGTGGCTGTGAGCGCGTATGCTTGGGTGTTCAAATGTAGCTCTCACAGCCATCGGAACTGCACGCTATAGTGCATGGTTCAGGTGGCTATGAGTGCGTATGCTTGGGTGCTCAAATGTAGCTCTCACAGCTGCCAGAATTGCGCACTACAGCGCATGGTTTAGGTGGCTGTGAGCAAGTATGCTTGGGTGCTCAAATGTAGCTCTCACAGCCATTGGAACTACACGCTATGACTCGTAGCAGGTAGATCAATACGGCACCATAGTGGCAAAGCAGAGAGTTTTTTAGACTCTCCCTCAAGTTCATTTTTGAGTCCTATAAGTAGACCAGTAAAGTATCATGCATAGTGGCAAAGCAGAGAGTTTTTTAGACTCTCCCTCAAGTTCATTTTTGAGTCCTATAAGTAGACCAGTAAAGTATCATGGATACCAGCATTATCATACATAAGAAATTGTTTTAAGTCTCGAGTAAATGAGGAAATTAAAAATGAACTGATTCTAAAAAATCTCTGGTTTGTCACTATGTACGGCACATTGACCATATCAATCAAAAATCACGATTTATGAAGAAGCATGATTGGCAACCATAGTGACAAAGCAGAGAGTTTTTTAGACTCTCCCTCACGCCTCAAGTTCATTTTTGAGTCCTACTCCTATAAGTAGACCAGTAAAGTATCATGGATACCAGCATTATCATACATAAGAAATTGGTTTAAATAATGAGTAAATAAGGAAATTAAAAATGAACTGATTCTAAAAAAATCTCTGCTTTTTCACTATGCTCCAGCCTCCAGACCTTAGCAGAGGTACTTTTCCAAAATCGCACTTTTCACATTTTTGTGATTTTTAAGAGATAGTAAATGTTTGATTTCTTGACTAGCTTTATATCTAGGCCATGGTCAGGAAGATGTGCCAGGTGCGCGGGAATTTTTTTTGTCATTTTAACACGTTCCCCGCGTATCCAGATTTCCCCAGTATTCCCTTATTGCGGAAGGCTTTCAGTGGTTGCTGCTTCAGTTAGGCGCCATTGGCCGTGACAAGAGGAGGTGTGTGCAGCTCTATGGCATCATAGCTTTGCATAGCTGCAATAAAATTGTTGGGACACATGTGGTACATTACGCAAGCAAATAATAACCACATGTTGTTCTTGCGTATTGTACCACCGGTGTACCAAGTATTTATTGAGCCATAAATGTGGCATAATAGAATAGAAGGGTACAGAAGGAAATATAAGGGAATAGAAGGGAACAGAAAAGAATAGAAGGGAATAGAAGGAAGTAGAAAGGAACAGAAGGGAATAGAAGGAAACAGAAGGGAATAGAAGGGAATGGCAGGGAATAGAAGGGAATAGAAGGGAAAAGAAGGGAATAGAAGGGAATAGAAGGGAATAGCAGGGAATAGAAGGGAACAGAAGGGAATAAAAGGGAATAGAAGGGAGTAGATGGGAATATATGGGAATAGATGGGAATAGAAGGTCATAAACGGGAATAAAAGGGAATAGGTGGGAATAGATGGGAATAGAAGGGAATAGAAGGGAATAAAAGGTAATAAAAGGGAATAGAAGGGAGTATTAGGGAATAGATGGAAACAGAAGGGAATAGAAGAGAACAGAAGGGAATAGAAGGGAATTATTAGTTAGAATTTTTACAGTTACTTGTTGTTTGTTTAAGGAGATTTACCAATAAAATTTTGGTCCATTGATTTGTTTCACTTAATAATCCACTTTTTGAGTGAACATTAATATAATAAAAGAGAAAGTTTACGTGCGAAATTTCGAGTTATATGTGTTTTATCAAAACGGGGTAAAATACTGCGTTTGGTACACTGGTGTCCCAATACGCAGCAGTGGAATATCACTGTTGGTACACATATGGCCCAATACGCGGGGAACGTGTTAACGACCTGCGCGGTGCGCCGTACAATGCTGGTAAAAAAAATGCGCCGTGCGCCGTACTTTAGAAAGTCGACAATATACGCGAGTATATTGACTACGCGAGTCGAACTGACGCGGGTCGAACATGTCCGGGTTACTTCTGACTCTTCCGCGTTCCGCTTGCGGATACGGAACGTACGGTAATCGTACGGGATTGCGCGAACTGCAGAAGTCAAGATTAAAGAACCACACCGCAAATCATTCATTCACTAATAAGTGCTAATTGCATCAAAAACACAGGCACCGGAAGAAATCTATCTTAATTATAAATTTTCATTTTTATTGCAACGATGAAGGTTAATTATAGAGGCGAACAACAAACATTATACGCGAACGCGTGCGCGAACGAAATATTATAAAAAGCTATATATACGCGAGAAAATTCCCCATTTATATACATCTTCCTGAGTGTGGATAATCTAGGTAGGTATTATTTTAGATTAAGTGCATACAAAAAAAGGGTGTTTTTTTAATTATATTTTTTTTGGGGTGTAGCTAGATCAAGAATCTGAAATCCGTTTTTGGCGGTTGGCATCAGAAATTTTTAATGGAACCTGTTCCTAACTGGACCTAACCTGTTGGGTTTTTGTTGATCAGCTAGATTTATTTCTATGTTTGGAGTCTGTCCAGCAGCCGGAAAAACCTAGCCAATAGGTTTTTTATATGTTTGAAGTCCGTCTGGCGGCCGGAAAAACCTAGCCAATCAACGAAAAAACTTGCAACGAATGTTGAAGTTTACGCCACTATTTTTAGTTTTGCAATATTTTGATTTCCTAGTTTAGCTGCTACAACATTTCTAGGAAATGTGGGACGCGCATCCCGATTTACCTGGCCCGTCCATTTTTACCCCGTTTGACAGTAGTAAATACATGATTTCTTAACATGCTTTTATTGCTTTATGCTACAATGCTACATCATACATGCTACATGGATGATACATAGGATTCAAAGGAAAAATGTTGAAATTTACAGCACTACGCCACTACCTATTTTTAGTTTTGCAATATTCGTCTTACATTCTCTCCTATATCACACTAAAACCCTCACGTCACGTTTTCCCCTCTTCATCTTCATCCAGTATCATTCTCATGATTTCAGTCTCTCGCTCTCTCCCTCTCGGACTACGGAAGTCGGAGTCATATGCATCACATGATCATGATCACAATCACATGATGTCCTGGGGTTGGATATGGAGATGAGGAAGTAGCCAGAGTCAGACAGCCCAGACTAGCCACAACTTTTCATTACCAGCCACTTGTACTTGTACCAACTGAACTTTGCAATTGTTGTTCTGCAGGTTCTTTAGTTCTCTGACTGAAAACTTAGTTGAACATTTTTGTTGAATTCGTTACATTGCCTCCAACAATAATGACTAGAAAACATGACGAGTTGACGACAATGAGCAGAACTACGAGAATAATTTCTACCCTAAACAGGGAAGTCGAGTGCGTTAAAAAATCCGCATTCCGCAACATATCTGCAAAGCTGATGAAGATTACATTGGAAAGTAGTTTTGGTGGAATCCCTCAGCTTTTCTATGAAGTCGAGCTGCGGTTGACGACGGACGTGTGTAAGTTACCTAACCATATAGTAAACTGCCATATTGTGAAACACTTTTTCTTTTGTTACTCTGTTCTTGGAAATCAGTCAATAGTACTACAATCTCAACTCCGAGTATGTCGCGCCATAAGCGGCGGAAGGAGAGCAGTGTGTCTTCGTCTTCAGACGAGGGCACCGGCTCTTCTTCCTTGCCTGCCTTGAGAGCTCTTACTGAGCCCAACTTGCCAATAAGAGATGCACCAAACAATCGCGATCTGATATGCATTCCTGAAACACCAAGCTTGCCATTACTAGATGCATCCACAGCAATTCCAGGCTCTGCTCATGGGAGATCAGCTGCCTCAGATTCAGGCCCTGGTGACAAGACTGGCTCGGTATTATTGCAGATTAACTACATCCAAAAAAAAGGGTGTTTTTTTTTAATTATATGTTTTTTGGGGTGTAGATTACGAATCTGAAATCCATTTTTGGCGGTCGGCATCGGAAAACCGATTTTTTTCGCGACTTACTAACATGGGGGTTACGTAACTTACGTTACCCACTCACCTTTATTTACTAACATGGGGGTTACGTAACTTACGTTACCCACTCACCTTTATNACTTACTTGGCGGGGGTACCTATCCTAGCCCTATCCAGTACTTAATAGTTGATGCAGTAGCTACATTTTTAACAGCTACTAACACCCTTCATTTACTCTGAGAAATACGATAGCTCTCTTAGCCCTGATTTAACTAACTAAAACTTGTGGGGAACTAACACTCGAATCATACTCATTTACTTACTGCTGGCATTGATCTGAGTGCCTAATTTGAGGTGAGCGGAAACACTCTCTGCAGTCTTTTTAGGAACAGGTTTTAGAACTTCTGTGTACCGCCGGTCGTGACTGCTCTTTGTAAAGTTTGTTGCTGTTCACCTTAAATCCATCCTTAATCTTTGATCCTTCAGAGACAGCCCACAGGAGTTTTGTTTGTTTGTGAGGTAGCAGCTCACAGTCCCATATTCTTAGACCAACTTGGTCAGAAGAAGCTCCAGGCTGTGCCGCCCAGGCTGGACCTTCGGTAGAATCCGCAATCTCATGTGAGGCATAGTGTAGGGCATGTCAGTAGATACTAATCTGGGATGATATACGAATATGTTTTTTTTTAAACTCTTCTCATGCAAATAGTCGCACAAGTTATCTTACCTAGTAGCAGCAATCTCTTAACCAGTCCGCTTTTTACAGTGTCTTATCCCTGTCGTTTTTCCCACAGATGTGTGACACCTGAACACCAACGTCCGGTCGAGGGGCTACCTTGGACAAGTCTCCAGAGCTCCTTCCAAATTTCGACTAAAGAAAAGAATCCCTCAGCTCAGTTGTGTTGAACTGTTGATCAAGTATCAACCCGTCAAAAGCAGACAACCGAACAATATTAAGCCGGTGTGCACTGTGTCGTCTGTGCGGCCATGTTGCGGCCTGCGGGTAGGGCGATGAATACGGCAGCTCAGCCCATGAACTTGTACATCAGCCTTTGATTTTGTTATTTGGTTACCTTAGGCTTATCGCATCGATCGATATGAATTGCTTGTTTGGTCGGATCTTCATTTATTTACCTAGTACTAGTAGTCTAGTGACTACGAGTCTACGTGACAGTCGTGACTTATCCATAGTATAAATTTGTCAAATCAACACTACAATACGATCTGCCAGTGCCAATAACTTAACAAACGGCACATATAATAGCCTATGACAGACTCTACCGGTATATATATATGTAGTATATTTTCAACTTTTCAAGTAGGCTAGCCCCTACCCCCTAGTGGCCCCCTACATGCTACAGGCGTTTGTACTTTGTAGTATTGTTATTGTAGATGACAATATTTATCTGAATTACTCTTCAATTATTTACCATATAATACTTAGCTATTTCTTGCTACTTGCTAGTCAATTACTGTCAATAGTCATCATTGGACTGAATAATAATCAGTGATCACTGATGACTCTTCATAACTATCAACTCTATTTTCTCGAGTTTTATCATCACAAAGCCATTTTGTCCTCTAATTAATGGTTTAGTTATTACACAAGTCATCAAACTTAGAGGCTTAAGCCTTATGCATAAAGACTGATAACTGGCAACTGAGTCTGAATGGCAAGTAGAGACACTCAGACACTACTGGTAGACATAGTGATAGTGGCAAAGCAGCAATTTTTTAGACTCTTCCTCAAGTTTATTTTTGAGTCCTATAAGTAGACTAGAAAGTATCTTGGATACCAGCATTTTCATACATAAGAAATTGATTGAAATATTGAGTAGATGAGGAAATTAAAAATGAACTGATTCTTAAACATCTCTGGTTTGCCACTATGCAGTGGTAGACCTATCACCTATGGGCTGCGGGCAGAGCTGGGCAGTGCTACTTTGAAATGTAGCGGCCACTACCGCTACATGCTTTGAATGTAGTGGGCGCTAGCTATCGCTAAAATTGATTAATGTAGCGCCACTAACACCACTGAAAATGTAGAGCGCTACTGCGGTATATACTGCCCACTTCTGGTAACAACTAACATGTTGACACTAGGACTAGTAACAGGCTGAGGTTGACAACATTACACCAAAATCTTTTGTACAGTTTTATTCTGTAATTTATATTATGTATGTATCATTCTGATTTTTAAATAATATTTAATACTATAAAGTAAAATTTAAAGGCTTTATCTATAAATGTAGGCAACACAATTCAACAAGCAGTTCATAAACACAAAACCGCACCAAACCTCACACAATAACAGGATAATGGATAGAAGAATTAAATCTCTAAAGGGCAACCCAATCAATATAACAACAGCCATGACCACACTCGCCATAAAAAACAGTAAAAATAACAAATCAACTGGACCAGACCACATCAATATACTCCATCTCAAACACCTGGGCCCCACAGCAATTGCATACCTCACTCAAATTTACAAGATTGCAATAAACTCCAATACAATACCCCATACCTGGAAGCTAGCCAAGATAATTCCAATATCTAAACCTGGCAAAGACACTAACATGGGGTCATCTTATCGACCAATTTCTCTTTTAAGCCCAATGGCCAAAACACTGGGAAAAATTATCCTTGCCACAATCTCATCTCATCTCCCTAACATTGAACACCAACATGGCTTCAAACAACACCATTCTACCATCACAGCACTCCAACATATCACAGAACACAGCCACAGGTTTCAATCAAAAATGCCCGCCACTTCGAACAATATCTGTAGCATTAGACATGAGCAAAGCATTTGATACGGTAAATCTGCACACACTCATCAACAAACTTTCCACAACCGCAATAGAGCACACTACACTTAAATACATAGCAAATTACATCAAAGGCAGAAAAGGCTTCACACAAGTCAACAATACCAATTCATAACAGAAATTATTCAAAACAGGTGTACCACAAGGCAGAGTCCTATCTACGTACATATACGTTTCAGATATACCCTCACCTCCACCCAATATTAAAATAATTACATATGCAGACGATATAACTATCTTATCCTCTCACAAAGACTATAACACTGCTGCACAAGTCCTTCTTCCATACCTACAAACCATACACACATGGACCACAGAAAACCAACTACAACTCAATGCAACAAAAAGCACTGCCACTCTTTTCACACCTGACCTGGCTAAATATAGCACACAACTCAACCTCAATATCAATAATACACTCATTCCAACAGTACGCAACCCTAAAATACTTGGACTTACCTTTGACCCAAAGCTCACCTTCAGCACTCACATTAGCAACACTCACGACAAAGCCAATAATGCCATCAAAATAATCAAATCACTTTCAGCCACACAATGGGGAAAACAAAAAGAACTACTCACAACCACATTTCAAACACTCACGTGTCCAATCCTTGAATACGCAAACTCATCCTGGTCACCAATTATATCACCCATGCAAATGAACAAACTCCAAACAGTCCAGAATGCAGCACTCAGGATAGCCACAGGCTGTACTGCAGACACCAACATCCACCACCTTCACCAAGAAACCAAACTCCTACCCCTAACACAACACCTCAAACTTCAGGCCTCACAACTCAGACAGAAAGCACAATACCCAACCCACCCACTACATACCCTCACCCTTCAGCTGCACCCACACCGTCTCATGAAACAAACCATTTTCCACAACACAGGTTTCACCACCAACATAGATACTCCGCCTGCACAAGCTACACAGGACACAATCAAACAAAATCTCAAAACAATCCACACTACAATTACAGAAAACTATCTTGCAACCCTCCCTCACAATAAAATTTTAAACATGCCTGCACCACAGATTCACCCATCTGAAATCAACCTACCTAGACCTGCACACAGGAACCTTGCACAAATAAATCACCGCTACTTCTCTCATATCTAAATAGAATAGACCCTGCCACACACCCTTCTCCACTTTGCCCACTCTGTCTGTCCAACACGCACGACACCATTCATCTTTTCTCCTGCCCTAAAATGCCCACACCCCTGTCGGTGGGTGACCTTTGGGCAGACCCCGTAAACGCTGCAGGGCTGCTGGCCCGCTGGGGCGGCCGACTTGGCTGGCCCCTGAACTGGGTCTAGGCCCCGCCTCGCGCCGTGAAGCGAGGCGGGGAGGGTCAACAACAACATGAAACATGGGCCTAATGAAAGAGAAAGTCAGTCTATGATGGAAATCATTAGACTGAGTGAGGTGAGATAATTATTAGTGAGGTGAGATAATTATAACAAGTGAAGAGATAATTATAATGACTGTGGATTTATCTAAGAGAGCAACTGTGACTGTGATTGAGAGTGTGAATAGATATTTGGAGAGTGTGTGAAGGCTGAGAGAGGTAAAAATGATGTCTACAATGCATTCTGGAAAAGTAGAAGGTAAGGATGGGGTCAAAAGGCCTAGATGATTGTGTTTAATGGTGGTACAGTTTATTCTGTTTTTTTTTTTATATTGTATGTCAATGTTTATAACAGAATATATTCTAGTCTACTGGGATATTATAATGACTTTTTTTTAAGATCAATTTTGAGGCCTAGTTAAATTTTAATTATCAATTTAGGGTTTTTTAATAAAAGAATGATTGTCACATGGATGACCTGTCTTAAATTTGGAGCAGAGGTTTGCATGCACCCTCATTTCAATTCTTTTCTATGTCTTTTATTGCTCCTTTGTCCTATGATTTTCTAAAAAATACCTACAATAAGCATTCTTGCATCCATAGTTTTTGTAAAATTCTGTTCAGTATTACAGTCTGGATGCAGATCATATTACACATATTACATATTACTGCTATGTCCCAAACAAATACTAAGGAACACACGATTTGATTATGAAATTTTAATTCCAATTTTAATTTTCACTGACAAATAAAAATAATTGTTTGCTTTATTCCAGAATCATGTATTTGTATCCAGATTTATCAATTTTATACTATTCAAGATCTTTGTGATAATTGTCATTTAGAAAAATATCCTTGTTTAGCTGAAATATATTCTAGAGTAACAAGAATCTGTAGCTTTTTTTCTCAATAATCATTTTATTATGGATTATATATATCATGAAAAGGTAAATCTAACTCAATTAACTTTCAAAGTCTTTTCATGGCCAAATGTTAGTGAAATTCATCTAGTATATTTGAATCCTTCTGAAGACTTGATAATCAGCTTCCAGAATATAAAAACTGATGCATTATCTGCAAAACTTTTGGTCATATGTATTGAAAGTGCCTCCTATGACTTGTAACATTCTGGTTCCTTGTTCTAAATTAATATTTACTAATTTGAAATTAATTTTTTTCTTCTAGCAAGAAGGATCATTGTGTGCAGTTCACTGCCTCAATGCCTTGCTTCAAGGCTGCTACTTCTCTGCTGTAGACTTAGCAACCATAGCTAGACAAATGGACTGTTTAGAACAGCAGCGCATGGCTGAGATGGGCACCAACACTGCGGAGTACCAGAGCTTCTTTAAGGTCTGTTGTTCACTCAAGCATTTTATTACAATAGAATCCCTATTGTTTGATGACAAATAAAAATTAATGTTTTCTTGATTCTAGAAGAATTCACTGTTATCAAGCTTTTTCAAATCAACCAATCAGTAAAAAAATGGTATGAGATTTATGAAGTTTGAAGACCAATGAACTGAGTAATTTATTTATATTTGGAGTCAGAAGCATATGTATTTCTATCTCACAATTTCCTGAAGTGATCTATGTGGCTCATTTACATTAGACCTCATTTAGCTTATTAAGCTTTCATTTCAGCTTTCTCAATAAGCTTTCAGCTCATTCATTTCATCTCAAGACTTTGATGAATTCTGAGTTTTTTTTTTTTTTATTTTTTTTTTTTTGAGAAAATCAGAATGACACAGCATTTCTGTGTGTTTTGAGAATGATAAGCTGAATAAATTTTTTCAATCAAAATGTTTGCTGCACAAATTGACTTGTGTAATTAAATATTTTTAAAATCTGATTGGTTAATCTATTGATTTTCCTGTAGATGAGCTTTGACATACATACAGATTGTTCACTGATCTTGTGATAGATTGATTATTTGAAAATTGTTTCTTAATTTATTTAATTGTCCAGGAAGGATCAAATAACATGGATGATAGTGGCATGTTCAGCATCCAGGTTGTGAGTGTAGCCCTTGAAGTCTGGGGCCTGACCCTCACTCCCTTCACATCCACAGTTGCTCCAACTGCTCGTTTGGCAAGAGAGGATCCCACGTAAGTGCATGACTGGAAGTGTATCTTTATTAGTTACTGAAAATGCTCTAAATTCTGGCATAGTACAGTTTTTTGTAGATTCTAATAAAACTTGGTTGTAATAGCCAATTGATAAATGATATTTTACATTACCTTCCTTCATGTGGCATGCAACATGCTGGTTCATGCAGATTCTTCATTTTCAATAAATGGGAACAAATTCTATTTTGTAAACCCTTTTGTTACTTTGAATGATACTTTTCTCTTACAATTTTTCTCATATTATTGTTTTACTTTTTAACAGGGTTCTTCACTGAACTACTACCTACCATTTTTTTCTCTCTATACTTAGTGTTCACAAAAACCCTTTCATTCTTCTTGCTCACCTTGACTCTGAACTGAATTAGTTTCATTTGGTGAATAATCTTCTCTATTTATTTCATTTACATTGCAAATTTCATTAGTGAAATTAAATTTAAATTTCTGACTTGAGCTTGAGTTTAGGCTAATTTTAACAACTTGATGCAGTTTGAATAATATGCTTACACTTATGGCCAATTTATAGCTGCTTTTGCATTTGTTGTTTATCTAAGTTTATTAATTACAAACAATCAAATGAAATGCAAATGTTACTTCTGACATTACAGATCAGGCTGTGCATACATTTGCAATATGAAAGAGCACTGGTTCACAATTCGTAAGATTGGCAATCAGTGGTTCAACTTGAACAGCCTCCTTGCATTTCCCGAGCTTCTCTCAAACACTTACGTTTCTCTTTTCTTAGCCCAGCTTCAGAAACAAGGTATTTTATGAATGTATATCAACAAAATCTGAATCTTGATTCTTGAGATAAAGTTGACATTATTGAAATCTATTGACATTATTAGGTAAGAGTGTGTGAATAATCAAAATCTTGTTTTATATATTTTTTTAATCATAAAATATAGCCAAATGAGGTACAAGAAAAGAAGCATTGCACAAGTAATTAGATAGCCTTGACTTGAAATGTATTAACATTTGATATTCTTAGTAAATTACCTATAGTGGAAAAAAATGTATACCGGTATACCTATATTTTCAGGTTATTGCATTTATATTGTGGAAGGAAGTCTGCCGCAGTGTGAAGCTGACACCATCTTGAAGACCATGAACGTAACACAGAAAATAAAACCTCCATTACTTTCTGAGGTAAATATTTCTACCAGATTGATGTTGCGAGAAGATTGCATAGTATCTGTTTTAATTCCAATCGATTTGGTTGTGTATAATACATATATATAAATACTTGTCTTCTAAGGCTCTAGAATGAAGGTTTTAATTAGATAATACACATTTTCTTCAAGAAATTATTTTCAAATATTTACTTTGATAGGCACCATATTTTTAAATATCTAATTTACTATTATTTTATTACCTTCACAATGTTTTCTTTATGGCACTTGAATAATAATCTCCACAGATCTTAATTAATACTCATTTTCTAGCATGAATTTTATAAGAAATTCTAATGCAAGAGCAGCAAAAAAAATATATACATTTAGCCTGTCATGTTCCATGTTGCAGTGGTAACTTATATTTCTGCTTATTGCTGAGCTCTTGCGGGCAATACTTGTACAATAGCACTTGACTTTACAATAGCACTTGACTTTACAATAGCACTTGACTTTACAATAGCACTTGACTTTACAATAGCACTTGGCTTTACAATAGCACTTGGCTTTACAATACCACTTTTCTTTACAATAGCACTTGATTTTACAATAGCACTTGATTTTACAATAGCACTTGACTTTATAATAGCACTTGACTTTATAATAGCACTTGACTTTTTTATAGCACTTGACTTTTTTATAGCACTTGACTTTATAATAGCACTTTAGACTTACTTATATTCTGTTAACAGGTCGATAATAAAAAGCAATTCAGTTGCAGGAATGCAGTCAAACAAGGCAAGAATTAGATGACGACCTGGCGGCTGCCATGGCAGCGTCTCTGGCCCAGGCCGAGGATGCCTCCACCGCTCCTCCTGAAGGTGAACACAGCGAACTGGAGAATGCCTTGCAACTCTCCCTTACTGAACATCTCACTCGCGTGCCTAATCATAGAACTCCACTTGAAGGTTAGTCATCTTATAAATTATTAAAATTGCGGTTTTATATTCCGCTCTTTAAGTTCGGACAAATTCCGTTCATCTGCCAAGTGAGCAAGACTATGCTTTTGTTTATTTTTCTCTGTAGTTATTTGAAAATTTTGTTTTGGGAATCCATTACAATTTTGGTTACATTTTCAAGTTTCTGTTCTCACTGAAAATAGTTCTTTCTTAAAATAAATAACTTCGTTCTATTAAGCTGCAAGCATTGCAAGTCCCCCCTTGTATTCATATTGAAACTTGAGTCAAAGTGAGGAAACAGCATTCCTTTCCCCTGACTGAAATTGTTGAATATTAGTATATTAAAATCCTTACCAATTGATATATTGTGCCGAATGTGGAACCAACTGAACAGCTGTTGCCAAAGTAGGAAGTGTATAATAAGGAGGTTCAACTTGACGTTTAATTGCACCAGCCATGCCAATGCGCTGGTAATCAGGACACATTCATAAAACTGACTAGCAAACACTCTTTTTTTTATTTCATGACCACTTCTCATAGAAATTAGTAGGAATTTAGTTGTTTTGTACTAAAATTATGATTGCTAAATCAAAATGTTCTGGTTAATTCAAGTCATCTAATTTTTAATTCAAGTCATCTAGTCCGAATTCAAACAACAGGCTGAGTCTGAATTCAATTTTGTACAGGATATCAGAAATATTGCATTCTATCAACATTAAATTAAAGCTGCATTAAACTATGACTTGCTGGCATCTCCATACACGATAAATGAGAAACGAGGCATTTCAGGTGACCTGGAGAAGGCGCTTAGGCTGAGTCTGGCAGGGAGCGGTGGTGCGGAGGGCGCGGAGCCTGGCGGTGACGCAGGGTCGCCTGACGAGGAAACACGTCAGCTGCAGGCTGCACTCGAGCTGAGTCTGCTGCAGCCTTCTACCTCAGCTCTCAATAATGATCAGGGTTAGAATATCTGTGCTATCTATTATCCATATATGTTATGGTATGTAGTTTACTCTTCGAGAATGATTGAAGTCACTGAAAATGATGCCACTATCCAGTCCATATCTTGTTATTCTTTTGAATAGTTTATTGTTTAAGTTGTTCACTTATTTGTGTTTGTGTAGAGCAGTTGCCTAGTGTAACCGTGTTAGTATGTTGAGCAGCCAATAGCATCACTATCCCATACAGCAAGTTTTTTTTATTTATGTTCCATATTTGCTAACCTTTGAAAATGGCATCTTTTTAGCGCATTTTCTCATTTAGGGAAAAAATGCACTATTGTGCTCACCATGTCCGTCTGTCCGTCCGTCCGTGACCTCACGTTTTCGTCGACGAGAAAATGCGCTCTCTGTCACTCAGTGCAGTGAGTACTGAGTTATATTTTTTCTTCTATTTTGATTGGCTGGTTATATAGAGTGCTGTTCATAAGACTATTGTATTCTCTAGATGAATAGATTTAATGCCTCAACCATTCACAATTATAAATTCAGACGCATACTTTAAATTTTATGTCTCAAGCAATTAGTAACTTCCATTTACAGCCACGTATAGTTTTATGCCGACTTCTGCACCCTACGCCTGCATTACATTCCTCTATCCCCTTGCTTAGCTCAGTTCCCATAATAAAATATTTTGTGCTAACTTTTTGTACATTCGGTCAAGTTACGTAAGATGTGTAGTTGTTAAATAAAGTTTCTTCATGCAGGTTCTTCAGATCAGCAAGAAACTCTCGATGCGACGGCCTTGCGAGAAAAAAGGTTGGCGTACTTCAAGAACAAGCCTTCGCCTGATGAATCTTGAAACAATCAATATTTTGCAATGAAAATGTTTGATATTTGTAATAGAGGTCTTTTTTGATGGTTGCTCCTGATATTTATCCTCAGCTTTGATTAAAAAGAGAGAAAGGATTTTATTTCTGTATAGTGATTAATATACGGTTATTCGAATAACTAGTTATTGTGTTCTATAACTTGGAACATGTTATTGAGCTTATGTTATTGCGTCCAATCATTGTGTTTAATGTAATCACGAGTCCTATGAACAAGCTGCAATATTTGCAGAATGGCGTTTTGTATACCATATTGATGTTGATTAAGTAGAGTTGTTAATTACTCGTTTATATAGCAACGCTTCTATTCCTTGTGCACTGATTCACTGAAAAATGCGTCTATTTGTTGAAGCCTGGAGTAAAGTGATCGAAAGGTATTTTGAACAAGTTTGAATACAATTTTCATCAACGGCTGATATCATTTTGAGGTACACCATATTTTGTTGTTATTACAGCAACTTATTAACTTGTTACAGCAATTAATTTTGGTGTAACCTATTACAGCAACTTATTTATTGGCCAGACTACTCACTAAATTAAATCAGATTGCCGCATCTTGTATGTAAATACATGCATTTGCTCTGCTCTTTAATTTAAACAGCAAGACTCGTATTCTAGATGTGTGTAATTTTCGTGGTGGTCGCTTGAATTTTGGATAATATTTATTGCATTTCAATGCTTGCCTAATCCTTATGCAAAACATGCATTCTTATATTGCTTTCTAACTCTTTGTTTGTTTATATTTTGACGTGCATTGCTCTGGAGTTTGTGTGAAATTCGAATAAAAGGCGTTAATGTTCTATGGTCATTCAGTATTTTTCATTCAACTTCTCTAAACGAACTACAATGTTGACGAAGATGAAGTTAGTTACCTTTTCAGGTTGAATATTCTTTGATGCTTTGTCTGTGTGATAACTGACGAAAACTTAGGAACAATTGTAATGCTTGTTTTTTATTTGTGTTTTGATTCGACTTGTTCATAAGTAAGCTTATGGTCTTTCTCAATTACTATCGCTTGAATAAGTGTGTTCTATCATGGTTGCTCGTTTCTAAGAGCTTGAATTTGCTGGTACGGAGTCTAGGAGCTGGCTACATAATGCCTTAGTATTGAACTGCCATTTCATGTTTAAACCAGATTGCTTTAGTCATATTGTGTAAAATGGTAAAGTTTAACAATATCAAGTGGTCTTTTGTATTATTGGGGTGTTGGGCGTATGCGGAGAGAACACTGCTGCGAAATCTATTTATTTTCAACAGAAACTTTTAGAAATAGTTATACGAGTGCAGTAAAATTTGGAGTATTGCTCTAACCCTCTAACAAGAAAATGTTGGCAGTCACGAATATTTCAATGTTTACATTTTCAACATTTTGTTGGAGAAGCGTTCTTTGGAACCACTATTAAAGACGATAGCTCGGGTCAATATTAAGTGGTGAAAGGTTTATTTCCACATCGTTTGGGTTAAAGTAATGAATGTTTCGAGTGCAACTGCTTGTGTCAATCTGAGTGTGTGTCGATTGCAACCTAACGCAGTTTGCTATCGATACAATTTGAGTTATGTGTAAAGAGGAAGTAGATTCTGCATTGAAACAAACGCTGTATTTCTATATTATAAAGCTTTAAGTGTGGTAAGCTCTTTCTTTTCTTGTTGGATAATTATAAAGAGCATCCTTTTAAATTCATGAACATATAATTTTTTAACTAATTGCCGAAATATTTACGTGCAAAGCTGGATTAAGGCGCACTGTTTCCTCTATCCTTGTGAAAGAGTGTTGATTTCGCCTGGAGACTTGCATGTATCTGCGATAAACATATTCTCCCAACCTAAACGCGCCCTCGATGTGTAAATTTTGAGGAACTAACCGTTCTGTAGATGGAGAAAAAGCTTAGTTTTAATTTTTAATGATGAAATGTAAAATGATGGCTACATTTATCATTAACTTATATATGATGTTTTCAAACTGAAATTGATTATGACCATATATTTGAAAAGGGTGGAGCATGTGAATTTTGATATATGAGCTAGTTTGTATTTGAAAATGCCCTTTTTTATTGATGTTGATGATAACGTCGCCTCAAACACAATCCCAGAGCCATTTTTGGGTTAAAATTGTCGTATTTTGGTTGAAATTACAGTCATAAAGTCAACAATTGAAAACTTAACTCGCTTCCATTAAGAGTTGCGAGTTTATATACGTTGAATTCCCGTCTACGGTTATATAATGAAATAAACTACTTAATATAAAACGCAAACACCACCAAATTGAATTAAAATGAACACATCATTGAAAGAGACGTAAACTATGAGATCCACACAAGCGTTCGAGAACAGACCACCATCGACTGAGCAATGAAGACATGAATGTTCAGATTTGAAGTGACCATCAAGACCAGTCGCTATTTATCACAACGGCAGTCTTGAAAATATCCAGTTGAGCCTAGATAAACGACGATTTAGTAAGCTGGTTATATTTCGTTCATTAAATCTTAGCTTAGGCAGGTAACTACTTCTTTTGTTTTCATACAAATCCGCTGCTCCCGAAACGATTACCAGAGAAATGCCCAAAAGAGTCGAACTGAATTTGCATTGAAGCAGGTTTTTGCATTGTAGCTGCTAAGACATCAAGTTGTGAAGATTTAAATTTTCAATAAAATTAATAAATGGAAAGAATGATATTATTTTTGTTCACTAAGAAACCGCCAAACTATTTTTTCCAAAATCAGGCTTGAACTGCATAAATATTCGTTAGATGGCGCTGTTTCGCGTTCGGTTTTTGTCGACCTTGTTAGCTTGACTTTCAAACCGTGTTGGCAACTCAATGCTTTTGTATGATCTCTTCTGCCGGTCGGTATTACGAAGTCCACATGTCGGCTGACGCTCTAGCTAAATTGAATATTTCAGCCATGGAGCGCACTTTCATTGCTATCAAGCCCGATGGCGTTCAACGCGGCCTTATTGGGGATATCATCAAGAGATTCGAAGTTAAAGGCTTCAAGCTTGTGGCCATGAAATTCATGCAGGTGAGTTACCTTCCATGCGGCAATTAATGCTTTCTTGTTGCCTGCCACGTTCTTGAAACTAGTTGCATCAAATTCTTAAATTCCGTCATTGTATTGTTTAGTATTGAAAGAGGCGTTTTAAAATCTGCAGTGCATTGACAAACTGAGTTTTTTTTTCAATCCTGTGAGGCTGTGACCTGTTTACACTTTACAGTACACTCAGTCCGAAGTTTCAACACAGTGAATCAGTCTTACCTACTCACTCAGTCTCATTGTCTCTCAAGACTCTCATTGTCTTGCTCGTTACGCCTAACGAGTAACGAGTTACGGTACACCAAGATCAAGTTGTTGATGCATAAAAAATGGATCAAAACTGGTTTAAAGTGGAAAGCAAGTTTTGTTAGATTTAATTTTTACATACGCATTGGCAAAGCTGGAAAGATGTTGCTGCAAAGTTCTTGTTCAATTTTCTTTTTAGAGTTAGTGTACCTACAATCCTACATAATGGCTACATTTTTTTTATATCAGAATACCAGTGCGGACTGACATGCGGCTACCTATTTTGTACTGTGATGAGTGCCCGCTGAGTGGTCAGTAACTGGTAAAGCCTAGAAGAACTTGTGAGTTCAATGAGTTGTGGCCTACAGTGCTAGTGTGATCGCACCATTGGTGAAAGTTAATGGTAATTACAAAGAAAAATGGCTTCAATCAAAACTAAATTTATTTACTCTTAATACTGAAGATAGGCCCTATTAAAGTAATAATATTGTACTGTACTAAATATACTTCTGAGTTCTGACCTTATTTAGATCTTTAACAGTGTAAATGCATAACATATCATGGCATTGTAAATTCCACTCGTTCTTCCCATGAAGAATATGAGAATGTAATGATTTTTAACTAAGACATGGCTTGTTATATCTTTACCAATTCATTTGATTAAATAGTCATTGATAGAAATATTTTATACAAATACAGTGTAAAAGGAGTTTGATTCAAACATATGCTGTTAAAAATTTAGTACTACAAAAGATCTTTTATAGAATGGTTAATATTTTACCTAGTAGGCTAGTACCGTAAAATGGGGTAACTTAGACCGGCGGGGTAACTTAGACCACTTTTCGTTTTTTTAACAAAAACCCCCACAACTCAAAAACTATTTGACATAGAAAAATTTTGTCAATAAGCATTAAAGGCCTAATACTGAGGCTACATAACACAATAAAAAGATTTGAAAAGTTTGCATATCTAATAGGTTAAAAAATTAAAAATGTGACCCATGAAAAAAAGCTATTATTTAAAGCCTGTCGGAGTACCCCCTCCAATTTTTTTAGTTTTTGGTTAAATAACTCCAGGTTTTGATGCATTGTAATAGAACTCTTCTAGTTGCATATGCAAATGACAAATTTTAGGAAAGTGTCATAGTTTGCAAATGGGGGGTGCCGTCCCCAAATGGGGTAACTTAGACCACCTAATGTCAGCCCTGACGGGGTAACATAGACCGGCTTGGAAGTGTTTGACAGCCTATTTAGATTTTTTCTTTATGTTTCAGACTCTACAGAGTCTTATATATGGTAATTTTAACTTAATTTCCAAGCCAGTCAATATTACCCCATCAGGGCTGCCATTAGGTAGTCACATTTCCCTCATTATGGGGCAGCGCCCCCCATTTGCAAACTATGACACTTTCCTCAAGTTTGTCATTTGCATATGTAACTAGAAGAGTTCTACTACAATGCACCAAAACCTGGAGTTATTTGGAGTTATTTTACCAAAAAATATAATTGATTTTACCACCCGGTCTAAGTTACCCTAGGAGCTGGGGTAACAAAGACCATCACTTTTTTTGAGATTACATAAAGACTATGAGAGGCAGGAGCCAGCAATTTATGGTGAGTGAAGCTAGAGTATAGACCTGTATTTTGCATGTTTCAATTCAAGTTTAATTTAGCTAGTAAAAAAATGGCATCATTTATAAAAAAGAAAGTGGTCTAAGTTACCCCATTTTACGGTACCTACCATTAATTATGCTTTACCATAATCTAAATCTCTCTACTCAATCTAGAGATTTGGGGTTGTCAAATTCTAAAAGTTGTATGCCAGTATGGTGGCTGAAATTGCAAAGCAAATTATTCAAAATATTCTAAGTTAATGAGAAAATCTTGAAGGGAATGCTGATGAAAATTGATTTTTTTAATTGATGTGCAGGCGTCAGAGGATCACCTGAAGCTGCACTATGCTGACTTGTCCGACAAGCCTTTCTTTGCCGGCCTGGTGAAGTACATGGCGAGCGCTCCATTGCTAGCCATGGTGTGGGAAGGCAATAACGTAGTGCGCACCGCACGCAACATGATGGGCGAGACCAAGCCTTTCGACTCCAAACCTGGCACCATCAGAGGAGACTTCTGCATTGATGTCGGCAGGCAAGTAGTTTTCCAATTTTATTCATTAATGAGCTGGGCAAGGAAAGTAGTGAAAGGTATTATATAAATTTCAATAATCTTCCATATTGATCGTGCTTCGAATTGTTTAAATTGGGCAGATATTAAGCTGTTCCAAATTAGCTCTGAAAATAGTTGGGACTAGTTTTTAATCTGCAATAATTCATCAAATTGTCATGACGTAAACCTATATTAAACAAAAGTTTAGATAGGATAATTATTTGTATAAAAAAGGACAACATTAAGTTAGATCGGTACATGTGCTACGAGTCCCATGACGAAAAAAGGAATATTTAATTACTATTTTTGAATTCCGTGGTTCACCCTTGGCTCACCACCGTAAATGAATCATACAATCAAAATTCAATGAACGTAGTGTTGATAGATATGTCTAATATCGACTTTCTCACACCACCAGGAACATCATTCATGGTTCTGACTCCGTCGAGTCTGCCAATAAGGAGATTGCGCTCTGGTTCAAGAGTGAAGAGCTTGTGAGCTGGACTCAAGGCAGTCATGCATGGATCTACGAGTAAGACCGCCAGGTGCCTGGACCCCAAGTCGCTTAATGTCTTCCTGCTCATGTGATCCAAGCTCATTCAAATACCCATCTAAAAAATAATTGTCTGTTTACTTGTTCTTCTAAACTCACGTTTGGCCCAATCCTAAATATATTTTCCAGTGATGTTTGTGCTTGGATTTTATTGTTAAATTAAGGTAACACTTGATGAATTATTACCAAGACAGGCCAGACTAGAATAGCTTAAGTCTTCAATAACAATCCTAAAGGAAATTCTTAGTATCGTTAGAGCCAAGATCATGGAAATGACAGTAAATGACAAGTTTCCCCTCTGTTGTTTCATTTCATAACTTGAATCCTATGCACGAATTGTTTGGTTAGCTTCACGTAATTGGTAGAGATGGGTAATCTATGCTGATTCAATGCATAATATTATATTCAACTTCGAAATAAGTCAATAATGAACGTGCATGGAATATTTACCTCGGGTGATCCATCTTTATTTCACTGAACTAAATTGATGAATGTAATGTATACGTATATTTGACATGTCGAACTGCACCGAATCAACCTATTGCATAAACGATAGCTTACCTCTCATTAAGGCCCGCATATAGAATACTTCAATTTCTCATTTGCAGATACGAAAAACCAAACTAGATCCTTGAATACAGCACATGGTTACACAAATTCTTTGAGCATGTTTCAGAAACAAACTAAGCATGAGGTTTGGTTAAAACTTAGTTATCACGAAGCAGGAGTCGAGCTACGGTGAAATGCCAGCAACAAGTTAATGCTGGTAATGAACAAATAATCGGGTCAAATTAGACAAAGAGACTGCAATGAGAATATTATATTCAAAAAATATATCGCTATAATAGTAGGCGAAACCGTTTACATGCAAAAACTTCAACAAAGTGATGGATCAAACAGTGTATTCCGTAGTTACTAGGTCCTCGAGTACGCACTCTACTTACGCCGCTTGACGACCGAACATCAGTGACGTATCAGTGAATACAGGTTTGAATAAAATATTCATTGAATTGCGTTGCAGTACAAAATCCAGTCACATATAGCAACCCCGCTGTGCCGTCCTTGCAGGTTATTGGATTCCCTCGGGGATTTGCAGGCTGCAAGTGGATTAAAGAAATTGAACGAACACCTGGCGACACGAAGCTACATCAGGGGCTACATGCCTACGGATGGAGGTTAGCTACAGACAATTGAATTGATCTTGACACTTTGTCTACAGATACATAAGCCGTCATCAACACTTGTGATGATATGCCAGATAACTGGAGTTGCAATTAACTATCGCCGATGCTATTTATATCTGAAGCTCTGTTAACGAGTTTGAGCACGAGTAGATGAAGGGTAAAAGAAAATCCGATCAAATTTGAAACACAGGCGAGAAAGGCAAAATAAATGCTTCTTTAAGACAGGCACAAAAATGCAACAACCGAGGTCAAATAACAATGAAATATTAATTTAATACCACATGTGATGAGTTGTACAATATTAGTTTGAGGAGACACATTTATAGAGAATATTACTCAATCCTAATTGCAGCTGAATAAATTACTAACACAAATATTACAACTCGTGCGAAGTTGGTGACTACATCCACACTTCTACTAATTTGCTTTCACATTGAGCCTTGGGCCAAGACTCGTTATTATGATATTTAAACCCGATTAATTTAAGGTATACGATGATAAAACATGGCACAGCGTACAGCCTAATAGGTCACTTAACCAATTAATTTGCTTTCCATCACAGATGCAGAAGTTTACAAACGTCTCTCGGGATCACCATCAGGTTGCCACCCGCACGTTCTCAGATGGTACCGGCACATCACAGCTATCGGCAGGGAACTTGGTCTTGACATTTTGTGAACGGGAAACTACCTATGTTGCAGTCACGTGGACTACTTCGAGAACTTAGTTAGAGACCCACACTTAAAAATCCACCACGTTTAATATAACGCATTAAACAAATCTAAATAGAATTCCACATAAACAAAGAAACTTCGCCATACAAGGGTGCTTCAAAAAGTTCGTGTAGAAACGAAAGTTTGAAAAACGATTGTTGAAAAAAAACCTGGCCTCGATTTCGGCAGATGACATGTTGCAAGAACGGTTGTTGCTTTTAAAGCAGCACCCCACGTTTGTAACATTAATTTAAGGGTTCATGTGAAAACACGTTATAAAACTTTGATGCAGCAGCGTTCTTGTGCATTGACGTCACACTCTTTTTTTATAATATTCTGTTTTGTCCACTTTCCATGAACTTTTCGAAGCCCCCTCGCATTGCCTGAATAAAATAAAAAAAAACATACCAATGTCCCATTGGTTAACATATAATCTAGTCGATCATATCGTGAATGATTGCAAATCCCGAACTTGATTCTGATGACTTGACAGTGCATGAGAGCACGCCACACAAGAAGGTTGCGTCATTAAATTACATATCAACACCTAGTGATTGCATGTAAATAAACTCTAGATGGATGAACATATGGACAAAAATGGGCACAAGATCGAATTAAAACTAGAGTACTATTTTTTGGGGGGGAGTCAAGGCACAGTCATTGGTTAGTGCATATGACGATCAAAAGTTGGCACAAACTACATGAACAATAAGAAATTAAGAGGTTAAAGCAACAATGTGGTGAGTCAAATATACCTCCTGAAGTCCTGACACCTAAAACTTTATTTCAAAGATTCTGTATTATTGTGGTGTTAAGCTGTTCTATCAGTCATAGACAGGACAGTTAGAGGATTAACAAGTTTGTTAGAAGATTATAGAATTGTGAGTGACTTGTTCACCAGTAGCTCAAGATTGGCCATCGTTTGGATCATAGTTCCAGTCGTGAGCAGCCGGCCATTTGTCGTGTTCTGCATTGCAAAAATAAATCCTGATCAATACTCAGTAATATGGCATATTTGTAGATCCTGATATTTGATATAATATCACGCAATGCAAGAAAAAGCACCTCAAATAATAACAAGGCTCAAGACTAAACGTCAGGCCAAGATGGCACACAATGAAATGAAATATTACGTTCACCAGCCATTGCAGTAAAGGGGATGTGCTATTTATCTCGACAATCACCAAAAAATAATCACGAACAAATAAGGTTACAAACATGAGTAGCACAGTATGTGGGAGAATACTTCAAAAATGTGTTGATTCTACATCAATCTTAACTGATTCTCACTTCTTCAATTCAAGTATTTGATTGCAACTCGCAAATACCTTCTGTGAATAAATTCAGTACAAAGAATTCTACTCCACCTGGTACGGAGTACAGTGGAGGAGCAGAGAGACTCATTCCGCCGTCTACTCTGAGCGTGGCTCCAGTAATGAATGACGCGCCAGGCGACAGTAAGAAGCTGACAGCGCTAGACACCTGCAATACGAGAGATGTTAATGCCCCTTGTGAGTTTAATATTTAATTTTAACGACTGATACAAAATAAGATTAAGAAATCAAAGAAAGTTTGTAAACACTTGTATACAGAGTTATAACAAGAACGAACGTTTCTTTTTGGCATCAGCTTTGATAAAGGAGAAATTGCAGAGTAGTTTAGACATGAACTGGTTTTGAAACATAACAGAGAATAAAATTTATGGGAGCGGCCATACTGATGGCCGCTTGGAATTTAATGATGGAATTTGATGAATACAACGCTTAACCTTTGTCCTAGAAACGTGTTTGATCACTAAGCAGCAATGTATAAGGCAACATTCAAATGTATCCTATCTAGCGTTTTCCGACCAATTTTTGGAGTAGAATTTATTGGCATATGTTGGTCAATTTATGCAACATATGACGCACCTCCCTTGGGTGACCGAGCCTCTTAGCAGGTATTCCAGGCCTGACCAGCTCAAAAATGTTGTCGTCACCATAGTTGCGGCTTGCTGTGGGAGAATAAATGCAGCTTCCAGGAGCCACTGCATTCACACGTACACCACTTTCTGCCCACTCTATTGACAGACTCTGTAAGATTGAAAGGTGTCAATGAAAAGCTTTGAAATTATATTATCTCACGTATTTTCCTACACACTTCTTGCAGCATCTTCTTACACTAAATTGATTCACAGAGCAATTAGCTTGGAATTGTGATCACAATCTTTTCAGAATTATCAAGGCAGCCTTTTACGTAGAATATATTCTCCTCAGTTTTCCAGTCAATGCAAAATAATCCATTATTGCAAATGTGTTCCTGTAACGAATTTTGTTTTCAACTAGTAAATAAGTTGCAATACCATTATTTGTATCTAGTTTGCAAACACAGCCTACAAGGTAATAGTCAAGAGCAAAAAATATCATTATTGAATAATCACAGACCTTGGTGAGGTTATCAACAGCAGCACGAGCAGCTCCAGTGTGTGACATCATAGAAATACCCCTAAACATGTCAGCAATGATGTTCACAATTGCACCTCCATTTTCCTTCATCCATGAAGAATATGCTGTTGAAAAACATCACAATGATAGAAATCACATTCATTTACAGCACCCTATTTCCTTTTTAATTTTCAAATAAATTGCAATTGATTCACCACATTTCAAGCTATCATGGGACTAGGATGAAATCTCATTCAAAAGAATGCAAGTTTCTCACCTTCCTTGCACATTAGGAAAGTGCCAGTGAGATTGGTCTCCACAACAGCATTCCATCCTTTCAAGGACATTGTCTCAGCTGTTGAAATGAATTGACCACCTCCATTATTGACCAGGAAGTCAAGCTGGCCATACTTGGCAAGTGTATCAGAAAGAAGAGACCTGAACATGTAAAATCAATATCAGTACCAATGAACAAAATCATATTTTTTTCTATTCACATATATATTGTAGAAAACAAGATGAAACACATGAATTCATAAAGCACAGAACTAAATTTTTTCTAATTTCGTATCAAGAATATAGTAAAGTTTTATAATAGAGAATATATTGATAATATTGTAGTGCTTTGTATGTTAAGTTGTAAACAAACTGTAGTTCTTAATTTTTCATAGTTATAACATACTTAACCTGGTCTTCTTTGCGAATGTTGCATGGAAATGCAATGACATTTTGTCCACTGGGGCTCATTTCTGCAGCAGCAGATCTCAAACGCTCTTCATTCCGAGATGCAATTACAACACGACATCCTGGAAAATTAAAATCATCAGTGACTATATCTTTGGGGCTGATGCCTATGCATTAAGATCATAACCATCAGACACAACAAATTAGTTGAGAAACAAGATTCAAAACTTGCAACTATAATTTTTGATAGGAAATGGGAATATAATTTAATTTAGTATTTTTGTCCAAATAGGTACGGTATATGAAAACAAGGGGAAGGATGAAAAGTCATGACAGCAAATAAAATTATTGCAGTCATTTCTGGGAACATATTCTTTTGTATCACAATATCAGCAGGTCTGCAACTGTCTTTTCCAGGTCATTCTTCTTCTTCCTTCTGCAAGTTCTGTTCTGGTGTCTGGACAGTCTGGTCCCTTGACAAGTTGATTCCCTTCATTGTGGCCATGGTCAGGAAGATGTGCCAGGTGCGCGGGAATTTATTTTGTCATTTTAACGACCTGCACGGTGCGCCGTACTATGCTGGTAAAAAATGCGCCGTGCGCCGTACTTTAGAAAGCTAAAATAGTTCTACTATTTTAGTCAAAAATATACGCGAGTATATTGAATACGTGAGTCGAACTGACAATAATAAAATGCAAGACATGTCCGGGTTACTTCTGACTCTTCCGCTTGTCCGCCTTGTCGGATACGGAACGTACGGTAATCGTAAACTGCGGCTAATATACATACAAAATGTAAACAGACGGTGTTCAGTGTTGCCATATGATTTTGGAGAAAATTTCTTCTAAAATAAAGTTCTAGATTTCTCATTCACCAAATTTCCGTATCAAGAAAAATCATATATTATTGAAAGATAATTAAAGGCATACCGGTACTGTACTGAGTAATGTGAGTATTACGTCTGTTCCTCCACAAACTGCTCGTGCGCGGCAGCGCAACATAGAATTGATGGCCGGGATTGCGTGAACACGTGCGCAAAGAGAATCAATTTTCATTACATTGCGCCAACTGTGCACAGCAATAGCTTAAAAAAAGTGAAAATGCACGGGAAAATTCACCAAAAACATAAATCATCCTGAGTGTGGCATTATGGTTCTCTAGTTCTTGCCTAATTTGTGCAGATATAACCATATAAAATGTCAAATTGAAATTCTGAGATGTGATGATCTCAGAAAAATTTGCCAGATATACTAAATTTGTTCCTGGGCTCCTGGCTCCTGCAAGTTTCAACATGGAAAATTGTTTGCTCATACCAGAAAAAATTTCATCTACGTAGTTATAGCCTTATAGGTACAGAATGTAAAACATAGCTAATTATTCAATTTTTCTTAACATAAATAATAATGAATATTCAAGACAATAACATATAATAATATTTACAATTTTACATACCCAAAGAAGACAATTCTTCTGCAATTGCTCTGCCAATTCCAGTTGCGCCCCCAGTGACGATGGCGACTTTACCCTTAAATATGTTTGCCTTAAATATTGACATAATTAAGCTAAGTAGATTCTGCTTGAATTGTAAGTTTTCAGTTCCTACTCTACTACAATACTTCTATAGCAATAATGGCATAGGTATTTAGTGTTCTCACTGTCTCAGACACAGCACGGATATCAGTGAACTTCACTCAGAGTCAGTGTCCGTAAAAGGCTAAAGCGCTAAGCTCCATGGCTAAACTAAACCAAAGCATTCAAACTTGTTAGTCCGAGCTTTGAATATACGCGGTAGACAATAGCCAACGGGTAAGCTAATCACAATCTACTGGCAGAATATATTTTGTGCTCACTTGCAACTTGCAAGGCTCTTATGCCAATTTATGAGAGCTTGGAGTCGGTGATAACGAACACCTCACCTCACGACAACAATCGCCAGAGTGCCAGATGGAGCCAAGAGAAAAAGGCCAATTTGACTCAAAAAAAGGGCCAAAAAGGCCACATTTGTAATTAATAGAAATTTTTTAATTTTAAGGTAGTTCTAACCATTTGCAGTGCATGCATTTACTCTCAAGGCTTTCAGACAGCAAAAAATACACCAATTTCATCACGTGTATGCGCTGAATTACCGTCAATGCTACAGAAGCCGCCAGCCTGCAGCGAATTGAATAAGGAAAAGGCAGAGTTGCTCAATAAATACTTCCAGACGGTATTCACTGTTGAAGATGACGGGCCTGTGCCTGGCACACAAGAGTATACTTACCGTGAGGCCCTAGACGATTTTGAAATCACTCATGAAGATGTCAGAAAAATCCTGACAAACCTTAATACAAGCAAGGCGGCAGGCCCTGATGAGCTGAATCCGCTGATTCTGGCCCATGCAGCAGATATTCTGGCAGCTCCGGTGGCCCACTTATTCAATATCTCGCTTGCTTCCGGCCAAGTGCCGAGTTAAAGCCCAAGTTCCAGTTATCAAGCAACAGGGATACTAGAGGCCACTCTCTGAAGCTCGCAAAAGGCAGATGCCGACTCAGCGTAAGGAGCAACTTCTTTTCACAGCGAGTAATTAACTCGTGGAATAGTCTGCCAGAGTCAGTCGTAACAGCACCATCTGTAAACAGCTTCAAGAGCAGGTTTGACAGTTTCTGGAGGGACAACCCGGCCGGGCGGCCCTGTACAGCCCTTCATGTTACGAGTGATGAGGCTTCGATCATCTTGGAACAGACACTGCGACGGGCGCGGTGCTGATAAAAATTGTTGTCGACCGATGAACAGGACCGTCAGGGACCTTAAATCGTATTGTCAAAGTCAAAGTCAAAGTCAGAATGTTACTCGCCGACCGTAAATAAAACCGTATAATACATGATATTGAGGATTCAATTGCCACCTAACAACCATAAAGCTTTTCGTTTGTGTTAGAGAGTTTGGGCTCAGTTTTGCTCTTTTGCTAACAAAATAGATAGTAAAGTGGTAGGCGACATAAGGGCAGTAGTGGTCTTCGACAGGCGACCCATGTGGCGAAGTTTTTGACATGTTGGCATTGACGGTAGAATATTTATACTCGGAAGATGAAAAAATTTAAACTCATTCCTGCGGTATAGAGATGATGTGGTCCTTGCAAGACTAATCTAAATATTAAAAGTCAATCCTATAAATTTATCGCAGCTTTTGAATGCGCAGGAAAATAATATATTGCCTATCATTACTTGCATAGGAAATAAAATTTATTTGTTCAAAGTGATATCTTGAAGTGACTCACACCAGAAGGCTGAATGTATGGAGAAACAGCGCTGTAACCTCAAAAATTAATGCTGAATTTACTACTCTTTAGGAGTGAAAACTATACTCGATTATACGCTCTGTCAGCTCTACCGTCCATGGTTCTTAATTAATACGAGTCGGCAATTAGATATAGTCCCATGGTTCAACCAAAGTGTTGCCCAGATTAGGCGGCACTCGCTAGTGTTGCCACCTAAACCGAAGTGTTGACACAGCTTCGTGTCAAAATTTGAGTGTACTCTTCTTGAGCAAAACTGAATTTGGGTGCACTCGTCTTGGATAAAATTGAAGGACCAAATTATCATAAAAAAACGAGAGTTACATTTTTCATAAAAAAGGCCCAAAACGGACAAAAAGTCCAAATGAAATTTTTCAGGCCAATGCATTTTAAAAAAGGCCCCATTTGCGAAATTTGGCTGAAAAAGGCCCATCTGGCAACACTGCGCCAGACCTGTTGGCTGATGGACATTGGTCGGATTGAGTCAAGCCTCTTTCACACAGGACGGCAAATGCCGCATGCGTCAAAAAACGCAACGGTATTTACCGCACAATCATTCACAAAAGCGATGGCACAATTGTTTGTTGCTGTCGTGCGCCCGAATCTAGAGTTTAGAAACGTTGTGTGGTCACCGAGATTTGAAAAGGACAAAAATTTAATAGAGAATGTTCAAAGACGTGTAACAAGGATAACCAGGCTTGAAGGGCAAGTCCTACGAAGAAAAATTAAAGATTATGAAGCTTCCAAGCCTCAGTTACCGACGTCTGCGTGGGCACCTCATTGGGGTATACAAGTATACTCATGGTTTATACAAGGCCCCCGAAGGATTACTAGAATTTGAAACAAGACCCAACACCAGGGGCAACGTCTATAAACTAATAACTGCGCTGCAGCTTATCCACGCCACAACATTTCTTTTCGCTTGGAGTCAACGACATGTGGAACAGCCTCCCGGATTACATTGTTGGTGCTCCGAAAATGAACGCGTTCAAGAACAGAGCTATTTCAAACTATAGCCAGTCCTGAAAAAAATCCGGTCAAATGACACGATTTTAGATATTACGTGAACAAGTCACGAAAATTACAAGAATCGGCGATAGGCAACACCAGGCCTACTCTTTAGCGCCGACATCACAATGTTATGTTGTGTCGCGGCCATGAGGCGGCTTTTAAACGCTTGAATATATCAGTTTTGCAGGGCTATTTTATGCACCATCAGTCTATCTCTATGTTTATGTAACAGTATATCTTTATGGAAATATATCTTTATCAATATAAAGAATTATGTTTATGTAGCAATTTTTATGTTCAATATCAGTCTATAACATATCAGTCTTGCAGTGCTGTTTATTATGCACCTTAAATACGGCCCCACTGTCTGTACCAGACTAGGCTGTGCGTCAAAAGCCGCATAGTGTGAAAGATTACATATTTACATTGAATACAATTGCAAGCTATACTGTTGCGTCAAATGCCGCAGCAGATTTGGAAGAATGCACACAGTTAGCATGCGTCAAATATGACGCTGCGTTAAATTATAAAAGCCGTCGTGTGTGAATACCAGTGAAGATCACGTATGCCCGCTGAGGTTCGACGTGAAATACCGCTGCGTGTTTTGTAGCGCATGCGGCATTTCACGTCGTGTGTGAAAGGGGCTGTAGGCTATTGTTGCTAATACTTATTATTGTGTATTCAATTATTGCCGGTAATGACGTTTAAATAATATCTACATTTATTTTCATTTTCTCTATTAATTTTATTCTAAAACAGGCCTTCAGTTTTTAATACAGCATTCATCACTGAGCAAAAAGCAGATACGAGAGACAGTGTGGCTTATTCTGTCACTTCTCACTGTACTACGGTACTTTGGATTACGCCAAGCCAATGGGAATAGAATTATGAACAATAAATAAAAACGGGCAGGGGTCAATAGACATACATTTATGAAATAGAGATGGTGACGACCATGATTGAACCGTGGTAACGACCATCGAGAATTCGTCAAGTTAATTAACCTGTCGAATGAAAAATATATTGGAAAAAGAGTGAGTTTTAACACTGTCCTCTTTGACGAAGCTGAAAACATTTAACAGTAGAGCAGTTCTTGAAGAAAACGATGTAATGACATCCAAGACGGATCTAGATAAGCAGAACAACTTTATTTTCTTTTGCTATGCCATTCACAATAGAACATGCTTGTATATTGCTCATTTCAGCAGAGGTCTTTCTGAGAAATATAGTAAGGGATTGTAAATGTAAGAAAAAGGGATTGTGAATGATTTAAAGAATTCAACACCACAAAATCACAGTGCCTCGTAGTATTCCTTCTAGACTGTTGAGAGAAGCTAGGGAAAAGCTAATTTTAACAACTGTCAATATTTTCCAAATTATCACTGAGAAAAACATGCTCGACGAGAGAGTGGAAAGACTGTCATGTTTGCCTGATCGTCAAGAAAGGAATAAAAACTGACCATCAAACTACCGTGTTTCCAACCTGATCTCCGTTGTATACCAAACAATGGAGTATTGTCCAAGAGGATCTGCGGCATCATATCAGGCCACTCAAATCGTGTCATTCAGTCGTTCTCAGCGTCAGCGGTAGTTCAACCTTTTTGCAATTGCTCGACCGAGCATGGATTCAAGAAGACAGCTGAAGGCACCGCATTTTTTTGTAATCTTTTTTGGCAGATCGAATACATTTAACTCGTCTGCTGCCATGGCTGGGATACTGAAATGTTTTGAAAACGCCTTGAGTAACAAGACAGCGAGTCGTCATCTGTGGTGACTCACCCTTGATGACAAATCGGCACCGCTCGTCTTCCCTCATCAGCCCCATACCTCACTCGGGGAAGGTAGCAGGCTGCGCGGGATGTTTTGAGCGGAGACCTGCAGGGGTGTTCTCAGCTTTGTATTATTCGTTTGCTTTATCAGCAACGTAGCGCAGGCGATCCAGGGGACTGGCTTGAATTTTTTATTATGACTTTCAAAATTTCGTTACACTGCAAGAAGTTCTCAACTTCGTTCCTATTTGGGCCCTACCCAAACCATCAGTGGTCTGACCGATTGCAGCTCCGATCTAACATCTAGGCCGAAGCAAGAGTAATAAAAATACAATATAGACTATAAAGCCACAGCGCAGCTGGAAAAGAAAGCGCCAAAATGGACATAAAACATTTGGGAGTACAGATGGACCCCTCTCCGAAGTTTACCGAACACTGTTTGAAGTGCGGCGAGAGACTATTAAGGAACTAATGTAGCGAAACCTGGTGGACAGAGGTCTGAGTATGGGCTGGTCGAGACTAACAAGATGACCTCTGCCCACATGGAGTTCTACAAGATAGTGGAAGAAAACTGCGTTATACCTATAGGCTATAGCTAAGACGAGCGATCAAGAGGGACATGTGCAGACTCAAGTCAAGAAGCAATCTTCCTTCCTGCTGGGCAGCATGGGCTATTTCGGACTGAATGCGGCAGACAACTGAAAAGGCCTACCGACGTGTGTGGTGAAAGTGCCCATTTGAATCACTGCCCTGTATTTGTCTGCTAATGGTTTCAGGACGTCTGTCCTTTACCGTAAAAATCTGTATGATCGGTAATATATTTATTTCATCCAAATCTATTTCACATTTGAGTTTCCAATATTAATAATATTAAGAACTAAATATTTATCTTAAGTTAACAATATTAAAAATGTTAATATTCTCATTTGAGGAGCTGGTGTCGTCATAGTAGGTAGTTCATATTCATACTTCTGGTGCGTATTAGCATCGTGTTAGTGCTACTGTGCACTTGTGTCGAGGCGTCTCTTCACATACTCGTTCAGGAGACATTCTAGGTAACCTGCACGGGGCTGCACCCATGGTTGAACTATATAGTTCAACCATGGCTGCACCTAACTGGATTTCACTGCATCAAAAGGTTCCAATGAAAGCGATATAGAGCATTAGGTTAATCGTAGAAGCCATGTAAATCTGCCCCTTATCACACGCACAGCCAAGCAGCAACGCATTAATCATTTCGAACAACATAAAATTGTGAAAATAAATTTGCCGTTCAGAAATAAGATCTTCCTTACACTTCCACAAACGTAACTCATCGTTATTCCCTTATTCATAATTTTACAAAAGCATTACGTTAGTCTACGTGCTTTGGCACCAATATTCAACATTTTGATTCTGAAAGTTAATTAAACATAGTGCTTAAATTCTCAATGAACGAGCTTCGGGAGCTCCATTTATGATCCGATAATTTACAATTTACTACGTTTTTCTTAGCTCGCTTTCGTGTCTGTGATGATAAAATCTTGCAATCGATATTTCACCAACTTTCCCGCTAGCTAGCGCTCTGAAACTTTTAGGGAAGCTCAGCTCCCGATAACAATACAGTTATCAATAATTTGTTGCACGTTTCCAGGCGTATAAACTCTAAAGGTACTCACAAGCAGGGGTTTGGGAACCTTTAATGCACGTCATCCTCGAGAGGATATTCGTGTTTAGACTGCGTATATCGATGATACGCTTCGTATCATCGATACGTACGTCAAGTCAAGTAAATTGGCTCTCAACAACGTTTTTCATGTCTAGCACAGTGACAATCTACTTTAGTCATTTTCACATTTCTTTTAATCTTCTATTACAGTGAACATTTTATATAGATATCTTGGTCAGTATAACTTTCGAAAATGGTGAAGGAAACGGCCGCCCAAAAGAAGCGACGGCTAGAGAAGGCAAGAAACCATCATATTCATCATATCAAGTAATCACCAAACAATTAAATACATATGCGCCCCCAACGTTTTTCGTTTTAGATGTTATAAAATATTTTAACTGAAATACAAAAGACCAAGAGAATGAAAGCAAACAGAGATCAGTAGCTGCCGAAAAATTATTTTCTACTTTTTAGTAAACATGAAAAACGTGGTCTTTAAAAATTTTTTTTATACATGTTATTTCATATTAATAAACTATTTATTATTTGCAGGAATTAATACCGCCATCGCCAACGACGTGAAATTGCTGTCTCATGTTTGATTATTATGATTGCCATATTAAGGTATATTTCAATGTGCATTGGCGTGTAAAATATATGAAATATATTATAACAATTGCACAGATTTGCTAAACGCTATTGCTTTAGCATCATTTGCATGCTTTACTAACTTAGCGTTTAGCGAACTACTTGATAACATAGCAGACTTCTATAACATAGAAATTCTGACTTCGTGTCCTGGTGCCTGTTGTAAGTAAATAAATAACTGCTTTGGTAATTATGTCAAGATCAGTTTCGATTTGAAAAATCTAATTATTTTTTTGAAACACTGAAAATTTGAAAAACTAATGCAAAAGCTTAGCGTTTAACGTGTAAATTACTATAAAAGCGGGCAAAAATTCTGGTAACTCTTGAAGAGGATAACTTTAGTAGATAGCTTCGTTGTTTATTATGTCAAGATCGGTTTGGAAGTGACTAAAATCACTAAATAATGCAAAAACCTAGAGTTCAGCGCACGAATTAAATTAAAATTAAAACGCTCGTAGAAGCGTTTTTTGGAATAATTAGTCTCGTTTTTAATTAGGTGAGCTCGATTTTGATTTGATAAAATGTTGTTTTGTGTTAAAACGTGTTATGACAATTATTTTCAAAAATTCGTTCTACATGTGTCCGAGCGGTAAATTATTGTGGCTAATTAAAATTATTGGCTAATTAAAATTGAGGAAAATAACGAACATATGAACTCGAGTTTATAAAATTTTGATCAACCTGATATGGATCTACCGATACTGAAAGATTCCCGGAAGCATATGAATATTACATGCATCTTATGGTATTTATCTGAGCTCAGCCAGCAGACTGCCATGGCACTGTCTGAGCTCCGGTGTACCGAGCCTACCGCCGACCGAGCTTCTTCAGCAGGCAACAATTATTCGGACTTCGGAGTTCGGACCGTCAGTTGAGGTGCAACTGTTGCGCAGTGTGGTGTATGTGCTTTAGGCTCATGACTGCCGCTCAGAGACAAAATGTTGGGTTACTCCTCGGAAAAGTTCAATGACTTCTAATGAGAATACATTGTGTTATTACTATCAATGGTATTTTGTACATATCGTGGACGGGATATTCGACCCTTTAAATCACTCGTATGAACGAAGATATGTCATGCATGCACCCCTTGAAAAGTACTTACCGGTGTTCATCGCAGTACTTTCTTTGTTCTTTAGTCGTTACAGCTTTGCAGGTACATTATAATTTTTTATAAACTATTAAGTTATTTAAATTCATGTAAGAAATGGAATTTTTTGTGTGAAAATCTGAAATATTTAAATAAAGTCGTGTATTCTACTACGGGAAGTAAGAGTATAGCCTGTATAGGTTACCCCGGGTTTGGAGCAGGTTTGATTCCCTTCCGCTGCATGCTTTCTGCTTCCGGGCTGGAAAGCCGAAGAACAGTAAATGTTGCGTCTGCTCGTTAATTCAAGCTTTACTGTCTAAGAATACAGGATTCAGGTTCCATAACCACAAATACCATGAGCTAAAATGATTTGATAATTTTTTCTATTATTGTATATTCATTAATTAGAGTTTTTATTTTCTACCGTCAATCAATGAATCATTCACTGCAATTACAGCACTGCTCGTTACAAAAAAAGCTGCATAATTATGATAATACCGTTCAGAACTACGATTTTTAGGGTTTGATATCCAAATGGTGACTACTTAGCTGTGTTGATTGCACAAAACAATGTGGTTCAGTTTTGATTTTAGAATAGTTCATTTATATTGAAGGCCGGCGACTTTAGACTAGGTAGTGCTGCAGCGACTGTATCGGCGGTGACAGTAGGTAAATTGAGTGGCCAAGTCAACAGTTGTTGAGACTTGAGGGTTAGGGTTAAAGTTACTTGTTGAGGCGGCGCCCGTGACACCTATATATAATCTCTATTTCGTTCGATCGTAATATCTAACTCATTCGATCAATTTTTGTTTTCGAGATTAATTTTCTTCAAATGACGTAAATCGAATTATATGATTTATATCCTATTTATAGGGCTGTAGTGTTAAAAAATTAAGTTAAGGTGCCTGGCACTTGACTTCTTATCTGCCAAACGCAACATGCTGGTCAAAGTAGAGCTACTAGTGAGATAGCGCGGACGCTCTGAGCCTCATGCTCTATTTTTTAACTCCACTAATGCACATTTGATTTCATTATTGTACGGTGTTTCCTAAGAATGCAGTTTGTGGACAATGTTTACATTTATCGCAGCACTTGTTTTCAGATTCAAGTTTAAACCTGAAACATGTGAGAAAAAAATCACATTGAACAATGTAGTGCGTAGCGAAGGAAATTTTGTTCTGAATGAACCCAAAAGAGATGTTTAAGTGTTTTATGTCGTAAATTAACTAATTTAAGTAAATTTCCAAGAAAAAAATTGATGCTGTCATAAAAAGAATTTACAATTTAGGTTGGCATTTTGATGATAGGGATCTTTGGTTCGTTCACGGAAAGATGACTGGAGAGGGACCGCAATCTTCCATACCCGGCACAAAATCCTGCCCCAGAGATGACAAATCTACCGAAAAATCTGCTCGTGACAATTGCAGCGAAGTTCGGCGTCGCCTGAAGCATCCAATTGGGAGTTCCTTTACACTCAGGCCCAATATGCTTAGAGATTATAACTCGGTAAATTCACCAGTGTCTTCAACATCAACAAAACCCGATAATTTCTCGTTGTTAAGAGACGCCAACTTGAGGAGTTCCTCTTCCCGAAGTGCTTCAGTGCCAGCGCCTGAAACTTCGGGCTCCTCCCGAGTCTCGAAGTCTTCAAATACTGCAGCCAAAAGCACCAAGAGCCCAGATTCATCGTCTTCTTCAAGAAGTTTCTTTTTTTCTGAGATACCGTCTGGCTATTTCAGCCTAAGACGTCCCTTTAATCGATCCCCTGCTGGCAACAAGGTACAATCTCAGAAGGAGGGAACTGGCAGTTGGAGTAGTGCATGCTTCTCCAGCCTTAAGTCGACAACCACTCAAAAAGTAGACCAAAGCAAATCTTGTACAAGTCCACTTTCTCCCACTAAATCTGTTGACTGCTACCCGAGACCATCGAGCAGCCGTACCCGATCAGACGACACGAGCTCGTTGGGCGCCGTGAGAACCACGAAGAATTTTAGTCCGGACGAAGCAGACTCCAACAGAAAAGAAATTCGTCACTTGGTAACTGAAAACTGCACTACTGGAGGTGTTTTGGGAGGAGTATTTGCAGGCATTCGTGACTCAATGTCAGCTAGTGCCTCTTCTTGCTCGGCAAATTCTAATGAACACACAGCTGAAACCAAAGACGGAAACACTACTACACAGTTCACCATAAATTCTACAAATAAGCCTTACAAAAACGATGTCGAAAATGGAGCAGCTAAATTAGAGAACTTGGAGACTATGGAGACCACAAATTCGACTACCAGCAGTTTTCCTACCGCAAATTACCGATCATCCATTAGTGAAAACCCTACGTCCGCATCAATGAATTCTTCAGGGTTGAACACCTTGAAGCGTAATTATTCTACTGCTAACACTACTAACAGCCGTCCGTTGCTGAACAACGCTCACTCCATCAGCAACAGCATAGATGCCTGTATCAACAATGTGGCACACGCCAGCAGCATAATGGCAGGGTCTGGATCTTACTCTAGCCAGAGAAGTAGCTCAACGTTGTTCAGCAGCTCTGGTAGCGCTGCTTCGTTGCCTTCATCACTTGGCATCTCCAGCCTCAATCAGGCAAGAACACAAAGTCTTTTGAAAAACGAAAACCGCAAAAGCTATGCATGTTGCAACGGTACCAGGGCTATGACTGAAAGTTCTGAAGGAGTTTGGACGGAAAAGTCCGGCGAATCAGCCAGTTCTTCTGGAGCGAGCAGTCCATGTGGTGGTCAGCCAATAGGAGACATGGTACACTTGACGTCTGACCATGCCACATCTGCCATGAAGACTATGAACTCGCTTCGCAGCAATCGTCAGGTAAGTGGTACTAAAGTAATTTATATTAGAGAAATTATTCCAAGTATGATAAGTACGTATATGATGCATTAAGTATCAACATGAATGTTTTTATGAATGTGTCAAATATTTTGAGCTTTTCATATTGAAAACTACTCTTTAAAGAGTTTTAGCAATATATTTTTTAGTCAGTATGATATGTCTTGTCTATAAGGGTTAACTCATGAACAAAACCTGGCTAGACAAACTTGTAGAGTACCAAAAACCAAAGGAAGTAGCTCATCTTCCTCGTGTGAACTACATAAAACTGCATCTGCACACGGCAACGGTATCACCCTGGGCTTATCATCTTTAGAAGTGGCGGGGCCGCACCTGGCTGCAATAGTAAGGTTGGTTCAAAGGTCTTGTCGGACGAATCTAGGCCGCTGGGGGAGAGAGAGTGCATACAGAAGGGGCGAGAGGCTGAGGGCTAGCTTTTGAATTATGTACAAGATACGACACTGGAGACGTAGCAATATAGGCCGTGGATGAATGAAGGATTATATAGTGTCGTGCCATTTTTATACCGGGGCGTGCAGTTGTCAGGAATTTTAAAGATAAATAGTTGGACAAGTGCTTACCGGGTTGGTTAAATGAGAGATTAATTGATATTTTAATATATTGAAGACAAATATTTTCTGTTATAAATAGCGATAAATATATCGCATTATTATGATAGACTACTGATAGATTGATGGATTTACTCGTATTTTTCTTTAACGCCCGAATAATGTCCTGGCAGGACATCGTGGCATGGCGCTACTGAGTAATTTCTCATATTATGTATTATACTAACACAAGACACGTCATAGAGGCATCACCTCACACCCAGATAATGTGATGAGCAGGCGATCCTGTTGCATCGACCATCATCTTTCTGCTACAAAATATTGGCCCATATTTTGGCGAGGAACGACGAGATTTTTTATATAACTATACCGTGGAAACTCCGAATCGATTGAATGATGCTTGACTTTCTATGTAAAATAAAACCAGCCTGTAAAAGCAACCTGACTTAACTCCGAGTGCCTTTAAAATTCAATATATCTCTGGTCTTGGAGTTATATTTTAGTAGAATTTAGTTGGCAAATGTTTAGATCTGAATGCTATTTTGTTTTTTTTTTCTAGTCACGATTATTATAATAAATGTACATAGGTACGTGTTTTATTGGAGCCACTGCAACAAGTGTACTTATCTCAGGTCGGAGTTTCTTTGTTTTGTATGCTTATGTGTGTGATAAAATTTTGCATTTGGAATGATTTACTTCTCTCTGATCGGAATTTTTATACCAAGTACGAATAAAATTATAATATAAGTCTGATCAATATTGTCTTCGTGGTTGTCAACCCTCCTTTGGGCCATTGTTCCAATGATCGATTTATTGCTCTGTTGGTTGGATGGCGGAGCGTTACACCAAACTTCTGGTAGATTGGACCTCCTGTGAATAGCCTAGAGGACATCAATACGCGGACCTGACAAAGTAGCCTTTTTGCTCGTGAATAATGACAACACCAAAGCCTGTGTGGGACCTGCTGTGACATGGATTGGAAACTATCAGTAATGAATTAGGACCTTACTCATTACTGATAACCACGCAATAACCTAACAGTTAGGTTATTGCTAGCAGCTGGGTAGATGTGATTAGTTCATTTATTGACTGGACATAATGTTTGGTTTGAGTTTGACTGGCGCTGGTAAACAGCAGGTTACCAGGTTATTGCAAGAAGCGTAGTAAATGTGATCAGTTCATTTATGGACTGGATATAATTTTTGTTTGCGTTTGTGATTCGTTTCAAGACTTTGATGAAGAGTTTTAGCTTGCAAAACTGACCAGCTTTGGGTTATTTTATTTCTAAGTAATCTTTATCTTGTTATTTATCGGTGCTGTTATTTTTGTGATTGTATGTTTAATACTCTAAAATGATTTTTGGATCTTTGGTCCTTAAACACGATAAATTTATCTTCAAATGAGTTGAAACTATGTCTGTATCCTACTAGCATCACATTACATTTGTAGACGTGATTTTTATTGTAGTTCAGCCTGCGCAAGCGCCCTTGCCTTGCGATGCTCTGAATCTGTAGCAAAGCCCTTGGCGATGCAAAATGCTAATTCCGGATCCATCTTATGCCCACCGAAGTCAATCCCACTGACAATCCTTCCCCAAATTACCCATCGTAAAACTCGCCTTCCTCTTGTGCCTGGAGTTTCTCTTCCACTAGATTTTCCTTCACGAGAAATTTCTTCACGAGATCACGAGATCTTCATTCACGAGATCTTCCTTCACGAGATCTTCCTTCACGAGATCTTCCTTCACGAGATCTTCCTTCACAAGATCTTCCTTCTCAAGATCTTCCTTCACGAGATCTTCCTTCACGAGATCTTCCTTCTCGAGATCTTCCTTCACGAGATCTTCCTTCACGAGATCTTCCTTCACGAGACCTTCCTTCACTAACACTCCCTCCTCAAGTTTCTCTCCACTGAACTAAAGTCGTAACTCCTATTTAATCCCAAGCGAAAGGAAAGCGTCGCTATGGGCCTATTTTTTCGGCGCTTTAGTTGACGCTGGAATATTTGTAGGCTCGTAACGGGTGTTCGGGAAGAGGGTTCGAAATGAGGGTCCAATTGATGTGACTTCTACGATGTTAATTCTTGGTTTTTATCATTTTTCTATTGTACGTTTTGAATAAATTCATTTGAAAACCTTCATCCCCATATAGACGAAAATTATCAATTGGCTATCTGTGAAAAAGATTTGATACTTTTTCCGATAGCCGTGACATTTTTCAGTGAAGTGTTTGTTGAAATTAACTGTTTGCTTGAAAGTTGTTGAAATTTCATGACATTTAAAAATGTAATGTATATTTAGTTATCGTATGCCCGTGGCGTTAAAGACAGTTATGGGTTTGTAGAAAATGACAATACCATGTAAATATTTCTCTTAAAACAGGATGCCAAAATTAAAAGTTCTGGTTAAACCCTGACATACAGAAGGCCTAGAAATCGTCAAATAATGTCTCTTCAAACACTCGCGTGCTGCTATAAGTACTCGAGTTTCCTATTATTATATATGATAAATCATAGGAGCGGTTGAAAAATCAAATTTCTGTAATATATGAAATGTGGACTCGTTATTATACACGATTTCTACATTCTGGCTGCCTATGCACACATGGATCTCACCAAAATGTTCAAATCCGAGCATGACTTGAAATTTTCACCGTACGGCTCTCCTGCGACGACCTTGCAGAGCAGCAGCGCAGGCCAGTGACCTCTGACACGCTCAGCCCTCAGACGTCTCCTATTGATCGTCCGCTACCCATGCTCTTCCTCTCTACAATTTATGTGTACTCTCAGTTCATGTCTGGCTAAAACATATTGAATAAATTGATGGCATTGCTTTCATAATTTATGTTGTTGAAGTTTAAACTATCTATAGTTGTTATGATACGAGAATCAGTGACGTCATTAAAAAGAGAGCAATCGTACGCGGACTCCAATGACGACACCGACCACGTGAATGGCAGACAGCGTGCGTGACGTCATAGTAGCTGAAACTCGGAATCGCGTAGGCACGTCGAAAAAGTACGTTCTTTCAATTTAGTAAATTAATCCATACCTCCACACAATTGTTTTCCTTGTGAATATATTGATTTGTGCGTCTGCTTTGGATTAGTTTTCACGAATCATGAACCATTTGCGAGTAATAATAATCTTTATACGATGCACAGTAACTCTATGGCATGAAAGAATTCTACTGGATCTATCTAAATGTGTATAAAAAATCAGATAATTGATTTCTAAGTTTACCAATTTGGCCTGCACAGGAAATGTAATTATTCATGAAATAATGGCAAATGTTGCAGTAGATGTCCTTCATATGCAAAACGTATAGAATGTATCCGTAATACGTCTAGCGTAATCTCGAAATAATTGTTAATTTTTTTCAATTCTACGAACAATTATCCGAGCCGCTACGTACTTTTCTTTCTCTGAAATACGAAAAATTGATTCATCAGAGTATGTAATCTTGGAAAACAAAAGCCCCGGGCTTATACTTTCAAATGAAATGTTCGTCAGGTGTTTTCCTCAGAAGAAATGTTCGTCAGAAATTTTCTCCAGAAACGCGCGCCTGCGCCGCCGTGACGGTCAAAACTTTCGCTTTTGCCTGCCGCCCGCCAGGGCTAAAATGTGGGACAAATTTGCTCGACCTCGTTTCTTGTGTTGACATATCGGTGCCACCGCGCACTACTTCATATTGATTTATAATTTATCAACATACCCGTCCGAATAATGTACTTCATATTGATTTATATTTCAACAAACGTAAGAATAATGCCAATACAAGTTTTTAAGAACTTTCTTATTTTGGTAATATTTGGGTAGGTACAAATTGTCATGCATCAACTTGCAACTCTGGAGATCTTTACGAGTACTGACTGCGATGAATTTTCTCCCCGCTCCGTCCTTTCTCCTCATTGGTGGACACACCTTCAAACTGGGTCACACCGAGCGCCAATCGACGCACGCTTTTCGCTGTTGCGGGTCTTTAAAACCATTTGAAACCATTTTTTAAACTATCGACGGCCTCTCCACCGTTGATGTGTGGCCGGCCAAGATAAGCCGATTGTTGGTAGCAAGGTACTGTGTGCGAGATATGGAGCTTCAGAGCTACGCGAAACAATATTAACTCGTTCTTGCTGCACATTTATATGACGGATGTTCTGAATAAAATGCTATATTGTGATTTTATGAATCGGCTCGCTTGAAAATTACACCGTCAATGCCATTACTGAATTTTACCAACTACATGGATGAATTTAGTAATTCTTTTCGTAGTGAAGTTTTTTTCGGAAAAAATATTTACTAACGACTAATTTAAAATTATTTGTTTTTATAATTAGCCCTCTGTAAAATTTTCTATCCTTCATATTTCTTTTTTTACCAATTGCATTGTTTGTCAAAATTCAATTAACGATACTTTTTGTTGATTTATTTTATAATCCACTGATTTTTTTTCAATCGGCTTACGTTCATACTAATTATTTCTTTCTAATTTATATCATCAATGTAGGTACTATTTCATTAAGTTGGATCCTAGTTTTTTTCAATTGTAGCTTATTTTCTGATGCACACTTTCATCATTTTCTTCCAATTCTTGCTTCCAACCTTTTTCTTATATTTTTTACTTTTTTTGTTCAGGCACCTTCCCTGAATGTGACCCAATCCCGAAATACCTGCGTGGAGGCCCTCTAAACCCCTTAGCGCCGAGGGCTCCTACTGACCCCATTTCTAGAGGATTACCCTCTAGATTGCATTACTTTTCGCAAGCCCATAAAAAAATGAGCCGAAATAATCTAAACAAAAAGACTCGTTGAACAGGTGATGGGTTGAAAACTGCTCGTACGGCAGTTTTTACTTGGAAGCCAATTATAAAAATCACTTGTCATTGTTGAAAAAATCATTCAATGGGAGTCATGTATTAGTTATCGTTATAAAAACTTCATAGTTAATTATAAATAATAGTTATATAGTTATAAAAATGTAGTTATAGTCATAAAAAATATAATATATAGGTATAGGTTAGGTATAGTTATAAAAACTTCACTGCAGCTAATGTATCATTTTATCTACGTCTTTTATGTGTTCATTTGTACAGCCCTCCAAATATATATAAATTTATATATAGTACGGTAAACCTGCTACCAGGTTCACAAGGAAGCATATCGATCATTTAGCTGTGCTTTTAAATGTATTGTGTGTTGTGTTTCTGTCGTACAACATCGAATATGATGGCCGGTGACACCTCCTGCTAGGCAATCAGGAAATTATATTATATATTTTTTATGCTTTTAATATACGTCGAGTTGTACCCAGTCAGAAATCGACGCAGTCTGGAAGCCAGCCGCGGGTGAACTTCCCTGCGCCAACGCTCGCCCCAGCGCAACGCCAGGGTGGTCAACAGCGCAGGAATGTCCACAGCAGCGCAATATTGTGGCAGCGCTTCTCGGCCTGGAAAGGGCCTGCTGCCGCAGTCAGTCTGTCCTACCGCGAGCGACCAGGCCGGCAGGCACTGCCAGCTTCCGCGCTATCGCGAAGGTGGTTGCCGCGATTGGCGGGATCGCTGCGCAAAATTCCCGCAGGCCAGAGGTGGCCGAACGTGAATTTCGAGCCAAAAAAAAATCCCCACGCCCTCCACTATATATATAGCTCCCTTACTTTGTGGAGCTATATATAATAATTGTGGAGGGCATGGGGAATTATATAACAACGTACACCGAATAAATTAGAGAGCGAATTTTAATGCAGTCATTCTGAGATAGTAATTATGAACAAGTATAACAAATTTTGACAGGAAATAAAATGATTTACATGTTCGGGCCGTTTATTAGAACCTTAAGTGCATATAAACATTCTAACTACATAACATTTTTTTGGGTGAAACGTAAAGCCTTACACATGGAGTTTAAGCAGTCGACAACTATAAATAAGAACAAAACATGATTAGGTACGATAATATAACCCCTCCATTATTTTTAAAATACACGTACAAGCTAATTCCTGGTTTTTAAAACGACACAAGCTAGAGGATAACATTATCTTATATAGATTATAAATGATTAGAGTCTCAATACTTCAGAATCTAACTTGAAAAGTTAATACTTTAAAAGTTAATTTCATGGGGAAATAGTAAACAAAAACACCATACTAAATGCAACTGCACACACATATGACGCACCCTGACAATTTGGAATGTTTTCTGATTGGGTCGTCGATGCGTTCACGTAGATGTTGGCGTAGTGGCGGCTCCCTTTAATCCTGCAAGTTTCAATGAACAAGCTCTGATTCTAAGAGCGTAGTTTTCGTGAGGTGCTTTCCACTGCTGAGGTTAACGTCGACACAGCTGGGACACGTAAAACTAGACACAGCAGTTTACTTGTGGCACAACAGTAGGCNAGTTGTGCGACATCGAACAATAGTTGTGTTTTGTGTTGCAGTTGTGCGACATCGAACAATAGTTGTGTTTTGTGTTGCAGTTGTGCGACATCGAACAATAGTTGTGTTTTGTGTTGCAGTTGTGCGACATCGAACAATAGTTGTGTTTTGTGTTGCAGTTGTGCGACATCGAACAATAGTTGTGTTTTGTGTTGCAGTTGTGCGACATCGAACAATAGTTGTGTTTTGTGTTGCAGTTGTGCGACATCGAACAATAGTTGTGTTTTGTGTTGCAGTTGTGCGACATCGAACAATAGTTGTGTTTTGTGTTGCAGTTGTGCGACATCGAACAATAGTTGTGTTTTGTGTTGCAGTTGTGCGACATCGAACAATAGTTGTGTTTTGTGTTGCAGTTGTGCGACATCGAACAATAGTTGTGTTTTGTGTTGCAGTTGTGCGACATTGAACAATAGTTGTGTTTTGTGTTGCAGTTGTGCGACATCGAACTAGTGGCTGGTGACACGTCTGTGTTCGCGCACAAGGTTGTGCTGGCCGCTGCATCTCCATACTTCACTGCAATGTTCATCAGTAAGTTGAACGCTAGCGATCACTTCGGTATTCTTGTTTGGTATTAAATTCTATTATTGTGGAGTATGCTTTTAATTATTTTTTATCATTCGTTGCCTCTGTGTTCAAATTCTGAAGGTGAAAGCTGTAGAAATAATCTGCTTTGAGTGACGAAGAGGGTTTGACCTTATCCAACTTTGAGTTCGGATCGCAATGTACGTCGAGATATGTATCATGTTCAAGTTAAGTTAATTTAAAACGTTTTTTTAAGTTTTAACGGACATGACAATTCCTACGACGTGTACCATCATCCGAGGCGTAAGGTTCACCTCCTATGTCTACTAACGGTAACTCTACGTACCAGGCATTACGATACGGAAAGTTTTCGTCTCTAAATTTTCGCAGTTCCGGTGATGTTTTCGTCGAAAACATCGCCGACGGTTCACGTATCCGTAGACAAAAGGTTAGTCATTTGTCTACTGATGGTAATTTTAGCTACCAGACCTATAGACATGAACGGTTTACGTATCCGTAGACAAAGTCTACTAATCTTTTGTCTACTGATGGTAATTTTATCTACCGGGCCTATAGACATGAATAGCCTTGTGAACGGCATATGTATTCTTAGACAAAGTGTTGAGACAAAGTGTCCGGCAGACGACGTGAAGGAGCGCACAGCGGCGCAGGTTGTGCTGCGTGAAGTTGACCCCTCAGCGCTGTGTCTGCTGGTGAACTACGCGTATTCAGGCGATGTCGTCATCACTGAGGACAACGTGCAGGTCAAGCTCGAGTGAAATGTGTTGTTGGGTCATAGGTTGTTACAGGTTAATAGGGAAAATATTCCCCATGCTTGTGTTTGAAATATAAAAAAACTTGCAGAAAATATTTTATGCATCAGTAAGGCTAGAATGATAAAAAGCCTACGGAATATACTACGAGAATTTTATTTACTTTCATCCAAAAAGCCATTTCAAATTAAATTTTATTTTGATTTTTATCATAACACAAAAATTTAATTTTTTTAAGAATGGATCATTAAATATATCATTATCGTAAACTTCTGAGTCATATTTTTGCAAATGTTATTTAACTACTTCTCTGAGTAATTAGTATACATTAAGATAGCAGGCTTTTAGGAACGAATAACATTGACGACAGTTGATATATCCTTGCACGAAGTGTTGTTTACTGAATAAAATGCTTCCATTGAATGTCCTCTTTCATTGCAGGTGCTCCTGCCTGCTTCAAACCTGCTGCAGATGTGCAGCGTGCGGGACGCCTGCTGCAAGTATCTGCTGCGCCAGCTCCACCCATCCAACTGCCTCGGTATCCGCGCTTTCGCTGGTAACATCCATTTGCTCCGGATGCTGGAAGTCTTGAGTCGCAGTTTTCCTCAATTCGCGGAAATTAAGTATAGAAAATATCAAGCTGTTTTCAGTAAAATTGTGGTTTCTAAACTCAACGAAGAAGGTTGCGCTTTAAAATGCATCCAATACGAGTATGTCGTACTCTTTAAAGTACATTTCTGTTGCAATGTCTGAAATCATCTCCGCATAAAGTTCTGTTATTTTTGTGCTAGTGTACAAAGAAGAGAAAATTTCGACGTCATTTCCAATTGTATTTCCCTAATTTATTTGCAATAGAAAAAAAATCTAGGAAAAATTAAGTTGTGTCTGTAAAATTGTGGTTTCTATATTCAGGGAACAAAGTTGCGATTCATGAAGCATCCAATATGTCGTACTCTTAAATTATATTTCTGTTGCAATTTCTGAAATCATCCCCGCACAAATATATGTTATTTTTGTGCTACTGTGCAACGCTGAGAAAATTGAAATGAAATTTTCCCGCTTCCCTGCGCAGGGCTGCTAAGCAGGGACTATCCCATTTTCGGGTGCATTTTCCAATATCATTAAGTATATTCCACTGTATTCTTATATATATTTATTGCATCTGTATTCTTATACATATATTGCATCTGTATTCCTATACACGTGTTATGTCTTGCAGACACCCACAGCTGCGACGAGCTACACTCGCGCTCCCACAAGTACGCGCTCCAGAACTTCCCTGAGGTCTCCTGCACTGAAGAATTCCTGGCACTTCCTTTGGACAAGGTATGTTAGGTATATTAGCTAAAGATCTTTTGTATTGATTTATTATTATTATATTAATTACGGCCTCCGTAATTACAGCATCTCGAGGAGCAAATATTTACCAGCGAATTAGATGGCTTTTAATTATTCATTCTTCTAACATAACCTGGCAGTGAGAGTTTACATGTTCCCCTATTATATTTTGACAGCAAAATGAATTTTTACGCCAATTGCTGCAATATCGAGCCATGCATAATATGTCCAACTAATAACTGATAGAAAAGAATACTATAATGTATTCCAACAAAAAAAACGATTTAATAAGACATTCCGTTCGCTAAGTAACGTTTTGACTAGACATTCAATTCGCTAAGCTGCGTTGTAGTTTTGTCAGCACGAGCTGTTACACTAAATGTCTATTTCGAGTGCGACTTGAGATGCGCTGGAAGCCATACAAGCTTGCGTCTCTCGTAGAATGTTTCGTCACGTGAATGCTTATTAATGCATTCTTGTAATTTGCTTCCACTATTTTGTCCAGTGTCGGCGCTTGCAAGAGCTAATGTTAATCTAAGATAATATCCTCTGTTATATATTGTCGATATATGGAAGATAAACTGTGAAGATAGCACATGTGATGCGATGATGATTTTATACACTAAAGATTTATACCAAATAAATGATGCATATCCATATATGTATACATGTATACCAAACATATACAAAATTATGAGGTGTTTGAATACTTCTGTTTGTAAAATATGTTTGTATATTCATTGCACCCCCAGATGCTGGAGTTAATTTCCTCCCCTAAACTGAACGTCGAGAGCGAGGAGCGCGTGTTCACGGCCGTCGTATCCTGGATACGCCACGAGCTCGTCGCGCGCCAGCAGCACATCGCCGAGGTGAGAAGACCCAGGGGCCATACTTTCAAAACTCGCTAAGTGAACGTAAATACTTACGCATTTTCTTGTCTATGATTGGTGGATTTTGCTCGAAAGACCGTCAATGATTGGCTGATGAACTTACGATCTCTTAACTTTTTTGGAAAATATAGGCCCTGGTTGTTATTTGCGATGAAGCGGACAGCTTACTTTGGCTAAATTAGATGCTTTTTTCAAGGCCGAAATAGGCGCTTTCTTCTGCCAAACATGACGTTTCTTCAAACGAATTTGACGTTTCTTCAACTGAATTTGACGTTTCTTCAACTGAATTTGACGTTTCTTCAACTGAATTTGACGTTTCTTCAACTGAATTTGACGTTTCTTCAACTGAATTCGACGTTTCTTCTACTGAATTTGACGTTTCTCCAAGATAATTTGCCATTTGTTCAAATAAATTTGACGTTTTTTCAAACGAATTTGACGTTTCTTTAAATGAATTTGACGTTTCTTAAATGAATTTGACATTTCTTTAACTGAATTTAACATTTTTTTTTTCAATAAAACTCGAAACTTTTTCGCCCAAATCCGATACTTTTTACCCAAACGAGAAATTTTTCAAGCCAAAATACACTTTTCCCGCCATGCTAGACTATTTTCTCATTGATCATGAAGAATGTTAAGCAAACAAACAAGTGAACAAAAATTAGAGACGACAGTTTTTGCGCATATTTTTGTTACGCTAGTTTTTAGCCTCGCCTTTGACAGCTATGCTTTAATCTATATGTATTGACATGGGTTTACATATCACAGCATGGAGGAGGCTTGCAAAAAAATGTTATGGAACTTCAGTGATAGTATATCATATTTATTCATCATTATGTTGCTTGCAGAAATGTTTGATGTTATGGAACTAAGCTCGTGCTCCTTTTTACCCATTTTGATCGTTTTGTGTACGCATCAGATTACGAGTGTGTAGTTTTCACAAGTACTTATTTTGTGGGAAATCGAATTTCAGATCACTACTCTACTGAAGGAAATGCAGGACTATAACTTTAAATTTAATTGTAGATCATCTTCATTTGTGTTTTGAATTTCAATTTATTCCGTACTAAATCAAATTATTATTCTTTTCCTGTTAAGATTTATTAGTGACTCGCGTAAAACTCACTGAATTGGGACATCTTTATAACTTTCATTTATCATCATGCGTTTGTAATTTCATGTCCTGAATTATGACATTGTTATTATTTTCATTCATCATGATTCATTGGCCATTTCATGTCCTGAATTGTGACATCATCATTTCCATTCATCATTCATTGGCCATTTCATGTCCTAAATTATGACATCATCATCCTTTCCATTCATCATCATTTCCATTCATCATCATTCATTAGCCATTTCATGTCCTGAATTACGACTTCTTTATTTTCTGCAGCTGCTGAAGCACGTTCGCCTGCCGCTGTTGTCGCGGGACTTCCTGACGTCGATGGTTGACAACGAGCCGCTGCTGCAGGGGCACCCCGAGTGTCAGGCCCTACAGCTGGAGGCGCTCAAGTATCACCTCCTGCCGGAGCAGCGCAACTCCTTCACCTCCGAGAGAACCGTCGAGAGAAAACCTCTCGGCTACAAGCCTTACGTCTTTGCTGTTGGTCAGATCTTATGCTAACCACGTGATTAGAAATTGCTAGGAATTTTAATTTTTTATTGCCATTTATAACTTGGAAATTGCGTAGGAAACATGTACTCAACTGAGAAATCTTCAATAGTACCGTAATTATTTAAAAACTAACTCATAATTCTAGGTTAAAGGCGTCTTATTTAGGCTAATTTGTAAGTACATATTGTAGCTGAAATTAAGTGTGTACGAATACAAAATCTACCCTTTTTCATATTATTGCTAATGAAAAAAGTAGATGCATCTGCTTGTGTATATTTAGCGTCAAAGGCTTTCATATGAGACTTGTAAATGAAACGGAGATAGGGTTGCAGTGAAATCCAACTTGCATTTTAATTAAAAATTGGGAAAGAAGTGCAAATCCCTAAGTGAACAAAATAAACAGTAGAGAAAAAGTAAATAAAATAAATTCCAAATTGAGCATCTATTTATTAAACATCGCCCCAACTGATTACTTTGATCTGTGAGTGCGGTCCCTGAGACTGAGGTAGCTCTCCGTCTCTTAATCCTAATATAATATAAATAATATAACCCGTCCCTCATCAGGGTTGCTCTCAACCCTTACCTGGCATCAATCTTGTTCAGCAATGCATTTTATTGCTCATTCCATAATTCACTTCCTACCTCAGAATGTCCGCAACGGATGTGCCCTCAGCACTTTTTCACTAAAATTCTTCTTTTCAAGGCAGAATCCTGCTTGTAATTTCTCACCGTATCGTGATATCACTCTCAATTTTTTAGTTCTCACAGAGTTATGTTCATTTCGCGGATATCAAATCTCATATAATATCTACGTTTTATGCATGTAGGGTATGTCGAGAATTAAGAAGAAATTTAGGGTTGTATTTGTCCTTGCTTATTCATTTCATTTAAAACCTTTATTATGGTGCAATAAGATATAAATGTTCCAATAAAACTAAACTTTGGACTAGGTCTCGTTAGCTAAAGATCTCTTGTATTGGTATATTATTGTTATTTGAATGTGTTTTGGTCAGGGGGCGGTAGTTTATTCAACCTGCACAGCGAAGTGGAGTGCTACAACCCGCGCACTGACCGCTGGATGCCCGTCGCTCCTATGAAGAACCGCAGGTATGTCTTTAGATTAGCGAGAAAATTGTAACAGATTACAGTTTACGTTTGAATTGTCAAGGTAATTCATTCAAAATATCTCCTGGGCAGTAAAAAACTTAGATACCGCAATAAAATCATAAAACCGCTCTGCAAGATTGGAGAATGTTTGAGTGTAACTTTATATACTTCTACAACTTTTTTTGTTGAAAGTTCCTTTTTATTTTTAAAGATTATGTGTTACGTTCTTAGATGCTTCACATTGGCAATAAACTTGATCTATGCACTTAGTGTGTGTTTGCTCAGAAGAATTATTATATTCTAGGCTTGTAGAGTTGCAAAAGACGTTGGAATATGAAATGAGGCCTTATTCTCTTGGACAATTTAAAAAATGGGTCCCGTGTATGCGTTTTGTCCTCCAAAAATGATTGTTCAGTTCCGTAAATGATTGTTAAGTTCTTTGTAAAGTCGCAAAATGACTTTAACACAAAGTTTGTTTCCAATCTCCTGGAAGATTAAAAAATGGGTTCCGCGTATACGTATTGACCCTTGAAAAATGATTGTTCAGTTCTTAAAATGCTTTCTAACCCCGGACCAGGTCCCGCACAGCAGCCGCCTCGCTAGGTCGCCACCTGTACGTGATGGGAGGATACGACGGAGTGAGCGACATCAGCCACTGCGAGGTGTACCAGCCCTCTACCAACACCTGGACCACCACCACCTCCATGGGCACCAAGCGGTCCTGTCATGGTGTTGGTACCCTCAACGGCCTCATCTACTGTGTCGGAGGTGATCATAACTCTTTGTTACGTGTGTAAAAATGCTACTGACTGGTAATGATTTAATATATATCAAGATAATGTGATCATCATAATGTTAGAAATTGAATCTTATCGGCAGTGTGAATCATCACTCTGTTACTTGGATAATATACGCAAGTAAACTGGTAAAATTTTCTCATTTTTATCATTTCAAATTACCAACCAAGATTGCGTTCCTGCAATCTACAGTCAGGTGCAACATTACCTTCTAATAGATGAATCTATTTATTTTTACGTGAGACGATTTTATTTATTTTTACGTGAGACGATTTTATTTATTTTTAAGTTACCCGATGTTATTTATTTTTACGTGAGACGATTTTATTTATTTTTAAGTTACCCGATGTTATTTATTTTTACGTGAGACGATGTTATTTATTTTTACGTGAGACGATTTTGTATATTTTTACGTGAGACGATGTTATTTATTTTTACGTGAGACGATTTTAACCCTCAAGAGTGGCTGACGTCCTTTACGTATCCAGGCTACGATGGCGCCTCGTGCCTGAACAGCGTCGAGCGCTTCGACCCCCTGACGGGTATCTGGTCGTCCTGCCCCGCCATGGCCTGCCGCAGGAGACACACCAAAGTCGCCGTGTTGGGTGAGGGCGGCAAAAGTGCTTCACGAACTAAGACAAACGTTCTACGAATTTATGCCTATAAAATAAAAATGTTAAGATGTTGGTTATAATTAATTGTTTCCCTAAAACTAAGACTAAAGTGTTCTTAAATCCATTTACCGAGTGTGGAATTTAATGCTCAGCACGTTCATGTCTCTCCAGCATGAGTGTTCATCATTGAACACATATTTGCTGCAACGAAGACGTCTAATTACATGTATATTATTTACACTATCCGTGATATAGGACCAGAATAATAATTGTAGTGTATTTCATTTTTTATTCGAGTTTATCAGTAGATAAAATTTCGGGATTGTTATGCTAAAATCTACAGCTATGGTATGAAAATTAAAGAGATCTATTCAGAGAAAATTTGTTAATGCTAAGGTCTTTACGATCCTAATTTCTGACTATTTAGTGGTGTTTGTTGCTTCATCACGTGTAATTTATCTACCGTGTGAAATGGCAGTCTACGTGTCGGCGACACTGAAATTGGCTTCGCCTCCTGGAGTGCATGGCAGTGCAATTGAACTTTTCCACGTTATCTTTATCGAAATGCGCCAGTCTCAGAATTTTCGATATGGGTGTATATGTAAACAACCATCGAAACTTAGCTACAACTTCAGATGCCCAGTGTGAATTATCTTCCGTGCATATAATTAGACATAATTTATAAAATATTTTATGCAAATATTTTATTATTTGACAGACCAGCGGCTGTACGCCATAGCAGGGTTCGACACTAGCAACTACCAGTGCAGCGTCGAGACGATGGACCCAAGAGAGGGCAAGTGGTGCTTTGCCCCCGCCCTTAACACCAGAAGGTCGCGTAATAAACTTATGGAACGAATCGTAATTTGGTGATGAATCAATAAAACTTTCTTCAAAGATAGACTAGTGGAAAAATATGCTGCGGTAATCGCAGCTTCTATGAATTAACAAACGTAGGAGTCACGTAATGGGGTTGGCAGTCGTGATATCAGAGATTGGAACTTCGCTCGATTTTTAATAACCAATGAACTTTGAATTCAACAAATGACTAGTTTTCGTCTGTGATACCATTTGAATTCAGCCATTGTGGTGAATTTTACAAATGAAAAAGTGTTCATCATACAAGATATTATTTACAGATAACAATCCTTACAACTGCCCGTTAGTCTATGACCCGCTACAACAGAACCCGTTAGTTCAACCCTTTACAACACAACCCATTAGTCAGAAATCTCCACTACAGAAACCCGTTGGTTCAAACAATCACAACCTAACCCGTTAGTTGAAGACCCTCATAACCCAATAACCCGTTTGTCTGTGGCCTGTCACATTACAACCCACCAGTCCTTGCTATACCGCCCTACACATCCCATATACCGCCCTATACATCACATATACCGCCCTACACATCCCAGTGTGCCCGTTCAGATCGTCGCTGGGGGCGGTCGGGGTGTCGGGGCTCGGGATTTACTGCGCTGGCGGCAGCGACGGCGCCGTGAGTCTGTCGTCCGTCGAGCGCTTCAACCCTCGCCGCAACGCCTGGGAGCCCATCACTGCCATGCACTCCAGGAGGCCAGTTACCAATTCATTAGAATAATCATCATATTTAATGTCAGGGTTCTTACTTTTTTCGGTGCGCCGACTTCAAATTGCCTCCTCTTCACAACTTCAAATCTCAATGGGTGCACCTTTAAATCGCCTCTTCTGGTGCGCCGCCCATGATCCGCGTACGAGCATCGCAGTCTAGTGCGCACAGCTTAGTCAATGAACAGTCCCACTAAGCATCTGACGTTGAAATAACGCTGTTAAACGTAGTTTCAACGTCCTTTGACTGTAAGGATGGCCGATGGAGAGTGTCCGAGTTTTCTACTTCCTCTGTGTAGTGCGCACGCGTCTGGTAAAATTATCTGCTTGTGATGACCTGACCAGATGTCGTTTCTTCTGTCTTGTTCTGATTTATTGATGGACGTCCTTAGGATTTTACTGTATTAGGTCTTCGGTTACTTGTTCCAGGTATTGGTGGCATTCAAGTGTTCTATAAGATTTTATTACACCAATAATGGAACGTACCCGCGTTTTTTATACTGTTACACTGGTCACTCTAAAACTGCATAAAATATATTTTCGTGTATTAACCATTCCGTAATTACTTATACCATAGTTTTCTTAAATCAACTATTTCACGGCGTTAGTTCCAACCATTTCATATCAGCGCACTCCATTATTTCCGTACTTTAGCCACTTTATGCCTGCATGCCATTATTTTAGTGCTGTGACCGTGCAATGTCATTCGTGACGTGCAGGACAACGCACGAACTGGTCACGCACGACAACTTCGTGTACGCCATCGGAGGCAACGACGGCTCTGCGTCTCTCAACTCCATGGAGCGCTACGATCCCAAGACCAACCGCTGGCAGATCATGCCCTCCATGTTGGCCCGCAGGTGCTCCATGGTGCCCACTTGGCATATTTTAACCCCTACAGGATACACGAGTCGTCGGAAATGTTTATCGTTCTTACAAGTTCTAAAAGCCTGCACCCAGCGAAGTTCGCGTGACTTAGTACAAATAACCATGCACACTTTGTTCCTGTGTTGGTCACCCTGACATAGATTGGCCCGTCGAAAAGAGCCTATCAGTGATATGTCAACTTTCTGCTTATGCCATGGATAAAAAATTTCACTATTTTAACCGAATGACCTACTCATTATTCAGTGTGTAAAAGAACTAAGAGTGAAAGTGATCAAACTGTGAATCAGGATTCACTATACACTTGGTGAACATTGATTAAATTAAATATTCAACTATGAACACTTGCGTATATCAAAAACTGTGGAATTTTCTATGTTTTATGCCAAACACTATTTTTATTGAAAAAAATATTCCATGGCTTACCTCGTTTTTTAGCTAAAATTTGGTTGCATGGCAAATAATAGCGATTCTCACCAAGGTTAATTAAACAGTATATTTGCATTTTCGAGCACTGTTAGTAAGAATTATTAATAGCGTTCTGGCGAACACTACTAAAGTAATATTGATATATCTCGTATGTTCAAGAAGTGAACAGCACTTCTGGAGCACTGAGGAGTTAATCATGTGCGAATATATAGCATAGAAATTGCGTCGACTCGTCAAAGTTAGAGACGAAATATTATTTTCCAAATAAACTTTTTGTTTTGATTTCAGGTCCTCGGTTGCCGTTGCTGTTGTTGAGTGCTACAGCTTCGAGAAAGTCTTGCTGGGTAAAAACCACACATGACAGGCAGACAGATACCCGTCACTAGTGACGTAATACAGCAGACAGGAACCAGTCACTAGTGACGTGAAACAGCAGACAGGGACCCGTCACAAGTTACGTAGTACAGCAGACAGTGACCCGTCACTAGTGACGTAATACAGCAGACAGGGACCTGTCACCAGTGACGTAATACAGCAGACAGAGACCCGTCACTAGTGACATAATACAGCAGAGAGATACCCGTCACTAGTGACGTAATACAGCAGACAGATACCCGTCACTAGTGACGTTATACAGCAGACATTGACCCGGCACTAATGGCGTAATACAGCAGACTAGGACCCGGCACTAGTGACGCATAATTTCCTGACAGGATCACCGGGACCAGAAAACTAAGGTTATCTTCTACGCTTGATGGAAGGTCCTCTTTATCGCATCCAAATTGTGAGAAAGTTGAATTATTAAAAATTCAGGACTTGTAGAAAAAATTATGAATTTAACGTTTTCCTAATGCAGAGTATGAAAGTATTTACAGTGATGGATGAGGTAGCTGTAAATTTTGATGGTAGTTTAGTCATCGAGCGGATATAAATAAGCATAATTATTTAAACTCACTATATTCCGACAGAATTTCAACTTGTAACGAAGATTTGGTTAAATAGAAACTACAATTAAGAAGTATAAAATTATTCAAATTACCCGTGTTGACTGCCAGCTGTGGGACAGTTTTAAGTTGAAACTTTGATCTCATTTCGGTGCAGGTTCTAGTGTGTAGGTAAAATCAGTGTTTTTCTCGATTATTGAAGTTATGTTTAAATTTTAATGTTTGAGGCCAATATTTTTTTTTTCATAAAAGTTAACGATCAATTCTAGTCATGAGAAATGCTGACGTGATGTAGACTCAAAAGACGAGTACATTCTATTCAGCGGTAATCTAAGTAATCGGTCAATGAATGTGATAGAGTAAGGGCAATATTTGTTACATGCGTAAGAGTAAAGGAAGAAAAATTGTTTATTGCCGTCAAGAGAAGCGACGTCTAATGTCGGATAGGCAAGATTTTGTTTGATGTCCGAATTTCAGAATTTAGAGTACTTTTCACAAAAAAGGAAACCTCCCGCAAGCAAAATAATTTCAAAGTTTATTGTGACTCGTTTCGCTGAGCTTGGGATCTGAATCTGCTGATTTTTCCTTTTGCGAGGAAATGGGGCATTTTTGAACAAATTTTCAACTATGGATGTGCAATTGTAACATTTCATGAGATGTCTGACTTCTTTATTAGGTTATCCATGCTAAAATCTAGCTTATTCACTTCTAAAATCGGACTTTGTAGCAGTTGCCGTTGCCACCATTAAGCGAGTGAGCAGGGAAAGTGAGAAAGTGTTATATTGATCATATGATTAGACCAGCTTTCTGCCCTCCTTTCAACGACTATTCTTACGCGCAGCAACGTTTAACAATTGCTTCATGTATCGTGTACCGAAGCGAGTAATTCGTGCACACGGTCGGACAGCACAAGAATTTCTTTTTAACTCCACTCATTTTCAAGATCGCTAAAAACACTGCCATCTGTAAAGACTTGACTTGATCTGCATAAACTTTACCATAGTTGATTACTTTTGTCTTTCGCCCTCGTTATTATTAAAGCTTGCATTTGCTTCCCTCTCAAGATTTTAATATAACTTTTCTCCCATTCCCGTGATAGTTCGACTTGTAGGCGGCATTTGTAATATTACTCATTGCAATTGATACATATTCAGCTTCTAACTAAACCTAATCAAATTGTTCAAGTCAATTGTTACGCAGCGGAGAATTTTCCATTGCATTCCATTCCTCCCGTCTTTCTACTACAAGGATTATGCTTGTTCGATAACTCATGATCAATTATGAATGCAAACAAGCGAAGATAATCCATCTTCGAACGTAACGAAAAGGCATTACATGAATTCGTGACAACGTAATCAAATTGCTTACTTTGCTTGAAAATGAGGAAACCTAGCTAATTACATTCACGAATATTTATGAAGCGCTGTTACGCGAGCAACTTGTTGGAATTGCAACGAGTGAATAATTTACGCTGCCAGTACTATGCGTTTAGTATAAAAATTTAACTACTTTTCCACTTCTAACACTGCCGTCGACAGCCCGAAGTCGCAACTGCACTGCCAATTATCACGCTATTCCTCGCAAACGAATAAGAAATCCCTAATTTCTTTTTTGGGAGCTTCTACTTGCACATTAATAAACAAACTTTGGAAGGTTACACGAACATTCCTTCCAGTTTCACCTTCTGGGTATGACATCATAAACCGTTGGATATATCGAACCAGTCGATCAGAAACTTGTAAGACTGAACCTATTACACACTTTCGTAAATCTGTCGTCCACCATTATTTTCCTCAGATCGGCTCATGAAGTAACCTGAATAATCTTCACAGGTTGGATAATTATATGAAGAAAATTCGCTCGTATTTAATACCAAAAAACTAATCTATGCTTTGGTTACATAATCGAGATAGCCGAAGTAGAGCAGTCGCTTCTTGAGAACGAAAAATGTGATGCACAGTAGAGGCTACTGATAGCGATGCACAATAATAGAATCGAGATATCCGAAATAGAGCATACGCTTATGAGAAAGAATAATGTTGTGCAAGGTAGAGGATACTTGTAGCGATGCACAATAACAGAATCGAGATATCCGAAGTAGAGCAGACGCATTATGAGAACAAAACATACGATCCACGATAGATGATACAGATAGAGATGGACAATAAATAGATCTAAATGCACTTCGCAACAACCATACAGAACATAAATTGGAAATAACTCAAGCATCGCTGGTGCTTATTTCACGCTACTATGTAAAGTGTCAGCCGACATTAGGACTGGACTACACGGCTTTAATGGGCGAGCGCTCGAACATCGAAGAATGATAAATAATCCTATGAAAATAAAACAAACAAAAACATTTCTGAGTCTGTAATGCTAGGCATCCGATACTCAAAAACGTATTCACGTAGGTGCTCAAGACGACGAACGACGACATTCATGGAATATTACGATCATCCAGATCACCAGCCTAGTCTGAAAGAAAAGAAAATAAGGTTTTAGACGTCAACCTTCGTTACATTTCAAGTGAACGCTTAGTAAGCAATCGCTTAACATTGGGTTAAATATTCTGTTAATTATGACGACTACAGAGAGCTTTTAATTTCTTGCAACACCATTCAAATTTAATTATAGTTACAAAGATGTATGTAACTAAAATGAGCTTAGGTGAGTACATAGGCGAAATGAAATGTTGCAGTTATTTCCAATTAGATTGTAAAATTTTTTTCTGAACGACTAGAGAATAGTGTTCATGGACTCACCAGCAGGACTCTCAATAACGGCGGCCACCGTAACCACCGCCACCACGACGACCTCCACCACCACCGCCGCCTCCCCAGCGACTGCGACCACCAACGCTTCCTTCTCAGAGAAATATTTGCGTTATAAGCTTGGCTTCCTTGAAATCATCAAAAATAATTTACCCGAAAAGATAAAGATTACTTTAACCATTTTGCGGGAATGTTACCATACATGATCAGTTAAAATCTCCCCAAAAACACCCCACGGTTCTTGGTTTGTGCCACTCATCATGCCATTCTCAATCGCTTATAATCTGTACAAAGCATCACCACCTACCATGCCCAAAAATTTGAATACAATCATACAAAGGAAATTTTGACCCGGACAATGAAATAGACGCTCTTTCCGTATTTTTTGGAAAAAAATGGAAGTATCAATCTTTATCTAATTATTAAGGGTAACTTGATTAAAGTGAATGAAGTGGAATCTTAGATTGTTACTCATTACACTCGTATGCTTAAATTTCAACTATTTGAAATAATTTTCGCGTCGTGACCGCATATGATGAATTCTTTTAGTGCGATTAACTATTCAGATATGCAAAATGTTGAAAAAATGCAAGGAGTAAATATATATTGTAATGGTTCATATTTTTTCGTAGCAATGTTTTCAAAAACTCGCGTCAGATTTATACGCTTTCCCACGAGTGTTAATGAAGACATCTAACTATTAAATACAAGTTGGCACAAGCCACATAATTGTTGTTGGTTTAAAAGCTAGCACCGGCTTCTCACCCCAAGATTTCATTGCTGCCAATTCAGCCAGTTCGGGATTGACGATTTGCTTGGCTTCCTGGAGGACAGCGACGAGATCGGTGGCTTTGTTGGCATCGCCGTGCGTGAAGAACGTGTAGGCTGTGCCCTTCTTGCCTGAACGTCCGGTACGGCCAATACGATGAATGTAGTCTTCGGTGCCGTTAGGGAAATCGTAATTAATGACGAACTTTACGTCATCCACATCTGCACGCATGAGGAGAAAACTTAGCATTGCTGAACAGTGATGGCAAGAGGGAGAGGTTAGTATAGACTTTTACCGAGTCCCTCATTATGAAGCTTATGGGAAAATGATTAAGTTAAGAAGTTGACACTAAAACTAAAATATAATTTCGTCACCACGCCATGGTAACGCACTCACTAGAACGAGAAATTATTCGAGATTGAGACAGCATTTACAACTAAGTTGCAAAACTTTTTTGCAATTTATACAAGAGAATCTACTAGCGTTTTGTTTCAAAATTCAAGGCTGAAAAGGAGATGGGAGATATGTGGCGGCTTGTGCACTTATAATGCTCTTGTTGGGGAAAGATACTGGGTTCGAGCAAGAAGCAAAGCAATCATTTAGAAATTGCTTCCACTTGAGATAAATGGGGTGCATGGTACGGTCAACTGAAGGCATCATGAAACCAGCAATTGAGCTTAAGATCATTCGAATTGAAGTCTGGCGCTCGGCAAAGAATGCGATGGGCTCGGAAGACTATGAATGGAAATTTTCGAGAAGCAAGTTTGACTGATGCAAAATCATTTAATAGTCGACCAGCTTCCCATAGCAGACCTCGCCGTGAGTAATGATCAATGAACAAGTGTTCAAGCCAATTTAGAAGCACTCTGAGCCTTAACAATACGATGCAATAGTTAGACTTCTCTTAATCAAGAAGACTAGAACAACACGCTATATGTCAGTTTTTGAATATTGCACCTAAATTGTACTTGAAAAGGCCCTTAATTGAGATACTCCTAATGCTGAGGTATTGTACCTGGCTGGGCCTGATCATTCCCGAGGGCTGATGGCCCTCTGTCGTAAGTGGGAATGTAGGCGCCACCACTGCAGCAACAGTGACCAGGCCAATAGCCTACGTTCGAACGACTTGTCCTGGCTGATCGATCAGCTCGCTCCACGTGGGTGTGGAGGCAACGAGTTAGCATTGGCACAGCGCCCAATATAACCCGTGCATTGCTGCTTAACACCAAGCACGCTTGCCACGCAAGCCGTGAGCGATACAACGGACGGCCGAGATCGTCGAGTAACGATCTCCGCTCATGACCGGCTGTACGGTCATGAGAGGGAGCACAGCTCTCACGGACGATTTTTTTCGTTTTGAACAAAAAAGTGACACGAAATGCCACATTTTAGAGGCCCCACAGCTCAATGCAAAGGCTTGCATCGACCATAGTTAATGGGCCTCTGTAATAAAGAAGAAAGAAAACGGGTTATACAAGTTTAAATACAGTGAGGTCTACGGTGGTTATCTCTCCACAATATTACAGCAATAATTACGAGATGTGAAATGCTGGCTAAATTCTCACCCAAACCGCGAGCAGCGACGTCCGTAGCGACGAGGATGGGGGATTTGCCAGACCGGAATTCTGTAATTAATTCCTCATAGTAATTCACAAATGAAAAACTTCGTTAAAAAAACTGCAAAGCCCTCCAAGAGAATTAGTATTTTTCGTCTACTATGTAGTCAATATTTTCAGAGCACAATGATGAGATAAAATCATACAATTACAAATTATCACTAAAAAAGAACTCTACACAAAGGTTGATAGAAACGCCAAATATTGAGTATAGAGCAATATAAATATGAAATTCATACCTTTTAATACCCAGTCTCGTTCTGGCTGTGATTTGTCACCGTGAATACCCATTGCAGGGAATCTGTGTTACATAAATGAATTTAAAGATCAGCAGAGATAATTGAACAACACCACAACTAGTCACAATAATAAAACTTTTGTTTAGAACTATAGAGGTTTCGTCACTTTGTCAAACCACTGAATTTAAAAGCGTAGCTATATTAAATTTCATTGTATCATAAGTAGGATGTATATAATATTTCGGATTAAATGCCTTACCCGCTTCTCCTCATGCCACGTGTGACGCTGTCTACTTTTTTCTTAGTCTGACAGAAAATAATGGTTCTGTGAGTCTTCTCTTGAGTCATTTCATTAAGAAGCTTCATAAGCCTGCGGGAAAATGTTCAAATTAATTAACACCTAACACGAACAGAATACGATAGGATAGAACTTCACGTGAACGAATAACTCTTTTCACTAAAACAATATTTGAAATACAGTAAGTAGTTAGTTGATCATCAGTCATTTACATGACAGATGTTGATGCATTCCTGTTATTTAATGACACTGGCAAGGGAAGAAGCTGATCAATTCAAAACTTACTTGTTTTCCTTGTCGGCGTCACGGCAAACGTCAACGATTTGCAAAATGTTGTGATTGGCGGAGAGGTCCATAGATCCGACATTAAGTTGCGTATAATCCTTGAGGAAATCTTCAGCAAGTTTTCGCACCTCGCGAGGCCACGTCGCAGACCACATCAGGGTTTGTCTGTCAGGCTGCAAAAAAAATAGCGATGTAAAAAATCTCTTCACAAAGGCACTGTTAATAATCCAATACTTCGCGATTTTAATTCACTTGGTACATAATTTAGAACCAGTAAAAAACAATTCGGGTAAGTTCAAGTGGCGAAAGATATCTCAACTCCACTCACCCGAATTTGAGTGATGATTTTGCGGATTTGTGGTTCAAAGCCCATGTCGAGCATACGATCAGCCTCATCGAGAACGAGATACGTGCAGCGAGACAAGTTAGTCTTGCCCATTTCCAAGATGTCCAGGAGACGACCAGGAGTTGCGATGCAGATCTACAATATCAACATGATTATGAAGACTAATGAGTCACCACACAAAAAAATTGTAACGCATAACACAATAAAAAAAATGGCTTCAAAAAAAGCGGTAAAAAAATGTCCGACATTATGCTTAAGAAACTAATAGCTCATCTCACCTCTGCACCGTCATGAAGACTCCTGATTTGAGGTCCTTTAGGAGCACCGCCGAACAGACATACAGGCCTAATTCTAGAGGAAGATCCAAAGTCCTTGGCAACTGAAAAAATTTGTTGGGCCAGTTCCCTGGTGGGGGCCAACACAAGAACAATGGGACCATCGCCAAATTTGAGTGCAGGTTGATGATTGATATGCACAATGGCAGGCATGATGAAGCCCAGAGTCTTGCCGGAGCCTGTTTTGGCAATGCCAACAACGTCTTTACCAGAGAGGGCCAGAGGCCAACCCTGAGCTTGAATGGCAGTGGGAGCTTCATAGTTTTGACGACGCACTTCAGCAAGTACAAAGTCAGGCAGCTCATAATCGCTGAAGTTCTGAATTGGTTTGGGGACATCGTATCCTTTCACGGTGATCTCCATCCTTGCCCTGGTGATGCACCGATAGAGAAAATGACAAGTTCTATAAACTAGAGAAAAACAAATATAACAAATCAATAGATTAGGAGAAAAATATCGTTATCTCTGATGAACTATTTTTCAGCATAGAGTATATATCACCTTGAAAAAATTCAAGTGAAACAATAAAGGCTAGTTTGAAACCCACCTATATTCATCAACTTCAGCTTGTGAGCGTTGCATGAGCACTGGCGAAGGCGAATAGAAGTTTTTCTTGAATGGAATAAGATTGACCCTTGACCAATCTACTTTCTTGAGGTTGTTCCCAGGTCCCCCGCTCTGAGAGTTGGAGTAGCGGTCTAGTCCGTATCCACCACCACCTCCAGCTCCACCACGTCGTGCTCCTCCACTTCCCCCGCCCCCATAGCTTCCACGGCCTCCACCATAACTACTGCGACTGCTATCGTTACGGCTATAACCGCCATAGCCATTACTGCTGCCACCAGAATTTCCGCCATAACCGTTGCTGCTGCCACCAGCTCCTCCGCCAGGACCTCCTCCACCACTGCTACCGTAACGGTCGCTTCCGCTACCTCTACCACTGTAAGAGAACAAATAATTCAGCGCCCATATCGTAAACCAAAGCGCATACAACACAAATGCGCAAAAAAAGGCTTCAAGCTGCTAAATTAAGAGGGTTTCCAGACATCAAATATTTGACTGTCTTGAGACAGATTCAATTAAATAATTTAATATTTATGACCAAGTGATGTTGCTAGACTCATCAGAATGACCAATTAAATTATAATAAATGGGTAAGAATTTGAACATTCCCATAATAATACAAGTGTCTTAAGGATAATTTGGGTATTCTGAAAATCAAATTGGGAAATAAATAATATAATATTTCTTATAATGCAAATCAAACTAATGTTGGGCCTAATGAGGATTGATATTGGCCAGTTTTCAAGGGTCATAAATTGTTATTTCAACAGTTTATGATTAACAATGCCACACAGGGTGGAATTCTAGAAATTGTGGTTCGTATATTCTAGATTGATCCAGTCAGACCAATCTGTAATAGTGAGCAGAAATTCCTGGAACGAGTGGGTAAAAAAAATTCCATTGATGGCTTCGAAAATCAAAGGCAAAATTGAGCAGAATCCAATTTCTAATGACAAATGAAGTTAGACTCTACCTTAATTTTTCATTAGCAATGAGCTCTAGCCACTAGAGCATTAACCCTTTAGCGGGCAAGCATTGAAATATCCAGAAATTAAAATTTCAGAAACCATTTCAAGAAAGTAAGAAGTATTATACAATATATTTATTTCTATGAATTTTTGCAAATTTTGCCAACCTATTGAAGGTTTAAATTGCACTTTAAGAATTCAATATAAGCCATCAGTACACAAAATTTTTCTTTATAATTAAAATTCAGTTTATGCAAATGAAAAATTAGAAACATAAAAATTATTTAATTAAATTTAATCAACTTGCCAAAATAAATATATATATTGATACTTCCAAATTTTGAAGAAAATGCGGAAAGAGTGGCAATTCCATTGTCCGAGTCAAAACCTTCATTAAATGCTCATATTTCAATATGTGGACTTTGCAGCTGGTGATGCAATAGATAGAATGATGGTCAGATAATTAGGGATTGACTGAGGCATTATAAGGATGCCTCAAAAACAAACAGGAAGCCGTGGTGAGGCTTTTTGTGACGCGATTTCAAGTGATCATATATGGTAACTTACCCGTGAAAGGGTTAAAAAGAAATTGACTGCAACCACGGGCATTTTAGTCTTCTTCACAAGTCGCTTCTGTCTGATTTTCCAGATGACAGTCTGCCTTCTGCTAACTCATAATTGAAATTTTCCTATTTATCAAGCTACTGTAACAGCTTCAAAGAGACATTTTCCAAAAATTGAAAATCTTGAGGCCTAATTGTATGCCATTAATACTTTACTTAGATAGTAGACATTTTTTTAGCAGGAATTTTGTGGCCCCAATAATGACCAGAAAGCTCAGTTGCAGCTCAGAAGGTATATATATTCCATGCTGGTGGTAACTATCAGCTCAAAAATATCAGTTAAATATAACAAAAAATATATTATCTGATTTGTAGGCACCACATGACATGAGCCCTTGTTCATATATGACCCCTTCTGAATCCCACCCTGCGAGCAAGTGAAGGACGTGCAACACAATCAGAAAGCCAGACAAGATACTATTAAGCTATTAGAATCTATAGAATGTAGTGATTTTAAGAAGTTAGAAGTTTATTTATATTGGACTTATTTAGTCTGCCAGTACATGTGGTGTGGCAATTTAGTTGAATGTACAGTGATAGGAGCTGGCATGGAACATCTACCTTTGGTGTCTGCGCAGCATTAAAGGATTTTGCAACCTATGGAATTAAAATACTTTACTTCTCAAGTATTTATTTATAATCCTGATTTGTGTATGTTGTATTGGATACATGAATGTATCATTTTATTGCTCACCCAACTCAAACAAAATGGCAATGTAACCATTTTCAGAACTTTGACATCAAAACTTTATAAAGTTGTACTTCATTCTGAAAATGAAATCTCAAAAGAAAAAAATTTATTATTTATTAAAAGTTGACTTTACATTGAATATAAGAATTTTAGGTGACTATTTGTCACCTAAAATTCTTATATTCAATGGGGGTAGTGCAGACCAACAAGACAAGGCACCCTTTGCCAGGACATAAAAGTACCGCCAATCTTAGAATTGCACCATGCTATTAAGAAAACTAAACTTTTGTAGTCAATGGGTTTCTCAAAAAGATTCAATACCTAATTTCTAGTATTTAGGTAAAGGAGTGTGATTAAAGGATTTAAGTGATTAAAGAGTGTGAAGATGTAAAATAAATTTCTTATTTTATTCTTTAATATTAAAAAAATTAATTTTCAATTTTTCTTAATATATAATTTTTTCAAAATTATTTATTCTGTCAATTGATTCATGTATTGCCTCCAACTTCACACAAGTGTGCAAAATATCAGATCAATTGGACAAGTAAAAGTGTGTCATATATCAGTTATAAAATTTGTAGCTGACAAAATTATTTTGTCATTTTTTTATTGAAAAAAAAAAAAATTGTTAAATTTGTTTATTTTGTCATTTGATTCTTGCATTGTCTCCAACTTTACAAAAGTGTGCAAAATTTCAGATCGATAGGATAAGTAGAAGAGTGTTAAATTTTGATTACAAGATTAGTAGCAGACAGACAGACAGACAGACAGACAGACAGACAGACAAACAAGAAGTGAAGTTGAAGAGAAGTGTTGTAAAGATAGAATGTTTTTGATATAAAAGAAATACCCACATCTTCAGTAATAATAATATGCGTTTAAAAATTACTTTTTAAAGACACTTCTGAACAATCCAGTGTCTTTGATGTTATACATGTACAATGAATTTCTAATTTTATTTTCAAATATCGAATGAAAATTATTTTTCGAAATTTTTTCATATCAAAATTTTGTAAATTTTCAAAATTATTTATTCTGTCAATTGATTCATGCATTGTCTCTGACTCTGTGCAATTGTGCAAAATTTCTGATAAATTGGACAGTTCAAATTGTGATGGATTATAAGATTTGTAGCAGGTGAAATTATTTTCATTTTTTTAACAATGAAAATTTTTTTATAAAATTTATTCTGTCAATTGATTCATGCATTGTCTCCAACTTTACGCAAGTGTGCCAAATTTCAGATCGATTGGACAGGTAGAAGTGAAGTTAAAGAGAAGTGTTGTAAAAACGAGCCCGAATGCAGCATACTAACTGAAATGAGCCACAAAGCACCGGCAACCACTAACCAGAGTCTGGCACCGGCAACCACTAACCAGAGTCTGAACCAATCATTAGAGACACATGCTTTGAGACATAAAAAAAGCAAGCCTCTATTGGTGCACATCGCCTGGAATGGAAACTTTCGTCTTTCTTGGCTATGTGCGCCGTATGAGGTACATGACACTCATTATACAACTACACTCAAAACTTGCATCACACAAGTACTGATGCTTGAAAAAAAAACATTTTCTGAGCAAATGGAATTGGAATGCAAATGCAATACTGAAACTACAAATCATTCTGGGTTAAATGCCACTAAATGGGAAGTATATAATTCATTTATATCTTACAAAACTGCACTAAGCAAAGCATGAAGTGGTACCAACAACTGTTCCAGCTGTTGGCAAAAACTGCTGTAGCAAGTGCTTGGTGTAGTCAGTAAAAATTTATGTGAAACATTAAAGTCATTGATGACCAAATGTATTGTCACTAGTAATGGGTCAGACACACAAAGAAATGTTTCCATGACCAAATCAATGATTTTAGATGTCTACAGCACTAAAATATTTGAAGCTGAGGATCTCAACTTCATTACAAACTACTGATCTGAGTCTTGCTGTAACATAATTGTAAAAGGTAGATAGTGCTGAAATGTGACAGAGCTAGAGAAGTAACTACTAATTGCAATCTCAGTGCTGAGAATCTGCATCACTGCGTATCTTGCTTTTTACAGTGGCATTCTGTTTCCGTGTGAGCTAAGGCAACTTTTGAATGTCTAATACCCATTTTTCTACTTCTAAAATCCATACCAATACTGAAAAAATAATTTTCATCATATTGGAATAGGATAACACCCTTTCAGACTAGATTTCAACTACTAAGATTCTTACATAATTGCACAACATTTGTATAGGTTTCTGAAAGCGTTATTGTCAATTCTCTTATTTCTCAATCGTATTTTTCCACAAGTTGATGATCTGGCTGATATTGTAAAGAGTTTTTAAAAAGCTAAATATTTTAAGCATGCGCCACATATGGCACATGTCACAGTTTGGGACATGCATGCATGTTCCATATATGGTGGTGGCGCATGTTGCAGTCAAAGTGTTTAACGCACAAAATGCACAACAAAGAAACATTCGACTGAGTAGTACTGAGTAGTGAGGAGCCAGAAGGCAGAGGTAGGTATGTGCACAAACCACCCCTAGATCACAACAACGCTACCAAAATGGTGGACAGACAGTTATAGCTTCAATGCACAGGAGGCATTTAATTTTAGAAGTCCCACACAAATGGTAGCTTACTTTGATTGATGAATGTTTGGAAACAAACAACTTAAACAAGACTTGACATATGTGATATGACGACACATTCTCATTTGAGAAATTTCTATTGTTTACTAGCTTGGCTGGGTATGCTGAGATTTGCAAAGGGTACCACTATTTGCTAAAAACAAACTTGGATATCATATTGGGCCATTAATGAAAGAGAAAATATAACTCAGTACTCACTGCAGCGAGTGACAGAGCACATTTTCTTGTCAACGAACACTTGGTCATGGACAGACAGACAGACGGACATGATTAGCACAATAGTGCATTTTTTCCATAAACGAGAAAATGCGCTAAAAAGGACCTCAAAATTACAGTTCTTGGACAAAATTTCAGAGCTCTGCAGCTATTTCTAGTATTTGCACTAATGCAATCTTCACGTCTATCACCTTTGGGCCTCAACTGGCAATGGCAGTACTGTAGGCCTACCTAGTTCAAACTCAGTCATGTGAATCATTAGCATTTCAATTTTAGCAATCATGTCATTCATGTGTGATGATATTCTTTTGCATTTTGATTCACATTTCAAATTTTAGCAGTTTATTGCCTTCAATTGACTGTCCAGCACAATTTGAAGGTGTTAGGTGATGCAGTACTACTAGTAGAAGTATTATTAATCTATTATTTATCATTGTTATCATTAGACAAAATTAATTATCATTTACTTATAATTTGCCCAACAATAACATTTTCTCTCATTTAGCCATCATGTAAGGAATTCATCATTGGTCCATAGTGGCAGAGTTTTATAATGCAGGTTTTAGCAGGTATTATGGACCTGCGATCTGAACTAGCCCACCTGTATCATTCATTTATTTTTCAATTCATCATGAATTCATAATTTATCAAAATAGAATTTATTTTGTTCAATTCTGCCTTTTGGTCAATTATTCCATTCATATCTATCAATCAGTAATCACACCCATTTCCCTCACCCACCTGCAGTCAAATTAGGTAGGCCATCAACCAAAATGTTTTATTTAGGTAGTTAGAATAGATAGGCCTAGCCTACAACATGAGCTTTCTAATGGCATTAAAATCTTTGAAACAGGCTTATATGAAACCCAGAAATGATAGCTAGGTAATAAAAAAAAGCTAAAAATTGGTCCATCTTTCAGACGTTAATTTTCTAAAGGAAAAAATTTGTACTAGCTTTTTAACTTGTATTTGTTTTCCAGTTATATTTAGGCTATATGGTATTTTTCTATATTTTTTCACTTTCCAGGCTCCAGCTGTATAATTTTCATGAAGATCAGAGAAAACTTTGTTTAGTACTGTAAATAGTGCACATTATCACAAATTCACAATATAATAATCACATAACTCGCACAGGCTAAACCCACTGAAGAGTGAAGAACATCCCGAATCCCGATGATCCCTAGACTCATGAGTTGTCTTGCTGGTGCCCGAAGGCGTTAATAAAAATCATACAGTAATACACACAGGCGAAAGAGAATTTTCAAATAAGCAGTAGGAACACGTACAGAGATGAAGAATCGTAGAACGATCTATCACTCGACAATTTCCCAACGTGGAGCGCTCAGCGTATCAGCGCTAATCGTGACGTAAGCACGGAGTATCGACCGGAAATCTCAGCTACGAAAATACGATCATATTAAATAAGCCTCTTAATCAACTTCAATCAATCAATCAATAGTAAAACAATAACTTACCCGCTTAGATTGACCATGCTCATGAAGATGACTAAATTCTCGAATTATAAACAACTTATTTGAGAGAGCCAAAATCTCACGTCCACAACAAAGACAGACTAACTTCGGAAAGAACTCAGATGATCTTGCCAAATGGAAGAGGTGGCGGGTTTCTTCTACGTGGAATAACATAATTAAAATTTTGCAGTCTACAGTTACCACTCATAATAAATATACAAATATCGTGAACCTTGCGTTAAAATTCATAATTCATCATGGTGATACTTTTACCAATAATTTTTGTAGAAAAAAGTTGTGCAAGCAATTTATAATTTGTACTTTATTTTGGGTCATGTATGCAATGAAAATGTATGACGTGCTAAAATATCTTGCATCTTTCTATTCCTGTATTATAATTTGTTTTTTAAATTTGTAAAGCTTTTATATAGACGATAAAGCAACTATTTTTTTAACAAAAAGCATGTAATGCAAATGGATTTAATCAACTCCAATTGTGGCATATATATCGAAATCACCGGTCGGGCAAAAACACGTGAGCGTAAGCGTAGGCAACACCTGTGCTGCACCTGTTTTAAATCTGCGCTGAATTGAACCGTCAATTCCAAATACTTGGGGAATTCCTCAATTCATAACCATTCATTATGGACCGACCGGTGTGAAATCAGGAACAGAGGATAACAAAATTTGTCCACGTCATTTCGTGACACCTCTCGGACAAAAACGCGGCCTGTCTCCCGGCCGGTCTCACGGCCGTGCCTCATACCACATCGACACTTTTCAGGACGAATTCCATAGAAGGATTTTAGTATAGTATAGTATAGTATCTTCGGCATTTAAAGAATAGGCCTGGATAGGCCTGTCGCCGATTCTTGTACTTTTCTTGACTAGTCTGGACTTTTGATCAGATCTTTTCAACGAAAGATAGATTTAAAAAAGCTTCTAGATATCAGTTGTTCCGTAGGGTACGAGGAATTTTAAGACTAAACATATGCTCATGCATGGCCTTGTCTAGTCAGTTCTTGAACGCGTTCATACTCGGAGAATCAACAATATCTTCAGGGAGGCTGTTCCACATGTCAGTGACTCGAAGCGAGAAGAAATGTTGTCGCGTGGATAAGTTGCACCGCAGTTTTTTAGTTTATAGCCGTGGCCCATGGTGTTGGTTCTTGTTTCAAATTCTAGTAATCCTTCTGGGACCTTGTACAAACCATGAGTATACTTGTATTCTTCAATGAGGTCACCACGCAGGCGACGATAAATTTCACTCATAAATTTATCAAATCGGAACTGATCAGGGTTTCGATTCGACAAACTACACCAAATTATAATAATTATTGTAAATTGAAATAATTTGATAACACCAAATTAAAATAATTGAGTCCTCTGACGTAATTGCCTAAGCTCGATATGAAAACCTTATATGGCATGCATTGGAGCGTAGGCACGAGAGATTTGTGTGAAGCCTGATTAAGCAAAGCGAAAATTAGTCTGAGTAACGAATGACAGTTGGTGACAATATCAACATATCCCTCATTTATTATTAAATAATACGCGTTTAAAAATTACTTTTTACAGACAACACTTCTAAAGAGGCCGGTGTCTCGATGTTACACGTGCACAATGAATCTCTTATTTTATTTTTAATATCGATAAAAAAAACTATTTTCAAATTTTTTATATTAAAAAAATTAGTAATGCATTCTGTCAATTGATTCAAGCATTGTCTCAGACTTTAGTTACTTTACGCAAGTGTGCAAAATTTCAGATCGGTTTGACCGATTGTTGCTTGTAGATTGAAGCAGGACGCCTTCGATATCTAACCGTCTGGGAGGCGATGGCGCAGCACTTGGGACTCGATCGGGATGCACCACCAAGAACGGATACACAGAAAGTAATGGGAGTTACAGATCATGGCAGGATGGTATACTATAGACTATAGAGCAACGGTTGCTGCTAATGTAGCAGACCTCGTTCTCTTCATATCTAAAGGATCCATGTGAATGACACCGTCAATGCAGCTTTACTCGAGCTGCGTCGCAAGTTGCTGGTGTTGATGTTTTAGGTAAAAAACTCATTAAAAAAGCTACGAAAAGACCAATTTAGGATCACTGCTGCGCAATTAGAGTATTTTTTCGAATATAAAAATTAGTGAATCTCTCTATGTAGTTCCTTCATCATTGTATCAGTTATAAACACTGCCGATAAAAAGCTATAAATATCTGAGTTAATGGTTGTTCATCCAGACGGTAAAATATCTAGTTATTTCTATCATCTCTATTTGCCTGAAAATACTCCAGCTTTGAGTCACCATCAAGATTAAATATTTCTGACAGGCCTTTAGCGTGGTTGATCCACTAGGCGTGGAGGGACCTCATGTGTGGTTGTTGCCACATGATGTGCTTGCTACCCATTGTTGCAGTTGATGCCCCAGCTGTGGTTGGGTGATTGTGCTCCGTTGGGGGCATCAACGGGTGCTCCATCAAGGTTAGGTGCTCCATGGATGATTGTGCTCCAAGTTGTGGGTGGTTCCTAGTAGGGTAACGTGGGGCAGCGCGCCCCCCACTTTTTTTAAACTAAATTTTTGATGAAGTTTTAATTATGACCCGCAGTGGGCTCGCTGCCCCATGTTACCCTACTCATCCCTAATGTGGTTTTCAAACTAGTTTGTTCTCCCATTTAGGGTGATCTTCTTTCTGCTATGGTCTCTTTTCTGGCATCGCTTCCTTAATGACGTGATTTCCTCCTCCGTGGTCTTTATCTTTTTGTGGTCTCTTCGGTGTGATTTCCTTCCATGCGGGATCATCTCCTCCTTAGAGTGATAATAGCACCCGTTTCTACTCCTCAGCGAAATTTACGCACGCGCGCGATGTGTTCAAGTTTGCATAGTGCATTCAATGTTCAGTGGAGGTCTGCTAAGGCTAACCAAGAACAACGATTTGTAATTGACAATATGCTGAGTCGTGCAACACAATTGGAACCCATAAAGGCCATACTGTTGAAGAGTTACATGTAGCGGCTAAAAGTGCTCCAGAAAGAATGGATAGTGATGAGCGGATACTAGAAACTGGATGGCGTAGAGTTGTTTTTTCGTCATCAGCTGAGATTTTTTATCCAGTAGAAGATATTACTTTTTACGTGAATTACGTTCAGAATTGAGATTAAAATTTTTACACTATATCAAAATTATTTGGACTGTACTTTACCGAAAACGCTGACACAGTAGATGACATTGCATTTCCTTTAATTGCATTGAATTTGATAGACTTTTTACAACACTTCTCTTTAACTTCACTTCTTGTAGTCTGTCTGTCTGTCTGCTACAAATCTTATAATCGAAATTTAACACACTTCTACTAATCCTATCGATCTGAAATTTTGCACACTTGCGTAAAGTTGGAGACAATGCATGAATCAA